TTTTTGTTGACCTTTGTCCATGGAAGGTCCCTGCAAAATTTCATTGAAATTGGTTCAGGGGTTTTGGAGAAGAAGTCGAAAATGTAAATTGTTTACGGACGCACGACGGACGACGGACAAAAGGCGATCGCAATAGGTCACTTGAGACTTTGTCTCAGGTGACCTAAAAATCTAGGCAAGGTTCTCTTCAAAATACATTCACGTAAACAGAAATAAGGGCAAGGTAATCTACACAATACATAATGATAATTATTGTGAGCAATCTGTATTCCTCCACCATCAAACAATCTTTGGTATCAAAAATCAACATAGGGGCATTACCTTATACACCGGTAATGTAGGGCACAGAACCTGATTTCAGTTCACTACACTGCTGCACCATCCCGAGGGCTACTCACACGCACACCAATAGGTGATCGAGTATCAATTAGATGGACAGACATAGTGACAGAGTTCAACCCTATTATCACCTAACTTTACTCATGATCACCCTTAAATATTTCAACTGGACTTGCGTAGTCTTTGATTTGGTAAGGTTCAAATGTGGCTTTAGGGGTGAATGAGTTAATACCAGCTAGGGAACTAATTGGGATATCAACAAATTCAAGGAAACATTTTTTCTCTTGTTTTTAAAAATCAAAATATTAAACCAGTTTTCAACAACTGTCATATATTGAGTTACAAGGCTTTTGTGCGAAATGTGAATTTAGGGGTTACTTGAATTATCTTTGTAATTATGTTGTTATAGACCGGCGATGTGTTGGGTGTACTCGTATATAATCACTGTTTGTATTCTAATTATACACTATTACTGTACAGATTGTAGTTCTTTGTTAATTAATCTCATTGTCAATGTTTCAACACCTGTCAATAATAAATTTTGATAAGCACAGATCGCAGTATTAACACTACCATAATAATATCAACATTTTCTCTGAATGTAATTAATTATTGGTATACCACCTTTGTAATGTTTACACTTTGTTCATATTAGCACTTTGGATGTTGGCAATAAAATCCTTCAAATATACAATTACAAATGTACAATTAAAATTAAGATCAATTTGCAGTAATTCAGGATGCAATCTTTGTTAACTGTTAAAGTGTTGATAATGATATCTTATTGCTGTGACTGCAATACCAACACAGCTATATATTCCATACCTCTTCTGTAGTATTCCTTCTATACATTCCTTCAGCTTGTCTTCAAAGTTTTCTTGAGCACTAGCTTCATCCACACCATCTGAAAGAGGAAATCACTATTACAGAACAAGAGAAAACACACTTACTTACTAAAGAATGAGACGAAACAGACATGTTTTTTTCTATTCAAATTTTACAACACCCTGTTCATACAAGAATTGCAATAAAAGCATTATCATTGCTGAAGTTAGGAAGATATTCTGATTTTTTTCTTCAATTTGAGAAAATAAATATTTTTTTCCTAGGGGAAGCAGTCTGTATTCAGCTGTAGAGTTAGGCAAAAAAAATTCTGAAACACCATTACAATTTAATAAGACGAAACCCTTTTACTAGAGAGAATAAGATGGAAATACTTAAATGAAAAGATTTGAAACATTAACAATACCTTCTTCTGGAATACTGTTGTGTTCCTCAGATAGAACACTGGCGGTGCTGACATTGTCAGCTGTGTCATACTCTTCATCACTCGGTGGCTGGGACACCCTTCCCTTCCCTCCTGAAACACAGTGTTTATTAAAAATAAACATTCTTGACGAAATTGTGCATTTTACATGTCACTCGACTCGAGACATTTCGCCTAAACAAGACAAATCAAAGAAGCAAACAAAGTCAGGAAAACTCTGAACATGAACAGAGATGAGGGGGGACACCAGCTGAGTCATCTGTATGAATCTATACTGACATAACAGGGGAGGGGCTAAATCTACACCCTACCTGTAACCTATCTGATGCAGTGTGAATATGCTCCTTATCTATAGACGAAACATCTTGGGTCGAGTGACATGTAAAATATATAATTTCATCACATCGTTGTACAGCAAAAAATACAAATCGCTCACTCAGTCGTAACTTGACAAAGGGACCAGTCAAGACTTGAAACGTTGCAACAGGTTTAATATAAACATTGTTTGTGTACAAAGTAAAACTTAGATATTGATTTAAGTCAGTTTCCTTACTAGAAAAAACGTTGCAGTTTTTAATGTAAATCAATAAGACGTTTATAACATTCTTGATACAGGTGTGTGCGTGCAACACTCGAGTCGAAATGAAAAAAAATGAAGACAGGAAAGAAAGCATGTATTTTTAACCCCATTAGAAATATATATTTCCTGTTTGTTTTGATAATGTAATACATTTTCTATATGTATGTAAACACAAAAAGGGTGACTTCCTGTAATGTCAGTCGGTAAAATTTGAGGAGAAGAAAAAAAATTCCTAACGTCTTGAAAGGACAGCTTAAGTGCTAAAAAGGGTATTGGTAGGTCGAGTAGTGAATAGGGATCACTGATTTGTTGTCTGCTAGTGTGATAAATCCCCAAGTGTATGTAATAAGTGAAGTGAGACTTGTAGAATGGAAAGTAAATTTATCCAAAATGGCCGAGTCGAGATTGGCGGTGAAAACAAACTGAAAAAGAAAGGTAGACCAGGTAAAACATTATCAATCTCAAACTCTAGGAACAACTCTAGAAATAACTCCAATGCAAACATTGTAAATATGGTTAACAAGGAATCAGAGGAAATCTGAAAGTGTAAATTGTGCACGAAATTCTTCGCTGACCAAGATAATAAACTACTAGAATGTCAGAGATGTAGGGATCATTTCTGTATAAAGTGCCTGAACTAGCTAATGGAGGAGTACAACCTGATGAATAGTAGTGACATTATGTGGTTCTTCGTACCGTGTAGGGGAAAGGTGGAGAGAAACTTTGTGGTTGACAGGGAAATTGAAGAGAGGTGCAACGACATGATGAAGATGTTTGACAACAGGATAAAATATCTAGAGGAGGAAATGACGAAAAAGTGCAATGAAAGCAAAGTGAGGGACATAGTGAGCGAGATGACAAAAGTCTCAGATGTTGGGCAGGAAGATACTGACAAAATCTCGGATAATGACGCAGGCGAACATAGTGTCACCGCAGTCATGACAGGAGATTAATGAGAGAGAAAACAGGGAATGCAATATGATCATTTATGGCATAAAGGAAAGTGACTCGAAAGATGGAGAGGCGAGACTGAATTATGACAGAGAAAACGTAGGAGTTGCGGATGCCTGTGGTGTGTCACTAGATGAAGAAAGCGTTACAAAAATTATACGACTCGGGGAAATACAGCACTGAAAATAAGAACAGACCATTACTAGTCGCCTTTTCACAACCAGAAAAGAAGGTAGAATTCTTCAAAGGAGGGACAAATCTTAGGGATGATAGTAGATTCAAGTATGTACGTCTGGCCAATAACTCGACACGCACAGAGAGAGAGATTGAAAACAAGAGGCCCATGGGCCTTAACGGTCACCTGATATATTTATACAGAGAGTTGATTTTGTTTTTAACATGAACAGAAATATTATTCAAAGTGACAAAAAACAATAAAACCACCTTACTCAATATCTAGCATACAGATTTCAGACTAAAAAGGATTTGAAACTAGCACCTCTGATTCTTAACAAGTAAAATGAAGAAATTTTAGCACACTGACTCCTTTGAGCTCCACCCTACAGCCCTTGGGGGTAGGGCTGGCTCAAAATTTTCAAAGTATCAAACTGTCAATTCAAGGTTATAATTCCAATCAAGTTATTAACATGTAATATTCAAAGTATCATTTGCCATTATAAACCATAATAAATCTTCATAGTCCCCTCTGTGAAAATTATGTTTCATGGGTGCCCAAATTTGTTCTGCTCGTGGAATTAGACTGCAGCAGATAAAGTCGAAGGTTAGTACAAGATGGTCGCTTTTCCCTAGTCCATTATAATAATTTTGATTTTCAACCATTACCTCTTCATTAGAAGGGATTAGATCCAATGTTGATTGTGTTTGTCCTTCTCTGTATCTGGTAGTTTCTGGGACATGTTGGTACAAGAAGTTGTCCCTTATTCACTCTAGAAAGAGTGTTGCTGGATGTGACTCACTAATGCTGGTTGTGTAATGGTTCCAGTTTATCTCTTTGTAGTTAAAATCCCCTAAGATAAGTATGTTTGAGATTGGTTGGTGACAGGTTTTCTAAGACTTGGTAAAGGTGGTTGTTATTTTCTGCCGAGCTGTTTGGGCTTCTGTAGATAGCAAGTCTTTAGGTTTAGTATATACAGGATACTTGTTCTTCAAAGGGTCCTGTTTGCTGTAGGGAGTCGCAATCGATAGTGGCGGTTACATATATGATCATACCTCTTTTCCTATGTTGTCCCATAAACTGGTTGTAGTTGTGTATGTTGTAGATTCTGTTGTCTACTGGGGTTTGGTACATTTTTGATAGAATTTTGGTTAGATATATCACATCTGGATGGTTATTTTCTATCTAGAGTTCAAGTTCAGACTTCTTTGTTTTGGTCAGGGTGTCTACATTAGAGTAGTAAATTTTGAGCTTGTCCACTGGTATTTTAGAGGAATCACCAATGTCATTAAAACTGGTAAAAACTTCTTCCTAGTATCTGTCAAGTTCAGGTGACCTAGGTGGTATATCATTTATTATTGTGCCATTTAGGTCTTCGAACGAGTCTGTGCTGTATATAAGCATTGGTACTTCCTCTACAGTGGAGATCTTGGTGTGATATGGGTTGGAAGACATACGTTGAGGTATTGGCACTTGTTCCATTGACAAAATGGGACTTGGTGGTATTGGATCCATACTTTGGGGTTGGGCATATACAGAGCTGGTAGCCGTTATATGACTATAAAGCAAACATCAAGGCCGAAACTGGTAGTCACTTAGTACAATTAAACAGTATGGAGTCCAACGAAGAGGACCTGGCAGGACCAGTGTTGGAAACCCACCATAAGTAATGTAAGCGAGTTAAAAATGATTTTTCTCACCCGTTCTCCCTTTAACCATAGGGTCACGTTACAATCACACATATATATGCTATACTGATATGGGTCACAACACACATAAATATACAGTGTATGTTTATGTGTGTTGTGATCCATATCAGTATAGCATATGTGTGATTGTAACGTGACAGTGTATGCGTGTTGTGACCCATATCAGTATAGCATATGTGTGATTGTAACGTGACAGTGTACATGTATGTGTGTTGTGACCCATATCAGTATAGCATATGTGTGATTGTAACATGACCCTGTGCTTTAGTTCATATAGTTCCTATAGCGATGAAGCCGATTGAAAGCTGTGAGCTTCTTGAGGCGCGTTTGAATATGTTAAAATACTTGTTAAAGACACTTTTCACTTCCGGTGCGTATAGATAGACCTACTATTGTCAGGAATAACAACTTGCGCGGAATATTGTTGGGTGATCCGACCAGAATTTATTCAGTCTGTTCTTAAAAGTGTCCACAGTTGGAGAATTGACCACATTATCGGGTAGACATGCAGTTCCACACCTCTACAACTCTTTTGCTAAAGAAGTTACTATATATGGCCTCATTTGTTCTCCTCTTGAACAGCTTTCTGCTATTTCCTCGTGTTCCAACGGGGCGCACTCTTATAAACATTTTGACCTAATCTACAATGTCAATTTCCTCCATAATTTTGAATAATTCGATCACATCCGCTCTGATACGTCTGTATTCTAGCGTTGAGAGCCCTAACTTAAGCAGTCTTTCCCGGGTAGCTCAGGTCTTTGAGACATGGCACTAATCTGGTTGCACGCCGTTGAACATTTTCCACAAGAATTTTGTCTTTTTTCAAGTGCGGTGACCATGTGACCGTTGAATATTCCAAATGTGGTCTTACCAAGGATTTGTAGAGTGTTATAAACATGGTTTGGTCGATGAACGTAAATGTTCTAAATATTAGTCCCAAGTTCCTGTTGGCCTTTGATACTGCTTTTGATATGTGTTCGTTGAACTTCAGTTTGTTATCAATAATTACTCCCAAGGTCTTTTTCATTTGTGACAGTCTTAATATTTGTAGTCGACTGGTCTTGTTTGATTTTATAGTGTTGTTCTTGTTCATCTTGCAATTTTCCAATCCTAAGGGGTTTACATTTGTCGATGTTCAGTTTCATGAGCCAAGTGTTAGTCCAAATGCATACAGAGTCCAGATCCTTCTGTAGGCTATCACAATCCAAGTCACTTCCAACTTTCCTGTATATTTTGGAGTCGTCTGCAAATAGTTTGGTTGAGCTACTGATGTTGTTTGGAAATTCATTGATGAAGATCAGAAACAGAATAGGTCCAATTACACTCCCCTGTGGGACCCTGCTGGCGACCTGTGTTTGTGATGATATAGAGCCATTGATGACGACTTGTTGTTTTCAGTTATGGAGAAATCCTTGTATCCAATTTAGTACTGCACCTCCAACACCATATGATTTGAGTTTTTGTAAAAGTCTCCTATGGGAAACCTTGTTGAAGGCCTTGCAGTAGTCTAAGTAGATGATGTCAGTTGAATCTCCATTGTCTAAGGCCTATGTCCGGTCCTCCAAACATTCTAGTAATTGAGTGGTACAAGATCTTCCTTTTCTAAATCCATGTTGGCATTTAGTAAAAATATTGTTTCCCTCCATATGTTCAAGGAGTGCATCCCTTATTATCCGTTGCATGACCTTGCTTGCTATGGGTGTTAAGCTAATTGGACGGTAGTTGTTAGCTTTCTTTTTTATCCATTTTTGAAGATTGGAGTAGTGTTGGCCAATGTCCATGGTGATGGGATAGTACCTTCGTCAAGAGATTTCCTTAATATTTTAGTAAGGGGCGTTTTTATCTCGGATGCCGTCTCGTAGTAAAGTTTTGGATGAAGTTGGTCGGATCCAGGGATTTTGTTTGGGTTGATTTTTTTAATGGCTTTTTCAACAAAATCTTCTGTGATATCTACTTCGAGGAGATGCTCATTTGGCTGCTTATTAATCATAAGCGGAATGTCACCTGTCAGGTCGTTAACAAACACTGTAGAGAAGTAGTTGTTTAAAGTTTCTACTGTTTCTTGGTCAGATGTCGTCAAACTACTAGTGTGTTGATTCCTGATTTAGTCTCTGTTTTTGATCGCACATATTTCCAAAACCGTTCGGATTACCTTTAATGTCGTCAGCTAGATTATGCTCATAAATCAATTTGAATTTCTTCAAACAAGCTGTGGCGTTGTTCCTTGCTACTCTAAATTTTACGTAGTTCTCTGGTGTTTTACAGTGTAAATATTTAGTCCAGGTTTGGTGTTTTTTCCGTACAGCTTGTAGTGTTAATGGGTCGAGTAGTCGTCGTTTAGACTTCAGATTTGATGACTTGTTCACCGGTATATGTTTTTGTATATTATCTTGTAATGTTACAACAAAGGCGTTCCATGTGTCGTCCAAATTATCCAAATTGTCTAGCTGGTCCCAGTTGACTAATTTAAGGTCCTCACAGATACGTGTAACTGGGTAGTTTCCTCTGTGATAGTTAATGTTGTCTTTCCTTTTGGTTTCTTTAGTTTCAATGTAGCACATATAGTTAAAACACAAGGTAACATGGTCACTCTTTCCGATGCTTGGTAACGTGGTAATGTCATCACTATCGATCATGTTTTCTTCGTTGGTCAAGATTAGACCCCGAATTGAGGGGGCGTTACCTTCCCTGTATCTTCATCTTGTTGGTGATTTCACATGTTGGGTTAAGAATAAGTCCCTGACCGTTTCTAAAAGAAGTGTAGCAGGGTGGTCATGTTCTACATCCTACACCTACGACCAGCAATGTCAGTGGTTGCAACAACGAAATCACCTGTTATTGTGGGAAGTGGATACCTTACTTTAGCTGGTCAACATTTATCACAATACAACAAATACCATATTAAGTTGACCTCTAATTGATCCGAAGTGAACGGCCGCGGTCTTCGTGCCGAATGCTTCAAGTCAAACACCTTTAAAACACCCACTTGTTAAATAACTAAGAAAGGCGGGAGTTGTCATAACTTGCCAATGAGACAAGTGGTCAATAATTTGGAGATTAGGTTTATTTCAAATGTAAACTTAATGTAACATATGATAAATAATCCTCAGAGAAAATTTAAACATAATGACTGATAAAATACAGATGGTGACGTATTACATAGCTATCATGCGTGAATACGTGAAGTTCACGTGTTGTTGTGGCACATATGGTCGTAGATCGTGGTAGATCGTCTACGGTCTTACCTTTCTTCTTTCCCTTCGGCATTATTCTCGATAATTTCTTCTAATTTCACAATCTATTAAATGTTTTAGACACATAGATTTTCGTATATGAAAATCGAAAAGATAATATGGTGTTAGAATTTGAAAAGAAACGTTGAACCTCGACAGCATGGTAGCCTTGAATGGATTCTTGCACAAGGCAATCACATTCTGAGCTAAAAATAGATATAGCCTCGTTTCTAACCTAACGACGGAAATAAACCGAAACTAATAAGGCATTAACTAACATATTTAATATTTCGTTTCATTTCAACCCCAAAATTGGTTTTATACATAATTTTAAAGTATATCATAATTAGACCGACGCTATATAATATGTTTCAGAAAGTTCATAAACATGTCATCAAGATGTCTTTCACACGCTTGTAAGCAGTGTGAAGAAACACGTTAAAATCAAACATTGAGGATTAGTAACTATTTCGGTGCTATGACGAAATAGCCAACGTCGAGGCAACGAAACCCCCACGTGACTTGGGCGTATAAAGTAACAAAACAGAACGTTTGTCGACGTATTAGCGACAGAGACACGAGTGAGGAAGGAGGTTCGTGGTACGCAAGTAAGCATAATAATTTACATAGACGTTCTTCGGAGGTTATGATAAGTCAATTATCCAGGAAAATGATTGGTTTTGAATCTTGTGTGTTGCCACAAACATCAGCAGATAGAATGGTTGAGATGCAGACGAGAATAGCCATGAGGAAGCGAAAAACCCGAAGAGGGAAGAAGAAAAGGGAATTTGGATCAGTTGAGAAATTTCCGATGAAGTCAACTACTGATTCTTGTGATATTGATTGTGTTTATTATTCATGTCAGTATTGCACGAAAGAATGTCTTTGTGATCAGAAAAATAAGAAATTCTCTAAAGAAACGCGTCGGAACAGGTCCCGCCAAATTCTTAGACCAAGATACAGTCCGAAAGCGCCACACAACTCGACGCAGTTCATAATGGACGGACACCTGAAAGATCAGACTTTTTACAACCATTTTGATTCACCCGAGTATCCATGTGAAACAACAAAGATGATACCCGAACTGGAGTATTCCCCAAACAGTAGAAGCAGTGACTATGGTTTGGATACGTTGTTTAGGGACACCGAAATAATAGATTTTGGTACGGCTACGACGGACACCGTGGCTTTTATGGAACAGGATTTCGAAAGTGCAATGAGAACAGCACAAATTGATGAACTGTCAAATATGCCCAAAGAAGAGCTGTTGAAAAGAGTGTTAGTAATGGCTGACAGGGCTGAACATTTGGAAAAAGAACTTGAGCAGTCCAGTAGTGATAGCAGCCACTTGGGGGATGAAGACGACGATTCCATGATTGGAAGCAATACAAAAAATGGACGGGGATATTTATCAAAATTGTATAAAGAAAATGTGAAATTGAAAAGTGAAAATCAACAGTTGAAAGAAATGTTATCTAAATTTCATAATTGAGAGGGTGAAAAGACCCTGGAGAAAGACTGAAATGGTGCTCCTGATATCTTACTTTTTAATCCAGTAGGCCTACTCTACTATTCTGGTTTTAAAATTACTTTTTACTCTAAAATATGAATCAAACTTGCATGAAAAAGAGTCGTGTAGATATGTTCGGTTCAATGAATTTGAAATTGTGGAATATAGATATAAGGTAGATCAGAACAAAATGATGTGGAAAACCTGTACAATCATGCATCAAATACTATTTTGCAAGCTATGTGATAGGCCTATAATTTGTGTTGTATGCCCTACCTCAGTTTTTAATGTTCAGTTTTAAATATTAAAATAATGTAATTTGATGAGTCTGCTTTGTTAATAATTCACTAATTTGAAGGTTTTATTTTTCAGCCAGGTACAGCTTCACGTGCCTCGACAGTTGATTGACCAGGAACAGGATCTGGTTGACCAGCCGGTCAAGATCTTGTTTCATGGGTTACGGATATGATCGAGACAGCACAGGTAATGGCTGTGTATTCAATCAAATGAATCGGATCATCATCTGCAATGTTGAACATCTATACACTGCTAGAAAATAAGTTTGTCAGTAGATTTCTTAAAATTTTAAACATTTAAAAAATATTTTTATTCTCATTTCTTTTCACTTACTTTCATGCAGTGTATACATATTCAAACTCATTACACATACATTTTCAATATTAAAAAATAAATAATACTGAATGATTTCATTTCACAGTGAGTTGATATTGAGAGAAAATGATGGAATCATCAATTAATGCAGTATGCTTTTACTGAATTAAAATTATTCTTCATAGGTGTCGTTTAAAAGCCTTGTATATAGATAGGATGAGGTTAAAATGACAATGCTGTGCTGAAAGTAGGTTCCAACAAGTCACAAAGATTGACAAAAAGCTAAGGAACTTTACAGGCATGATTATCTGCTGCTGACGTACTTGATGCAAGTAATATTCAAATGGGCCATAGTGGAAGGTGTGGTAAAGGTAACGTGTTGGTGTATAGAGATATTGTGTGACCACCTACGCATCCAACAGGTAACAGCTGGCTACATACACAGCTCGCAAGGTAGATCAATATTTCTGTAGATATACTTCACAGCTACAAGTATATGGGTTATTTCCCTAATTGAGTTATAGTTTCTCAGAATTTGTTCATAAAATATGTTTTTGCCACCATTTCCATTCAATAGGTATTGCTGTCTGGGGAAATCAGCATTGGCCATTTATATGAGAAGTTCCAATAACAAAAATAAGAGGGGCCATTTGAGATAAATTGAAGGGTTCATTTTTTCAAAGTTCTTGGTCCCTTCAAGGATTTTTCATGCTGAATTTTGAATGGTGTCTTCTTGTAAATTTACAATTGACATTTCTTGTCATTTCATAGTTTAGTTTACCTTTATACCTCAATACAGTTATAAAACAGCCATGTTTTCATATTTTTTTAAATTGTGGAAAGAAACATTTCATAGTCTAGAGAGTAAATGAAATAAAGCAATCTTGATTAAAAAATAGAGCATTTTATTCAATAAACCATATAAATTTAACAACAGTTTCATAAATACTAACATGTGATGAAAAAAGGAATTCTGGTACTAATTCAGGAAATATCTCTTCACTACCAAGATTTTGATGCTGAACACTAATGTTTGTTTTTCCTTTCCCCACGGAGAATTGAGGAGGAGGAGGATCTTATTGAACTGGACATGCTGGTTTCCAGCTCTTGGCGCTGTAACGATCTCTCAAGAACGCTGACACAGTCCTGGAAGCTGGACAATGCTGTCCGGCTGACTGATGCTGTGAAATAACAATCACAAATATGTATTACTATTAATAATTTAAAGAGATTCACAGTTTACCTTTAATAATTTTACCACTAATACAGTATAAAAAGTATTGAAAGACTTTCTTGAATCACATGCAATGGTTCAGTACTGTTTCTGTATTATTTCTCTTATAATATTGATTGTAATTTTTTGTAGAAGTGAGTTGTTTTCATATTCTCAACAGCTTTATACTAGTTTGTATGTTGCATGACAGTGTTGCAGCCCAAGTTAATAACTATTTGTGTTTTGACCCTTAAGCAGATCAGGATATCAATTACCATACCTGCCATTAAATTTCAAGAGCTAAAAAGAATGCTGATGCCGAAGATTGTCATAGACAGGTAAGTTTTTATGGAATGACCAAAATTTTAAAATTGAAGAAATATTGTCATTACCATTTGTCTGTATTTTGAAACAAGTGCAATAAAATGTTTATACCTAAATTTGTGGCATTTGTTGTGCTTGAAACTAGACTTCTCAAACGCTTTGACGAATCCCGACTTAAATTCATGTATGATGATCTGATGGACTTGAAACCCTCCAAGAGCTGAAACAGAAATTGTTTTAAAAATAGATAACATCAATTGTTAACGACTGACACTGTCTAGTGTTCAAAATTGATCTGTGACCTTGAAAGTAGGTCAAGGTCATTTATATGAGGAAACCTTGTACATACCTACTGGCAAAATATCGGGAATCTTTATTTTGAAACATTAACATGTGCAAAAACTTTAAGAATATTCTAAGTTTCATAATAAAGATTCCCAATATTTCGCACATGTTAGCATTTGACCCCAGCCAGAATTCCAATTTGACCCGAACACAATTTATCAGAAAGAACATTGAAATGCTGGTCTACATACAGATTCTGCTTGAAGTTTTTAATTAACATGTGTGATCTTGGAAGATTGAAATGGTCATTTATATGAGGAAACTTCATAGCACTAGATACTGGGTGCCTAATGACCAAATCAGTAACTTTGCCTTGGAGAATTGAGGAAGATTAATTTGAAGATTTTTGTAATAATAGCCTAGTTTTGACAATGGCCAGCACTCGTAGTTGACATTTGACCTCGGGACAAGAAAATGAGATTTTTTTTTACAACACTTGTTTACTTAAAACAGGTGGTCCCAACCCTTACTGTTTTTAGAAAATGAATTTTATCAATCCCTGTGACCTTGAAAGTAGGTAGGTCAAAGTAATTTAAATGAAGGAAAAATAAATCGCTCCATCCCAAGTACCTACTGTGCAAATAAAAACGGGCTTTTTAGATGAAGTTACTTGAAGAAAAGGTTGATGACAGATAAAAATATGAGGTGGGTTTCAACCATATTTTGTTAGAAACATCCTCAGATGGTCCGGTTTCAATATTTCAAAATGAAGGTACATAAAAGGATATACATGTACTATCTTTATTACAATATATACAATTGCCGATATAAATGCATAAATTTTTCCTGGATCAGTCCAAGGGTAGACACCTTCCCTGGACTTTAGTCCCTAGGTCGCATGATAGCAACAGTTGAGATCCCCAACCTATTAACATATATACCATATACAATTGCTGGGGTTGAATAGACGAACGAGATATGCTGCCAGGATTGGCTTTTGGGTATCTCCCTGCCCTAAAAGACTTGGTCCCTGGGCTATAACATGGAAATGGTTGAGGTTTAAACTCTATAACAATATATACATACAAATGTTACCAGGATTGACTCGAAGGTTCAGCCCCACTTCAGGGTTCTTAGTAATTGGGCAATACCATGGCGGTGGTTAAGCTTCTCATCCCATAACTAAATACACAGTTACCGAGCAAGAAGAAAACGAACACAATCAAGCTATCAGATTTGACACTGGCGTACGGCCCTGCCCTAGGCCTGCTGACTTTGGCCATGGTTGAAGGCGGTTGTAATATGTAAACAGTTTGAATCTTCATGGCAAGAAATTAATAAATGTACCCCTTTGAACACTCATGATCATGGCATAAAAACAGTTCTCACCACCATCTTGTTACCACAGACGTTATTGCTGAGCATGAGGAGACCACCACCATCTTGCTATTATGATTATCGCCCTGACTTCTTGCCCTTCCTAGATTCCAAGATTACATTTGAACAAGACTTTTCTGCAATGATTGCTTAAATTTCCAGGTGATCGATACAGCCCCTCTTGTCAATTTTACATGATATTTTTGCATTTATTTGACCTTCAGTCTAAATTGTAGTTCACAATTGTCTCAATACAGTGCACTGCAAACCTGTATGTAATGCAAGCTGCAAAACCTGTCTGATGGCAATGCATTTTAAAGATTCATCAAGGTGTTTTTAGCAGTTAAAAGCTATGGTTTTGAGAAAGTGTTATTAAAGGAGAGTACTTGTAAAATTTGTTTCTCTTCAAAGGGGAGACATGAAATTATGTGGTACATGGCACTAGTCAACACTTGGTAAAAACCCGGTATAATCAGAAATAAATCCAGTTAAAAATAAGTTCACCCCTGGAATATGTCATAGCAAAATTAAAGGCACCAAGAAAGCTGTTTGATTGGTCCTGGGTAAAAAAAACTGACCAATCGCTAGGCTGATACCTGTCCTTTAAAGATTACAAAGGAAAAACCATGTCAATTTAACCGTTACGTGCCCACGAGATTCTTTTGATGTAAATCAAAGGATCAAACTAGTCTTGTCTCATCTTCAAGGTGCTTCACACTGAGCCTTCGATTTTGCTGACATATTCCAGGGGTGCAGAGAGCGAAAGTGAGCAAAACCCCTGGATATCGAGGAAGCAGTGGCCCTGATATAAGGTTACCAGTAAACATTTGAACTTGTATGCTTATAAAGACTATGACATTTTGAGATTATCGACCAATATTTGAACATTCTTTGACATTGTAAGATTATTGAGCAAGTTCCTAGAATTATTAGGCTTACATTTACAAATTGCTGAAGAAGTGTGTGGACACGTTTGAAGGCTGGCCCGAGTTGATTGAGTGTCGGAGGCGTTTTGTTGCACCAGTGACACATCTCGTTCTCGTAACAGTAGGAGAAGCCCACTTCTAACTGTGACAACTCCGACAGAACAAGCTGCATGGTTTTACTGATCTTTTCCATCCGGGATTCGTCAGGAGCTTGATACTGAAACTGTTGAGAAATAAATAAAAAGTTTGATGCTTGTTCAGTGCAGTAAAAAAAAAATAACTCTCTGGATGATATTCATATGGTTCAAAAGAAATAATATCCATATATGACGGGGCTTCTAGCTTCAGTAGATATTGGAGGCCAAGAACCTGGTCATGGGATCTTCCATGCCAGTCCTATATGGACTGGTGAGATGATCTGTTTTTTGGTCAAATATTCTTTACAGACAACTATATAAGATCTTTCCCTCATGTTGAGGTTTATAAAGATTTTATGAAAATAATTAAACTTCAAGTATGCCATAAAATCTAAAGTGTAACACACATGATTATCAATCTTTAAAATCCTAATTACACCTCCTCTACAAAACTCTTGCGGACCTGTGTAAGCACTGTTAATACTTGTGCCTTGTTTACATTCCGCAATCAAATTATTGATGTGAAATTCCCAACTGTGGGGTTCTGTGCACTTCATGATCATTCAGATCACCTTTGCTGATTTCAACATGATATATCATTTTATCATTAACATGTGTTGCAAACATTTTCTTTCGTTCATATTGTAACTATTTTACAGAATATACAAAAATGCTGGAGGAAGAATTGTTTTGACTGGTTCATTTGCATTTCAACTTATGCAGGTAAAATTATTCACAAGTCATGTATATACAAGAACTGACTAGGCTATCTCGGATTCTTATGTAGGAGTATGGTAGAAAAACAGTTACTTGCATATGATTTTCATATGATTTAATTGGATTAAACATGTTTCTTATTTTGACTTCATTTATGGTAGTTAAAGTTTCAGCAATATTTAGCAAATATTTTAGTCTGTCTTCCATCATGACAAATTTAAATAGTTGGTTATGATATCGCTTTGTATTTGAATAATAATCCAGTATCTTAATTGTGTATAATCTCTTTCCACTATACAACATACAGTTTTTGTTAACTCCTCTAATATTTCTTTCTGTCTTCCTAAATCTTGAGCAAGCTTATTTGCTGCATCTGTTAGTTTCTGTAAATCTGGCTTCGGTGGTCTGAAAACAAAAATTCAGATTTAATAAGTTAATAAATGACAAAATCAAAACAACTGAAACTGACTTTAAATTTAGAATTTATTAACAAGAGGCCCAAGGGCCTTAGCGGTCACCTGAGTTATATCATAGATACTGGTAGCTTTATTTTATTGTTTAGATGTGATGTGGAAATCAGCATGTAAACTAAGTGAAATTCAATACTTGTCATGTCATCAATGGATAAGAATTTGAAAATATTGGTAAATGTTTCCTTTGGGGCCCCGCTCTAGCCCCTGGGGATGGGGCAGGAATCCTAATTTTACAAAGTAAAACTCTCATTTACCCAAGATGATTCTGACTAAGTTTGAGCAATTTTCTGCTGAAAATATATAAAATATATACCGAAAAGTGTTATTTCCCTATATAAACTATATTAAACGTTAACCCCTCCCCAAGGGAGAACGGATAGCTCGGGGTCCTGATATTTTCAATTTAAATAAAGCCCCTGATGATCTTTCTTTCCACGTAAAGAAAATCACTGTAGTACCTCTGAGTCTGGAGAAGAAGATTTTTGAAATATTGATTAATTTTCCCTTTGGGGCCCCGCCCTGGCCCCAGGGGTCGGGGTAGGAATCTCAATTTTACAATTTGAAACCATCTACCTCCAAGGATAATTCTCACCAAGTAAAAATAATTTCCTACAGAAAGTTGTCAAAATATACCCAAAAGTGTTATTTCCCTATATAAACTATAGTAAACTTTACCCCCTCCCCAAGGGAGAACGGATAGCTCGGGGGTCCTGAAATTTACAATTTAAGTAAAGCCCCTGATGATCTTTCTTTCCACGTAGAGAAAATCACTGTAGTACCTCTGAGTCTGGAGAAGAAGATTTTTGAAATATTGATTAATTTTCCCTTTGGGGCCCCGCCCTGGCCCCAGGGGTCGGGGTAGGAATCTCAATTTTACAATTTGAAACCATCTACCTCCAAGGATAATTCTCACCAAGTAAAAATAATTTCCTACAGAAAGTTGTCAAAATATACCCAAAAGTGTTATTTCCCTATATAAACTATAGTAAACTTTACCCCCTCCCCAAGGGAGAACGGATAGCTCGGGGGTCCTGAAATTTACAATTTAAGTAAAGCCCCTGATGATCTTTCTTTCCACGTAGAGAAAATCACTGTAGTACCTCTGAGTCTGGAGAAGAAGATTTTTGAAATATTGATTAATTTTCCCTTTGGGGCCCCGCCCTGGCCCCAGGGGTCGGGGTAGGAATCTCAATTTTACAATTTGAAACCATCTACCTCCAAGGATAATTCTCACCAAGTAAAAATAATTTCCTACAGAAAGTTGTCAAAATATACCCAAAAGTGTTATTTCCCTATATAAACTATAGTAAACTTTACCCCCTCCCCAAGGGAGAACGGATAGCTCGGGGGTCCTGAAATTTACAATTTAAGTAAAGCCCCTGATGATCTTTCTTTCCACGTAGAGAAAATCACTGTAGTACCTCTGAGTCTGGAGAAGAAGATTTTTGAAATATTGATTAATTTTCCCTTTGGGGCCCCGCCCTGGCCCCAGGGGTCGGGGTAGGAATCTCAATTTTACAATTTGAAACCATCTACCTCCAAGGATAATTCTCACCAAGTAAAAATAATTTCCTACAGAAAGTTGTCAAAATATACCCAAAAGTGTTATTTCCCTATATAAACTATAGTAAACTTTACCCCCTCCCCAAGGGAGAACGGATAGCTCGGGGGTCCTGAAATTTACAATTTAAGTAAAGCCCCTGATGATCTTTCTTTCCACGTAGAGAAAATCACTGTAGTACCTGTGAGTCTGGAGAAGAAGATTTTTGAAATATTGGATAATTTTCCCTTTGGGGCCCCGCCCTGGCCCCAGGGGTGGGGGTAGGAATCCCAATTTTACAATTTTGAAGCCTCATCTACCAAGGATGATTCTGACCAAGTTTGAAAAAAATCCATCCACTGGTTCTTGAGAAGAAGTTGAAAATGTAAAAGTTTACGCACGACGGACGACGACGGACGAAAAGCGATTGGAATAGGTCACTTGAGCAAAGCTCAGGTGACCTAATTAAATAAAAAGTATCTGTTTAGACTTGAAATATATAGAGAGAGTCAAAATAAACTTCCAAGACATCTAAACTGATGTAGTATTGGAAATATATACCATTTCAGTTCTTACCATGTAAACTACATACAATCTAAACTCATATAACATCTCAACTATTTATGTATACTGAATCTTAATTCATATACAATCTTAACTATATTTATACTATCTGAACAGTCAAAATACAAGTACATCTAAACTATATATACAACTTAAGACTTTATATACAATCTTAACTATACCATCTAAACTAAATTTGAACTTGTATACCATTGACGCTTAATACCATGTTTGAACTATATATACCTTTAAACCTCATATACAATATAAACTATCAGGTCCAGTACATTCTGTCGCCCGAGCTATAAAGCTGTAAAGACCTTTAACAGCTACATCACTTATCTGAAATAAGTCTTTGAGCTATTTTCACATGATTTTGTTTTCGAAAAGAAAATGACAAAAGTCGCAAATACCTCTAACTGTATGCTTTCCCCGTTAGCATTAACCTAGTTCTTTGCAATTTTGCTTTATTTTCATTAAAACACTATAACAATCTTATAAATATAGCTCAATACAGCAATAAATTATAGGTAGATATAGCTATATACACTGTAGGTCTTCACAGCTACATAGCTCAATCTGCAGTGTACTGGACCAGACTTTATACTATCCTACTCCTATACACTCAACATAACATTTAAGTAACACACATGCATTGAAAGTTTCATTTATTACATGTATCATTTCATGTCAGTTGTGTAAAATGTACACAATGAAAATAAATTGCAAGCACATTCACATGACCTTAATAATTTTGATATTATCATTCGCATGAGAGTTTTACATTAGCATATATTAGCATATATTATTGCCTTTAAAAGTTCTAAACAAAATAAAAGTTGCTCTATAACTTGTAACAATTTTAGCCACCTCTAGTTTTTGATAGTGATAATATCAATATAGAATATCTTCACATACTTTCTGTTGATCCTGCGAAAGAGTTGTACATACAAAATGATCAAGTTGAAGCTGTAGCCATGGAAACCGAGAATATTTTAATTCAGTAAATGTTATTGAAAAATCAAAAGGATTGCCTATATTAGTCCTCTCCTGGAGGATCGAGAATATAATTACATCACAACATTTCATGCTATACATTATAGTGGAGGAAGTGACTTACCTGTCCTTGGTGTGACCTTGCTGTGCCCAGCTGATTTCCACCTGTTGCTGAAGGTCTGGGGGTAGAAGTGTTGATCTAAGGTTGAACAGGGCGTCCATTTTCTCCTGCTGGACAAGAGAGTCTATGTACAGACAGTCTTTTCTAAACTGCTCGTCCAGACTGGTGGCATCACTGTAATTTTATAGTAAATCTGTATCAAACATAGGTCTATATTCCAGCCTACTCTAACTTTTATATACTGTTCAAATGATAGGAGGCATTTTATTGATATAAAGTAACTGAAACCTGACAACAACAAAAACCAACTTCACCTACTTGAACAAATTCCACAACCATAAACTTTATATATTTTTAAAAATGTTGAGATAACTTGACCTGCCTTTAGAGACTATAAGATACAAATCATGATTGCATAGAGTGTTCAAGTTATCCATTATATTGTTATATTAATTTAATTATTACCACACTCTACTGGCATAACAACATGTCAAAATTAATACTAAAATTTGGTAGGATATTTTTAGCACAAAGAACAAGACTTTCTTCCGATACTAAAAGTTTACTCTCCCAAAAAGGTGAGACATTCTGTTTCACAATATTTCTTTAAACCTTATTTACCTGACAATACCTGGGCTACACAATGCTTTATTTGTAGGATCCTCGGCAGCATCCATGATACAAACATTGTCCAACAGCTGATCTATGAAGGCTGCCTGTCGTGTAGGCTTTGTGTTGACACCCTGCCATAACGAAAAGACACGGCGAAACACATACAATTAACATTAACATAACCACTAAACATAACAGACATTTGGTATTAATTATTTTCAAACTCATTACAATATTTTGTTCGGTCATCTTAAAAAATATATGTTTATTATCTATTATAATGCTTGGGCTCTATATAAATACGTGTACCTAAGTATGTAAATATGTGAAACAAATAACATGAAATGTTCTTTTCCTGAAGACTCTCAACTAGACAGCCCCACTCACTCTGATAAGGTCGACGTCGTCATATTTACACAGTCCCAGTGTTGTTGCCACAAACAGAAGTCCTGTGAACATTTACAAAGTGGTTAAACCAGACATGACATTTTCTCTTTAGTACATTTTAAAAATTTTTGAGTAAAAGCGTTACAATAACTTTTTAAAAGGATACAAAAACATTTACATGAATCTGTCAATTTTTGTTAAGCACAAAGCTATTAACTAATTTATTTTTTGTTAAGCACAATGCTATTAATTAATTTCACAGAAAAAATGCAAAATCATCCATGTTTTTGTCATATATATACATGTATATACAAAAATTTAAGAGTCAGAAGAAGACCGATTCTCAAGGCCTATTACTGCTATAAAGATAATGTGGAACCCTATTGCAATTATTGTAAGGGTTTGCTTGGAAACAATACACGTGTTTCCATTCCAACACAATGTTGAGTTTAAGGGAAAACAATACATAAATAATAATATGATACATATCTTGACACAACACTTATGAATCTGAGGCGGGATCTAAATCACCAACTCTTGAGTTAAAACTGAATTACGAAAACATTACTGTAGAAACTAGGACACAGTTGAGTTAATCTCATTGTCCTTGTGACTTTGGGCCTTCAGAATACCTACTCTGGATACGTGAATCCATCTTCGACTCATTCGATGCAAATGTTGGATCAAGAACATCATTCAACCTGGAGTCAAATCTGCAGAGAAACATACCATCAACATTAATGACATGAATTTTTTTAATCTTATATAGAACAATTCAAGAAAACAATATCTGTACAAATTATAAGTGTATCAACTCTAGCACACTACACGTAGAAAGAGGATCAACCTAGCATACAGACAAAACTAAGTATGTACCAGGTATAGGATAAACATATATTGTCTTTTTCAGAAACATTTTTCTATGAATTCATATATAAAACAATTAAAACGACAAGAAAGGGAGCTAACAAGTTTATAACCCCTACTCAGCTATTGACAGTGTTAAAGTAACTGACCTAGGCCACTTAACCCTTTCACCCCTATGTAACTTGAGTAGACTCTACCATGCATTGATCTGGACGAGTCCATTATGGTCTACAGTGGTGAAAGGGTTAAAGAATAATGTCTGACATGAGACACAACCTTTAGTCCTAATACTAAGTATAAGCTTAAAATGTGCAAAAAAATAAAAGTTACAGAAAAGCATTGCAGTGACTTGACTAAATTGACTACTTGCTATGACCTTTACTTTGAGATTACAGACCTAAAACCATTTTGGCAAGATATTTATCTTTAATCAAATTTCATCAAATATTCTTAGGCACTTACAACTTACTGTCAGTTAAAAGGGACAGGTTTTAACATGTAACAAATTCAGTTATAATCAATCAGGATATCCCCCCTTTATCTTTTGGGTGATTCAAAATCAGTAAATAGATGTCATTTCTACCAGACTAACTTTGAGAAGAGCCACTGAAGAAGTCTGATCCTATGTTCCCCAGGCTTGAAAATTAGCTCAGAAATCCATGAATCGTCCACTCCTTCTGTAAATGGACATCCCAGCTTCTACAAAATATTACACAAACTATATATTTCATTGTTGAGTTTAAGAGTCATAAACACCTTATTGTAATGTATGGTTGTACCTATAAAATGAATTGATGTATAATGTAAGAAATACCAATTATGAAAATGTTCGAAGATCGAAGAGCTTTATATTTTTCTCATACAAGAAATACATGTATTAATATTAATACATATTTGGCCATGGGTCCACTACTTCACTGTTGGTTCAGAGACACAATAAACTAACAACTGGGAAAGTTATAGCCAGGATTCAGGTGAGAAATTAAGAGACATACCACATGAAAGCATGTTGTATCATAATATTTGGTTAACAATCAGATGGTCTTGTAACTTATCAAAGTTTGTAAGATCACTTTTAAAATTTCTTAGCTGACATAAAATGATGTTAAGTTTCCTCTGAACACAGTTAATAAAAGTTTCTGAGACAGATGTATTAAAAGTTTTTTTAAGTTTCTTTTTAAAAGATGAAATTGAGATAGAGTCTCGTACAGTGCTATCAAGTGTATTCCATTTTACCATTGTAGAAGGGAAGAAGCTTTTCATATAAGTAGTAGTTCTTGTCTGTGGTATATTAAAGAATCTGTTATTTCTGAAGGTATAGTTATTATTTACATTAAGAAATGGTTGAATGATATTATCGAGATAAGTTGGAGTGTAATTATTAAGAATCTTATACATTAATGTTAGTTTATGGTTTTGTCTTCGTGTGTGTAATGTTTCAAGTTGTGTTTCAGTATACAGAATGTGATGAGATGTACCTCGTCTGAGGCCAGTAATTAAACGCATACCTTCTAGTTGAACTGATTCTAAAAGATCTGATTCAGATTTGGTACAATTATCCCATACTATATATGAATATTCTAACACAGGTTTAAGAGACATATAATGTTTTTAATGTATCCCTATCAACTATAGTTTTTAAAATTCTAAGAATTCTTAGCCTAGAGTTAGCTTTTTTATAAATATTTGAAATGTGATCTGCCCATGTCCCTTTACTGTTAAATGTTAGTCCTAAGTGAGTATGGTGTTCATGTTGTGCAATTGGAGTATTGTTAAATAGCAGTTGAGGATGATTGTTAATGTGTCTACGAGAGAAGTTAATAGCTACAGTCTTATTCGGATTGAATAGGATCTGCCATTGCTTTGACCATTCAGAGATTGATTCGAGATCATCATTAAGCATGTTAGTAGGTGTTGTAAGGTCATTGTTATTATTTACTATAACATAGAGAGAGGTATCATCTGCAAAGAGTTTTATATGAAAGTTTACATTGTTAGTAATATCATTAATAAAAAGAAGAAAGAGGAAGGGACCAAGGACAGATCCCTGAGGAACCCCTGTAGAAATAGGTTTGGTACTAGATTTATAACCTGCAAAGATAACCCTTTGTTTTCTGTCAGATAAGTAAGCTTTAAACCAATCATATAATTTACCTTTAATACCATATGTTTTAGTTTATATAATAGGCCCAAATGCCATACACGATCAAATGCTTTACTTATGTCACAGAAAACAAAGTGCAAATCTTTACCTTGGTCTAAATTACTACTTATAGTATTATAAATATCAGCTAGTTGATTAGTAGTGGAGCCTTTGGGTTGAAATCCTGACTGATGTACACTTAACATATTGTGACTTGAAATATAATTAAACGTATATTTAAAAATATTTTTTCTAACATTTTGATAAAAATAGATGTAATAGCAATAGGTCTATAATTATTGAGATCACTGATATCTCCTTTACCTTTATAGAGAGCAGTAACATTAGCCAGTACCTGGGGACTGTCCCACGTCGGCCTTAAAACCGTGACCACATGGTTTGAGGGGTAATGACTGTAGATGGTCAAATGCCTTAACCACTTGACTTCCAAGGACCAGTTTATTCAGGACAGTGTCATTATATGTACCAAGTATTGTTGAGAAATGCATGGAACCAGATAGTAGACCAGAAATCAATTTCGTTGACCTAAAGAAAGCTGAAAGCTATGTATGACAACATCCAAGTGGACAGCACTGTTTACATATGAGTTATCAGGTTTATAACTCAGATCTGCTTAAATCATCGACTGCAGCACGTGGAATGCAATCTTTGATTCCTGCGAACCCTTGTTTCAAGTTAGTACTGGGTAAACACTTGGGGAATTAATGGAGTACCAGAACATGGGTTATAAATACTTAATAGTGTTGTCTTCGAAAATGGAGGGAGCATTGCAGCAGAGCTGGATTAGGTCAAAAGCTTGTGACAAGGTAGCTCAATAGGTAAGTGCCTATCAAGAGTTTGGAGGCCCCGAGTTCCAATCCAATTCTGGCCATGCATGTTTTCTCTCCTGTGACACATTTTATTATATAAATTCATCCTAAATTCTCAACCTATGAAGACAGATCTGTGGGTCCAACAATCACTGTAACTTGTCAGAAATAATGCCTGTCTCCTCTGCCCTGTTAAAGAAAAATATAGACCATCTGAATCCACCTCAGAAAAAAGGAGACATATGCTATACACATGTAGTGGCGAACTGGACTAATGTTGAACATCGGCGACAGGGAAGCTCAATTGGAAGAGCGTCTGTCTAGAATTCGGGGGTTCTGGATTTGAATCCTGGTCTGGCCTCCAGACAACTATGTGTCAAAATGTCGAAGTTTGGTGATAGGGCCAGAGGAAAGTTTGAAAATGGAGCAAGGAATGTAGCGGAACTGGAATGGGCCGATCATCCTTCAATTCAGAGGGGTTTCAGTAAACTATTATGCCCCCCTCCCCATTAATATGAGGCAATTTCTTAGGCACATAAGTCTGGTAAATACGAAGAATATGAAATTGTCTTCCCTACCCTTCTGCCTTACCAATATAGTAGAACAGGGAAGATTGCTTCATATTTTAACACATTTACAAACTAAATGCAAATGTCTGTTGGTATTTCGGACCACTGCAACCAAAGGTGTTTGCAATTCTGACTGTAAATTAAGATAAAAAATGTAAAAAAATAAGGGTATTACTATAAAAAAAAAGCACAGTACTTTTTCATAGTAATACCCTTATTTTTTATATGATTTTAATCTCAATTTACAGTCAGAATTTCAAACACCTTTGCTGCAACAAGTCACAACAAGTTTTACTCTCTTCTAACTCGTCGGTACATGACATATCATGCAAATATAAATCAATTCTAATGTGTCTGTACAAACGATAGTGTTCTAGGGGAAATAGATACACGTGTACATTACATCAAGTCTTTTCTTGAACGATTTTGCCAGCTTGATCTTCTGATCATCTTTTGAAGGAGCCGCCATTATTAGACCGGAAGTAAATAAACTTAAAAGTCAAGCACCTGACAAACATGATGAAGCGCAAGTTTGACATTGAGTAGAATGTTGGCTCCAGCTGTCAATATTTCTCAAAGTTTTATGAACAAAAGGTTGCCATTCTTATAACTTACACTCAAAATACACAATGTAATGGAGAAGATTGCTACACAAGAAATAGAACAGGCAGCCACCACAAGTTCGGATATAGAAGAAAACGGGCAAATCTCAGAAACCAAAGATAACGAGACGTCTACAAAAAATTGGGAAACTGAAGAAAACAATACGATGCGTATGTAAAAAAATGCACTGTTAAGCGCTTTTTATAGATTGTTAACTTTTGAAGTTGGATGACACATTGCACCGAGCTGAATATTTACTGAGGATTATACTGTTCTGCTACATATAAAATTGAATTCAGTGTTAGATGAGCAACCTTAGAATTTAGGATCTAACGTTACAGACTAGAGATAAAAGGTCTTTAACAGTATACGATTTAAAGTTCTTAATTATACACCTACTGAAGTTTTGATAGACTAGACATTGACCAAGAATCTCTACTTACATATTTAGTGTTCGATAACATGAAATAAAGAAAATATGTGTAATAATATAGGTGGTCAAATGATTTTTTTAATGTAAGTACAATAAAGCCAAGTCATCCGGAAACTGGGATCAGTTCAAGGAATTCCAACATAAATGTTAACATAATTTTAAAAAGGCAGAAATATTAAATATCAACAACACCATAGCGGAAGGTCTTAGGGACAATAACACTAAACCATTCTGGCACTTTGTGAAATCGAGGAGACAGGAAAACCTAGGAGTTCCACCCTTGAAAGTGAATGGAATACTCAAGAATGGTAGTGTCTACAAAGCCAAAATCCTACTGGACCAGTTCTTGTCAGTCTTTACTACTGATACATCCACAGCATCCAGTAAGACCTCAACGCCGAAGGTTAGACACCAGCTACCACCGCTGGTAATTACAGCTAAAGGAGTAGCTAAACTACTCTCCGGACTACAGATCCTCAAGGCGACAGGACCAGACAGCATTTCTTATCAAATCCTTAAAACTTGTGCAGACGAATTAGCAGCTCTAACACGCATCTTCCAGTTCTTCATAGCTACCGGCCACCTGCCCAAGGACTGGAGGAGCGCCAATGTCTTACCCATTTTTAAGAAGGGAAATGTTCACTTACCCGAGAACTACCATCCAGTGTCGTTAACATGCGTCTCATGCAAAGTCCTAGAGCTTGTTATATGTAAACACATACTCGATGACCTAGACAGAAACAAGATCTTAACCAAACTAAACTATAGCTTCAGGGCCGGTTTCTCCTGTGAAACGCAGCTCATCACAACAATGCATAACCTCCTAAAGAACCATGATTAAGGCATGCCAACGGATGTCATAGTCTTAGACTTCTCGAAAGCCTTCGACACTGTGCCCCACAGAAAGCTGCTTTTCAAGATGTTGAATTACGGTATTGATGGACCTGTCCATCAATGGCCGCCATCCTTTTTGTGTGACCGTGACATCATGAGAGTAGTTGTTGATGGTGAACACTCTCAGAGATCATCAGTATTATCCAGAGTTCCGCAGGGGACAGTCCTTGCCCCCCTGCTATTTCTCTGCCATATAAACGATCTACCTGATTCAGTCTCCTCACAAGTGCATCTATTTGCAGACGACTGCCTCCTTTACCGGAAGATAAAAACACCCCGGGACACCACCAAATTACAAGATCTCATTAAATTGGAAGAATGGGCTGAAGTATGGGGGATGTCATTCACTGCTAAGAAGTGTACCGTTCTGTGTATAGACAGCAAGAAACCTCAGTTTTACAAACTAGGTGAACACATCCTACAACAGACGTCCGAAAGTCCTTACCTTGGTATCACAATATCTGATAATCTGAAATGGAACTCCAACATCAACAAAACCATCAAGAAAGTGAATTGCTCGCTCAGTTTTATCACCAGAAATCTCAAACGTTGCCCAACTGAATGTCGTAGAACAGCCTACTTCTGCCTTGTTAGGTCCATCCTACCTAACAGAGTACGGATCAGTCGTCTGGGACCCCTACGTACATCAAAGACATCAACAGACCCCAGCAAGTGCAAAGTAGGGCAGCAAGGTTTATCTCCGGAGAATTTCGTTCACGAGAGGAAGGATGTGTGACCAAAATGTTAAGAGACGCGGGCCTGTCCCCACTAGCAGAAGGACGTTGTATGCTTCGCCTGGTTATGTTCTATATAGTGGTCGAGGGTGTGGTGCCAGCCTTACCTTCGCATGAGTACCTGACACCAATTGCCGGAAATAAACGTAAAATTCATCCACAGGATTTTTGTGACTATCAGTATAATAATACTGTTGCAAATTACACCTACAATAACTCCAAGTGTTTCAAAGTCCAGAATTGTTAAACAGAACAATTTTAAAACTCTTTCTTCAATAAGACTACTATTGACTGGAAATATCTGACCGACATCCCCACGCAAAGTACCACAGTGGAGAGTTTCAAAGGAACCCTCACCCTTCAGAACTACTAGATTACCTAGCACTCCTCCCTCGACCCGATACATGTCCTGAGGGACCCTGCGCCGCATACCCACAGATACAGATCATTGAATTATATACATTATAATTTTGGTCGTTGAAGTAAATTATTCCCTAGTCGTAGACCAACAGTGTTTTTCACTGCAATTGTCTATGGGTCCTTCTTGATGAACTGTAAACAATATCTAAAAAAAAAATGTACAAATAAAAATCTATGGTAATAATATTTTAGTATTAAAATATTTAATTATAGATCTGTTCCTATATGGTTCTATTAAAAGAGGTTCAAGTTTTATTAGAATATAAACGTTTAAGCTTACTGTGTAAATTACATTCACAAAAAGGAAAACAATTGAAGTTGCGATATTGTGTTTAAAGTAATAGTATCAGATTTTCTTCGCAACTTATTTAGATTTAAATGTTAAAAAGATAAATATTTACAAATTTCACAATAGATGCAGATGTGGATTTTATGGGGGGGGGGGGGGGGTTTCTTTTTCTTTTTTTACAAATTTGGAAAATAGAAACAACAGTATGATAAACATGTACATTGTATTTAAAGATTAAAAAAGAATTTCTGGGGTTTTTATTTTTGCAGCTAACGAAATACCACACAAGAAACGAAACCTGTTTGGGTTCTGGTAAGTATTTTTGTATATTCAAATTATGTAACTGTATTCAACTTATATCATGAATGTCTCTATCAAAGAATTTTCTATCAGAAATCTTCCGAGTATTATGGGCTGGATTAATCATGAACTTACTTGAGCCATTGATATGGATAGTTAATATATATTGATTAAATAACAACTACAGGTTACCTAATTAAACAAACCACATGAATTGTGTGGAATTTGAAAATTGTTTGAATTTAGTTTGTCTACCTTTAATACAGCTGATTACAATCTTTCTAAACCCACACTTGAAAATAGCATATTGTCTGTGCATCTATTACAACTGTTACATCTAGAGGTGAAGGTCTGTCATCTGTTACAACTTTTACATCTAGAGGTGAAGGTCTGTCATCCATTACAACTGTTACATCTAGAGGTGAAGGTCTGTCATCTATTACAACTGTTACATCTAGAGGTGAATGTCTATTATCTATTACAACTGTTACATCTAGAGGTGAATGTCTGTCATCTATTACAACTGTTACATCTAGAGGTGAAGGTCTGTTATCTATTACAACTGTTACATCTAGAGGTGGAGGTCTATCATCTATTACAACTGTTACATCTAGAGGCGAAGGTCTGTCATCCATTACAACTGTTACATCTAGAGGCGAAGGTCTGTCATCCATTACAACTGTTACATCTAGAGGGGAAGGTCTGTCATCTATTACAGCTGTTACATCTAGAGGTGAATGTCTATTATCTATTCCAACTGTTACATCTAGAGGTGAATGTCTATTATCTATTACAACTGTTACATCTAGAGGGGAATGTCTGTCATCTATTACAACTGTTACATCTAGAGGTGAAGGTCTGTCATCTATTACAGCTGTTACATCTAGAGGTGAAGGTCTGTCATCTGCCATAATTACATCACAATATAATTACATCACAATCATCTTTTATTTCTAGTCTACTGATGAATAAATGATGTTTATTTTATGGGCAATAATTTTCTTGCGTTCTCATGCAAGTTCATCAAACTTTAGGTTCTGTTTTACCTAAGGATGTAGGTGAAAAACATGATCACCTGATAAATGTCAAGGGGAGATTTTAAAAAGAGTCAGTACTAGAGTTGACCTTTGCTTTAACTTTGCTTTTTTATAACATAAAGGTATTTCATGTAGGTCAATGATTATATTAGTTTCATTTTGACATGGGACCTTGTACCATGTGATATGCAGTATTGACCTTCAGTATAACAATTTGAAGTGAAAAGTTTATATACCCGGGTATATATGTTATGTTGATTTATATTTATCATTAGACTGATCCATCACCTTTTGGTGACCTATATAATGACACTTGGTTAACTTAAATTTATTGCAAGTTTGTTTATAATTAAAAAATGAAAAAAATGTAGGAATTACATTAATATTGTTGTAAACATCTTCTATTGTTGAAAATCTTCAAAGTCGACAAAAATATTTGAAAATGTCACAACTTTATAACTGATATGAAAATAGCAATGCTTCTCATCTGTTAAGACAAGTTTTGTATGCTTAGAAATAGTTTTAGATAGAATAAACATAATCTTACCTGGTTCATTTTCAGAGGAAGTGGTTGAATATTTGTGAATGTGTTAAATTATCTCTTGTAGGTGGCTTGGCCTATGTAACAACTTTGCCTATGTTATAATGCTGAGTGCTGCCCATGATATTCTCAAAGAGCAGGGAGGAGGCCATTCCAGTGACACCAACTCTAACGTATGTATGATCAGCTACAAAATGTTCAACTTGCTTAAAGAAAACCACTTGCGTATGACATTCTACTGTTTATAATGGAAATGATTCTAGTTCCTTGTTGTTTTTACACTAACTTGATTTTGTTTGAACCTTTGTAAAATAATCACCTGTCTATAAAGGAAATACACTTTATCTACATTTTTCAGCTTTCTTAGACCACAGGTAGCTATTATATATAAGTCCTCTTTGACAACATACTTATATCACCTCATTCGTATACTTAACTGTGGTGTATATTTAAATCATGTAATCCACTATCACAAAGGTTTCGTTCATTCGACTGTCACGGTTACTTTGAATCAACTGTCACAGTGCCTTTAACCTTTAAGCCAGTCTGTCTGTTCATCTGTCACCTTTTTCTGCTGCGTATCTCCTATAATCTGTTAACCTATAGCTACAGTTGCTAAATTTTGTAAGTGACAACCTCTTGGGATAGCATGATGTCACATGCTGAAATCAGGTCTTGGTCATCACTATACATAGTTTAGCCCTTTGTTGACTGAATGACATTGGCAAGGTCACATCTCATATACTTTGTCACCTTCAATTACCAAATTTTGTTTTTAAGGACCTCTTGGGTTGACAGAATACTGTATACATGTACTAAATGAGGTCTCGTTCTCAACTATGAACAGAGTTACGACCTTTGGTTCACTGTACCTCACCTTTTCTGGGCACATATCTCATATACCAAGTTTTCTATGTAAGTACCTGTTGGGATGATACAGTCAGTGTTGCATACTGAAATCAGGTATCATGCCCCTCCATATACAAAGCTATAGTCCATTGTTTATTCTATACTGAAGTTAGAACAGAGTTGGGCATCTATGGATTGCTTGCAACATTTTGTCTTGATTTTTAAAAGTCATTTTGTTTGTTCTTTATCCCACGATTTTTATTGTTACTTTTACAGGCCACAACTGTTGCTCCTGTCAATAGTAGCTTCGAATATCTCCAGTGTAACCCAATATCTACAGGGGTGAGTAAATAATAACAATACACTATAGTTCAACCCAATACTGCTATAGGCTAAGCCTGTTGTCTGATTCTTTGCCAATACTGTACTGCATGCATATCTTGTAACATCTGATTTAATATATACAACTTACATTTTTGTATTATATGCATATTGTCATTAAAAATATTTTTGAAAAAACCCAATACTGACAGACAAATTAATAATAGCTACCAGTAACTCTTGTTTAACCCAATACCAACAGAGGTAACTTATTTGTTAGCTTCAAATATCTTCAGTTTAACACCATATCATGTATGAGTAAGTTCATCAAATGAAGTATCATTGGGGTGATGGGGTGGGGCAGTGTATAACACACTTACCTTTGACCAAGGCAGGCAGGGTTTGATTCCCCGATCCGACGTGAATAGGTATGGGTTTGCCTGCCCAAACACGTGGATACTCCGGTTTCCTAACACAATAAAAATCCCAACGCGCTAACATCTGGGCCAATAAGAATGATTAATATAAAATATAAATAGATAAAGTTTATATTAAGTATCATCATGTTGTAAACCTGTTTTGTTGTATCTAGTAATATTACTACACTGTACCACAATTAATCAATTATGTATATTTAAAAAGGTATTGGTTTTGTATTACAGGCAATCCTTTTGGCAGACATATTACCGACCTTACTCATCAAATTAACTGCACCCTTTTATGTCCAGCGACTAAGCTACAGGTATGTGACAGTTTTGGTCCGGTGACTAAGCTACAGGTATGTGACAGTTTTGGTCCAGTGACTAAGCTACAGGAAGTGTTAGTATGTTTGATTTGATGGAGAGAAAGACAGGATTAGTGAAAGAGAAAATATTATATGAATTGAATCTTGTTACAAATGCATTTTCTATAATACAGAATACGTACAATATAATTATACTATCATTATACATATTATAACATGCCTTTCTATGGAGCCCGCAAAACGACATGGTAATACATTAACCAATCCGTATGCACGAGTTACTAATCTGTGTGCACAAGGTACCACATAGTGCACACAAGTTTGCAATCTGTACACACAAGTTACCGACTCGTGCACAAGGATTGGCAATTGTGCACTCAGATTGGTAACTCATGCACACAGATTGGTAACTCATGCACACAGATTAGTAACTCATGCACATGGATTGGACAGATTACAAACTTGTGTGTACGGATTAGTAATTGTATTACCATGTCCATTCGCAGGCTCCGTACCTTTCTTTTTCAGTAAATAATATTTCAAAAAAAGTTTACATCAGACTATTTTAATTAATTAGACCATTCAAAAACTTTTGTGTAAGAAGAAAATCCCTACTTTTAATTTTTTTAATTTTGTCAATTTAAAATGGAGGCTTATATATATTACTATTTCTTGTCATTGTTTGTAGGTTCAAGGTTTCCACAGTGACGTTGTTTTGCTTTTTAAGCTTTATATTGGTAGGATTTTCTCAGGGGATCTGGATGAGCATAACTGGTGAGTTCTATCTGTAGACTGTCAAATCAGAAGCTTATTCAGAAAATGTTACCCTATATTGGGTTAAGTCATATTTGTACAAAACAATTGTGAATAAAATCATCAAAATCCTCCCGTAGAAAAATAGTTTGTTGAATGAGAGCATACATGTGTACATTTTACCGACATGTGTTGTAGGCTGTCATACTGAAATCCTGTTGTAAATCCTGTTGTATAGCCACCCCTGTTATACTGCCAAAATTGGTACGGGACAAAAGGTCGTAGTATAACAGGGGACAACTGTACACAATTGTATTATCAATAAGAAAACAATATTTAATGGTATTTAACATGCCACGCACAAAAATTGATTGGACATATTAAGGTATGACCATTATCCATCTGTCCATGAACTGTTTTCATTTCTGCACAAAGTTTTATGGTAGAAACAACATGCAAAGAAATCTTCTTATTGTTTCACACAGGAACAGATTACTTGGAACACTAATTTCAGATTAAAAAATATATATGTAAATGTGTATCAAGAAATATTTATTGTGTGCAATGTACTGGTAAGCAATAGAAATCGTATTGGAACAGGAACATCAGCTCTGACATGTGGATTATGCTCAAATCTTAAAAAATACTTAAATACTTAGAATTCAGATATTTCTTTCATGATTATTAGCAGCTAATTTTGCTTAATTATGAAGATGTTTTCACAATATGGTACATCATATGCCAAGAACAATGCATGATCAAATTATAATTTTGAAATCATTGTAGGGGTGGTTTGTGCTAGTATTGGAGGTGGTCTAGGGGAGGTAACTTATCTCAGCTACTCAGCGTTTTTCCACAGGTAAGTCAATGTAAATATTTCACACAATCCTTAAGTCTTTGCATATTGATATGGTATCCAAAGTAAACATTTTATCAAAAAGTTCTTTACAAATGACTGGGAATATTTACTGTGTTACTGAGTAATTTTACATACTATTCTAGCTGAGTAATTGGTTTCCAAGAAATATTAGTAGTTACATTATTGGTGATTTTTAAAGTTAACTATATATTACACTTGTTTTTTAATTACGTTATTATAAATCAGGCTTGAAATTATAGAAATTTTAAGTAAAACTTTGGTTCTGGAAGGTTCCTCGGTCTAGAAGGTGGATTTTCCTGTAGATACAGTCTTTTCATTGAAGTAAAGCACGTCTGGAAAAACTGAAATAAAAGAAAGTCAAGAAGGACTTAATCAAGCAACAAATATAAGGTCTTCTTGACTTACAAAGAATTTCAGTCTATTTCATTTACCTACTGAGCATAATTGATTTTATTTACAGAAATGTGGTATCGGCCTACTCGTCGGGAACAGGTGGTGCCGGCGTGTTTGGGGCCCTGGTGTACGCAGGACTGACCACTGCTGGTCTATCACCTAAGGCCACCACACTGTGTATGGTCATCATACCTGTGATCATGGCTGTCAAGTAAGTGAACTTAATTAGCATATATGTATGTCTTTTTACACTTTTTCTTCTTTCTAAAAGAATGTTATATTTTGCAGAAGAAATGAAGAAAAAAAAAATCCTGAACATGAATGGGAACTTACAGGTGTTCCACGTTGCTGAAAATATAAACCACTACCAAATCTTGGTTGTGAAAAAACTTTTTGACCTTTTAACATCTCCCTGGACTCCAACCGTAACGCTGCATAGTTACACTGGCTTTGATCAAATCGTGATATACAGTGTTATATCATTCTCAAATTGCAGTTTTTTTCTGGTGGTAAAGAAACCCCTTGGACATTCTACCCCCGAGTCAGACAGTTCGTTACTACTGATGGAAGAGACTAAGAGTGAGTCGTACCTACATCTTAGATTGTACACAAACAGTCCAACTCATCCAACTGACCAGCCATTTGTTTAAACATTATTGTTATTCTACTGATTGTGGGTTAAATTGGTCAGTTTTTAAATTGAAAGGTTCAGATAACCTAGAAAATGAACTACCTGGATGGTATTGCTTAATTGATTAATATCTTATAGTAGAGGAAATTATACAGTAACATGCTATTGATTTTCAACCTTTTTATTCTTCCTTTAGTTGTGAGAATAATTGCTAATTTGTTCAAAAGAAGTTCACATAGACAACACAACATATAATTGGATTATCTCCCCATAGACCATAAGCCATCTCATCATGAGTATTAATTACCTGTCAAAAATTAAACAAAATCTCAAATATATATCAATGATATCAACATTACAACTTTAAGATGCAATATTTATGCACAGAATATAATGATAAAAATGAAAGTTGCACAGATGTCAGAATGTACACAGGGGAACTTTTCGGACAAAAATACACTAGAATGACACAAATACAATGAGGACAACTTTCCAGCAATTATTTTGCTTTTTCGTTTTTTCCACAGAGTCAAAAAGAATAGAGTTATCAGCAAAACAGAAAGTAGCCCTAGTTGTGGTGAGTAATAAGATAAATGTGATACCTTATGATTACAGCGGATAATTATGTGGTATTTGTAAGATGGTGATTATCATATGGAGGCATGGTAGTCTAGTGGTAGGATGCCGGGCTCGTGACCGAAGGGTTGTGGGTTCGAGTCACGGCACGGCACTGTGTTGTATCTTTGAGCAAGATACTTTACTCCGCTTGTTCTAGTCTACTCAGCTGTAAATGAATACGTTGGGTAATTCTAGAATTGTTGAATGCTAGCTGTTAGTGCCAAAATAGCAGCTCCCCAGGGAGTTGAGAAAGGTATTGGCTGGTTGCAAAGGTCCTATAACCATGGATAATAATTTGTGAAACACTTTGAGATGATCTACAAACTAGGTTGTGATAAAGCGTTATATACGAACCTCAAATTATTATTATTATCATTTTAAAATTGCATTTCTTGGCTGTGATGTTGAGCATTCTTTGTATGACAAGTTCAAGGTATATTCAGTCAAAACCTGTTTAAGTAACATCTGTATGTAGTGGCTATAGCCTACTCTTTATCAGATCACAAGTGTCTTTTTGTACGTTCAGGCACAGGGTCTAAGACTCAGAGTTTTTATAATCTGTTGACCTTGACTTTTATGATCTGTGTTGACCTTGACTTTTATGATCTGTATTGACCTTGACTATTTATAATCTGTGTTGGTCTTGACTTTTATGATCTGTGTTGATCTGGACTTTTATTATCTGTGTAGACCTTGATTATTTATTAACCTTTTGGACCTTGACTTTTTATTATCAGTGGGGCCCTTGACTACTATATTGCTGGAAACTTTTTGTCAAATATTCGCCCTACACCATGATAATCCATATCCACCCAGTGTTCATTTCCTTTCATATGTAGTTAATAATTCACCCTCATTAAAGAGGGTGAAAAAGAGGAAAGTTATAAAGTGTGACGAAAATTTTCAGATATGCATTGTATACCGGGAAAACTTCACTCAGTCAGATTTTCACCCTTTGTCTACGAAATTAAATTTGGCCAACTTAATTTTGCCATTCACATTTAATTTCTATGTATATTATGTTGTTGACTTACGTTTGCTGTAGTTATAAATTAGCCCTCATTGGAGGGCGAAAAGGTGAAAATTAGACTGAGGCAAACATTTCTTGGTATACAATTTGTAATTTGTGAAAATCTTGGCAAGATATAGTCCATGATTTACTCGACTGTTTATAATCTGTGTTGACTTTAAACATAAACAGTATTCGTTGACATTTACCTAGACCATATATATTTATTATTACGGTTTGTGTAAATCTTAAAGGACTTAGACTTTGACCAAACTAGTTCTTACTGTCTCAGAGGTAAATTTCTTACACAAACTCCTTTATTTTTCATCACAGCCGTTGCTGAAGTACATGGTGCCCCTGATGCTGGTGTACTTCGCAGAGTACTTTATCAATCAGGGTCTAGTAAGTATGGTACAATATCATGGTTGACAAATTAATCAATTTTTTTCACATACACAAAGTAGCTTGCAATGGAAGAAATAAACGTCACATTTGTTAGTTTTGAGAGCAGTCTCCTCCGGCTGAATTCTAAAACACTTTCATATTGACTGTTACCATAAAGTCTGAAAATTCAGAATTGAAGTGATTTCAATCAGGAAGATAAATATGTGATTTTTATATTCTTAATCATTTTTATTTTCAGCACGAAATATTATATTTCAATAATATCTGGCTGACTAAAGCAGAACAATATAGATGGTGAGTACAATTTTATCTAAACAAGTCATCAGTGGCATATATATTATTTACTATACATATATAAATGAAACAAAAACAATTTTAACTTACCTGAATCTAGTTACCTGTACATCTATTTACCTGTACAGTGAACATTTACCTGTGTATAGGTACCAACTAGAAATATTTTTTCTATTCACTTATATCCAGGTATCAGGTTGACTACCAGCTTGGCGTGTTTATATCAAGATCGTCGGTGAATTTGCTGGAAATAAAAAAACTGTGGTTTTTACCTGTCCTTCAGGTGAGTAATGTTACAATACATTCCAATACTCTTACAATCACCAAGTAGGATGTTTACAGCTAGTCTGTAATGCTGATGACAGAAGGATTTTGTACAATTAACTGTAACATAAGAACACACAAGACATATCTGCTATCCGTCCACTTTTCCATTCAATCGCAATTGAGGAAGTGAATTTTACATTTGCATTTTCTATTATATCCCAAAAAGGATACTGCAGTTTAAACGATCTGCAAGCTATCACCAATTGGGTTTTTTTTACAAAAAAAAAAATCTAATTAAAAGACTTATTTCATCAAATGTCACAAATCATGATAGTGCAAAAAAACACATTTTTCTCAATTTGATTGTATCAGTATTTTTTAGAGTAATTTTCAAATTTAATTTGATTGATCTGTGATTTGTGGTTAATTTACTCTCAGTGTTTAGTGACGGTTGGACATATGTGTACACCTTAACACACTTAAGGATTGAACGTCTCTCAGATTGCAGTAATGCAGTTACAGCCAATATGAATGCAATCTGGGTGACGGACGTTATGATTATTTATCTGACACCCAGATTCCATTTATATTGGCTGTAACTGTAATCTGACAGACGTTCAATGGTTATATTCACATTTCCTCATACAACCTGTCTTTTATAAATTAGTCAGATGAGCTTAATTTATATGAACTGCTACCGCAAAACCTCACTGGTCCAATTCTTGGATGTTCATGTATATAAGTATTTATGTATACATGTTATTGGTGTCTATTACATGTAACTAATGTGTCACTACTGTCATATCATTTACTGTACTTTATACCTGTAAGTCATGGAACAAATTCAACATATTTGTGATAGTAACATTTCTGCTAAGTTATTGCATCCTGTCCATAAAGTTTTGCTTTAAAACACTACTAGTCCTGAAAAGCTTTACAGATTTTGACTAAATTAGGCCGAGAGCATCCTTGGGCAATGGAGACTTAATTTTTTATAAACGGAGGGTGTGGCCCCACTGGGTGCAGGAGGGTGGGGCAAAATAGGGGGACTTATGGTTAAATCATTAAAATCCTTCTTCTTCTGTACCATTTAAAGTGATTTTATCCAAATTTGCCCTGGAGCATCTTTGGGCAAAGGGGACCTTAATTTTGTATAAACATATCCAGAGGGTGTCGCCCCTCTTGGTGCAGAGGATCAGGGCCCAATAGGGGAATTAGAGGTAAATCTTCAAAGTCATTCTTCTGTTCCATTGGAGGGAATTTTAACCAAATTTGATCTAAAGCAACCTTTGGCTAAGAGGGGTCAATTTAGTATAAACAGAGGATGTGGGATGTGGCCCTCCCTGGGTTCAGAGAGGCAGACCCAAATAGGGAAAATTGGGCAATTTTTTTAAAATCCATCTTCTCTTGTACCATTTGATGGATTTAACCAAATTCGGTACATATATATACAGAGCATCCTTGGGCAAGGGGGACCCAATTCTGTTTAAAGGGAGAGTTTGGCCCCCTGGGGGGAAGACAGGTGAGGCCCAATAGGAGAAGGTAGTAATAAATGATTAAAATCTGTATCCTTTAGTATGATTTGAGGGACTTAAACATTTTTTGTGTGCATAGCATCCTTTGGCGAATAGTACTCAATTTTTTATAAACTGAGGATGTGGCCCCCCATGTGGCAGAGGGGTGGGGCTTCATAGGGGAAAATTCTGGTAAATCTTCAAAATACTTCTCCTTCAGTTTGATTGGAGGAAGTTTACCAAATTTGGTCCAGAGCATTCTAAGGCAAAGAGGACTCAATTTGGTATAAACGGAAGGGGGAGGAAAGGCAGGGTGGGTCCATTAGGGAAAATTGAGACAAATCTACAAAAAAACTTTCTTTCTGTACCGTTGGAGGGATTTTAATCAAATTTTGTCCAGAGCATCCTTTGGCAAAGGGAAGACAATTTTGTATAAACAGAGGGTGAGGCTAGGGAATGGGGCCCAATATGGTTAATTGAGGTTAATCTTTAAAATCCTTCTCCTTCGGTATTGTAGGAGTATTTTTTAGCTCACCTGGCCCAAAGGGCCAAGGGAGCTTATGACATGGTGCGGCGGCCATCGGCCATTGCCAAGTTTGTCCAAATGAATGACCTTGACCAATTTTCAAGGTCACAGGGGTAAAATGTCTTAAAATCTTCAAACAACTTCTTCTGAATAACCAAAAGGCCCAGGGTACTGATATTGGGCCTGTAGCATGCTGGGATTAAGGACTACCAAGTTTGTTCAAATGAATGACCTTGACCCACTTTCAAGTCACAGGGGTCAAATATGTTAAAATCGTCAAACGTCTTCTCAATAACCAAAAGGCCCAGGGTACTGATATTGGGCCTGTAGCATGCTGGGATTAAGGACTACCAAGTTTGTTCAAATGAATGACATTGACCCACTTTCAAGGTCACAGGGTTCAAATGTCATAAAATCCTCAAACAACTTCTTCTCAATAACCAAAAGGCCAAGGGTACTGAAATTGGGCCTGTAGCATGCTGAGATAAAGGGCTACAAAGTTTGTTCAAATGAATGACATTAACCCACTTTCAAGGTCACAGGGTTCAAATGTCATAAAATCCTCAAACAACTTCTTCTCAATAACCAAAAGGCCAAGCGTGCTGAAATTGGGCCTGTAGCATGCTGAGATAAAGGGCTACAAAGTTTGTTCAAATGAATGACCTTGCCCCACTTTCAAACTAATGTCCTTGTTCGACATTCAAGGTCACAGGCGTCATATGTTTAAATCTTTTAATAGGTTCTTACACTAACATACTGTCAAGATAACAGAGAGTTTATTACAACTGTCTTACACTTACATACTATCAAGATAACAGAGAGCCGAGAGTTTATCATAACTATCTTACACTTTCATACGGTCAGAATAACAGAGAGGTCACAGTCTAAATGTAAATCAGGTCCTCTGTTTTTGTAGTTTATCAACATGGGGATACTACTGCTCCAAGTGTTTTACCAGTTCATACCCAGTATTTGGATCGTGCTGGCTATCGTCCTGTACGAGGGTCTCCTGGGAGGAGCTGCATTTGTCAACACTTTCTTCAGGATTTCAACGAAGGTAGGTACACTTCTTTCTCTGTGGGGTGGTCGGTGGTGCACTCGCCTTTCACCAAGGCAGCCAGGGTTCAATTCTCTGGGTACTCTGGTCTTGCATTTAAGCCTTGCACGCTAACATCCGGGCACCAAAAGTAATTAATATAAGTTGTATTAACTTGTTTCATAATTGTTGTAAAATAAATTAAGTTTATATATCTCTTTCTTTGTGGTAGTTAATATTTGATAGATTTAAATGACATTTATGACATTTGTAATGCTATCTTGTCATTTGTAATGTCATCTTATGTAATATGTGATGTCATGTGTGATGTAATGTTGTGTGTGATGTCCTGTCATGTGTGATGTAATGTTGTGTGTGATGTCCTGTCATGTGTGATGTCATGTCATGTGTGATGTAATGTCATGTGTGATGTGATGTGATGTCATGTGTGATATCATGTCATGTGTGATGTCATGATGTAATGCCATGTCATGATGTTATGTCATGTCATGTGTGATGTAATGTTGTGGGTGATGTCCTGTCATGTGTTATGTAATGTCATGTGTTATGTCATGTCATGTGTGATATCATGTCGTGTGTTATGTCATGCCATGTGTGATCACCAGTCATGTGTGATGTCATGTCATGTGTGATGTCATGTCATGTCATGTGTGATGTCATGTCATGTGTGATGTCCTGTCATGTGTGATGTCATGCCATGCTGTGTGATGTCCTGTCATGTGTGATGTCATGCCATGTGTGATGGCCTGTCATGTGTGATGTCATGTCATGTGTGATGTCATGTAAGGTCATGTCATGTGCGATGTCGTTTCATGTGTGATGTCATGTCATGTGTGATGTCATGTCATGTTTGATGTCCTGTCATGTGTGATGTCATGCTGTGTGATGTCCTGTCATGTGTGATGTCATGTAATGTGTGAGTTTATGTCATGTCTGATGTCCTGTCATGTGTGATGTCATGTCATGTCATGTCATGTGTGATGTCATGTCATGTGTGATGTCATTTCATGTCATGTCATGTCATGTCATGTCATGTCATGTGTGATGTCATGTCATGTGTGAGTTTATGTCATGTCTGATGTCCTGTCATGTGTGATGTCATGTCATGTCATGTGTGATGTCATGTCATGTGTGAGTTTATGTCATGTCTGATGTCCTGTCATGTGTGATGTCATGTCATGTCATGTGTGATGTCATGTCATGTGTGATGTCATGTCATGTGTGATGTCATTTATATTGTTTGTTTCTTCAAGTTAATGTTGTTATGTTTATTGTTTATTGTATCCTGTGTTATGTTTGTTGACTCGTGTGTAATGTATCATGTGTAATATCATGTCATCTGTAATTGATTTTTTTTGTGCGTAATGTGCCATACTTTTGTTATGTCATGTATATTGTTGCCATTTGTAATGTCATGTCTAATACTAATATTGTACATTGTAGGTTGAGCCGGAGTACCGGGAGTTTAGTATGGGCGTCGCATCCATGGCGGACTCTGTCGGTATCGCGCTGGCGGGTACCGTGACCATTCCAAGCCACAATCGCATTTGTGCACTAAACATTCTTGTTCCAAAATAATTTTAGACTGCTAATTAATCACATATTACCACTTACTGTTTTATTTTTATATTTGGACCAATTCTTGATTTTATGCTGGTGTATGAGAGGATTGTATGTCGTTCCATTCAAGATCCGATAGTTTTCTCCCTTGTCTTTTTATTCATTATTTTGGAACTCACTGGTAAATATCATTATGTTTATTGTATTTCATGTTTTAATATTAATGGTATTTCTTAAGTACATCCACAGTATTTTATTATATATCACTTATTATACAGAATGTCAGATTACTCAAGAGGTCAGAATAGACAGATTTTATTGTACAGTATAGCACACAAGTCAGAATAGACAGGTTTTAGTGTACTATATAGCAGTCAGAGGTCAGAATAGACAGGTTTTATTGTACAGTATAGCAAAGGTCTGAATAGACAGGTTTTATTGTACAGTATTGCACAGAGGTCAGAATAGACAGGTTTTATTGTACAGTATAGCACAGTCAGAGGTCAGAATAGACAGGTTTTATTGTACAGTATAGCACAAAGTTTAGAATAGACAGGTTTCATTGTAGAGTATAGCATGGTCTTCATTTTATATTTAATATTATATTATGATTTTTCCGTATATGACTTCCACACTCATTGTTTTTATTGATGAGACTTTTCATGTTTTTGACCAAACTTCAATCTTTTGTTATAGATATTTTTATTGTTGAGGTTTTACTTGCTGTTAATCCTACTTAAAATTATCTTCTTCATCTTACAATGTCACTCTTAAATGACAACAATTGTTTAACAAATCTCAGCCGACCGTCACTTATTTGTGTAAAACTGTACAGTGTAAATTATTGAAAAAATAACATTGATCTCATTAAGAAAACTTGTTAGATTATAATCGGTTAATTTGTAAACCGCTTTGAGATGACCTACAAACTAGTTTGTGATAAAGCGGTATATATAAGAACCTCAAATTATTATTGTATTACAAAATGTACTTAAAACACAAAGCCTCTAAATATGGCTTTCTGACCCATCCATCATGACCTGTTTTCCTGAATTCCTGAACAGTACCCGATTAATAATCCGTTTTCGACAGTTTATATTATATACATATAGTGGTAGTGTGTGGACCTTTTTGTACACTGATATGTCTATTACCACTTACTAGTACTCAGTTATTGTTACATTTTTAAGATACCAGAATGTGCCTTGAAGAGGTATTGATATTTTTTTTGTAAAATGAGATTATAGATATAATCAGTGAAAGTCAAATTAATGGGGATTCCAATTGGCTTACACAAATATTTATTTCAGATATATGTATTTATACAGATATTTTCAGATAGACATACTGTATACTGTGGAACTTTCACCAAGCCAAAAACTTGCCCGTCACTGTAAAAAAATCCCGATTCGGAATGATTCGCCCAGTGTAAATCTCAACCTTCACACATACCGACTATTTATATATATTTAATGTTGCGTACAGATACTACGTCATGATAAATTAACCCTCATTATGGAGAACGAAAAAAAATGGTGAACATTTCCCCATGTACAGTATAGCTATACAGTTATTGATATACATGTACTCGAAAATTATATTTACATACCTACTTAAACAGTTATTGACAAATAAAGACTTGTACATCCTTTTTGACAGAACATTCATGTATGGTGGTATGGCATTGTCCGTCCGTCTGTTTACATGTTAACACTTTGTATGTTTACTGACGTATGACGCAAGGTCGCTTGTTGTCATCATATCTCTTGGTCCTCTACATGTATATCTGTATTCTAAACATTTCCTTTCTATGTCTCCCTCATTATATTGCCAAACTGCTTTATAATGCCAAATGATCTCGGTGCAAATGATGGCAGTATAGGAAGGTTTTACAGTGATAAGTACAAAGTTTCCAAGACGGATAATAAACAGAATTTATTGTTAATATTACATGCTTGAAGCCCCATCAACTTGGGAAAGGTTATTGGGGCCGATTTAGAAATGGTTGATAGGAACAAATGTAAAATGAAAATTATATCAAACAAACAAAAAAGGTAAGACAAACAAGACACCAGGCAGCTATTTTGATTTGCAATTCAAGTTTGTTACCATTATTTTTATGGAAAGTCACACTAAAGGATTCATGATATTAATGCATGATCCCCTTTGTCCCTAGATGTGTGCCTGTGCTCATATTTTAGATGGAGCAGGAAATCTAACATAAAACAAGCCCCTTATAGATATGTTACAACTTTGTTGCATGGTCGCCAAAGTTAAACACTGCATGTGTTTGTTCAAGAAGAGAAAGTAATGACGAGAGAAAAAGCATGCCATGATCATTCAATGGTCCCAAAATCCCTCTGGGATCTCTTGTTCACTTAACAGATATCCTTATGTTGGTGCAATGTATTAAGAGTTTTGAAACAAATGGACATGTTTAAATATTGAATATTGTTTACTGCTAAATTGGGTTTATGCTGGTGTAGATTTTGAGGTTGTCTCATGATCAGCCTTTTGTAATCTGTCTTTACCATTAAATATTTGCATTTTCATCTCTAATAAAACTATGGGAATGGGTAAGGGTAAGGGTCCTTTGAACTATCTTTACCATTTGTTTTTCTGATTTTTTTGTGAAATGAAATTAATTATCTCTTTTTTTTTATTTATTTAATTATGTCCATAAAATTATCTTAAGATGGGATTATTTAAGCAATTCTCTTGTTTTTTTATCTCTCCTTGTTATTGATATGAATTTTGCTTTCATTGTGAAGGAAACTCAATAAAATATTGTTTAAAGTAAAGGATGTTGCAGATCTCTTTATTATCATTATAAATATGAATGACCAGGACACGTATTCATGAAACCGTTCTTGTGCTCAAACCAACCTTCTTGTTACTCACTGAAATCATGTCAAACGATCAAAAAGTCATGTTTAATCCTTGAAAACAGTATTCTGCTTTAAATCTCTTCAATTTTTTTCAAAATCATTGACAGAATAAGTTTTTCTTATTAATTTACAGCTTGAACAAGAAATTGTAAAAAACCTTCAAAAAAACTCCTCTAAAAATACATAAGGTCTAGATTTGTTGGCAACATTACAAGAAATATTCATTTTATTGAGCCCCCATCCTTCTATGCCAAACTACTTCTACAGTACTTGGGAGCTGCCCAAGTTATATTTGGTGAGTACCTTGCAGGGATGAACGACCATCAGAATTGTTAAGTTTGATGTTCATTGAAGGCCACAGGGATAAAACATAGTATCATGAATAAGCAGCCACTGGTTTACTGGGTTGAAGGACCACCAAATTTGTTCAAATAATGACCTTTGTCTGTATTTGAGGTCATCGAGATGAAATGCATTAAACAATATTTACAGCTTTATCTCCCAAGGTCGAAGAGGTTAAGATGCACATTTTTAATTTCATATCCAAACAAAGATCAACATTTCACAACTGTATATAGGAAAAGACGTTAAGACTTTGTTGCCCAAGCCATACTACCATAGCTATATATGTGTATATAGCCAATGTTTGCCAAGCACCAACAATATTTTGTCCGCTATGCAACATTTATTTTGATTACACATAATTCAAATTTTACATCTCAAAGTAAGCAAATTCATAGAACTTATATCCTGGCTTTACGGACAAAGTTATACCTATTGTCCTCGGTTTAGTGTAGAAATACTAGGTGTAAAATGTGCAAATTTATGTGCATACCAAATTTGGTCAATATGAACCTGCACAATATACTTTAATATTTGCTTGCAATCTCAAAATTATTTTTAAGCTTAAATATACACTCATGACATTGGCTATTGCACTTGCAGAAGGAAATTTTGATGAAACTGAACCATGATTAAGGCAATTACAGCATTAAATCCAATTACAGAGTACTTTAACTATATGCATGTCTAAAATTTGCCAGGGATTTGCCATTATGTATGGGAATACCAAATTTGGCTGAAAATGCAGTTATTGAATGTAAACTGAAGTGAAGCAGGCTTCAGACACACCAAACTTAATACCTGGTATCCCCAGCTTTCAATACGACAAAAAGAAGACAGAATTAATTAATTTCAATGTCTGTACCATAGGTAGTTTACTTCAAACAGAATCATTCATGATTACCATTCTGAAGACAAAAACACATTATACTTAACATTTTTTAAATACATGTATTGAATGTACATTTAAATTTCATTAGTTTTTCATTATTTTACAAGATAAGATTGATGATACACGTCGTTTGAAACAAAATAGCACATGCAACATCAGGGTAAATATACATATGTTGTTTCTCCTCAAGGCACCAACATACAATATACATGTACAAAATCACAGTTCCATGTACATAGCCAAGACATGTACATTATTTGAAATTCTGAGCTATACTTCTTGACATTTAACAAATGCTGCATTCACTGGCATGAGAAAGTTCAGTTCCAGGAATTTTTGTACGTTAGCAGTGTAAAGACCTATGTCTTACACAGCATATAGAGACCTTAACCCTTTCTTCTGGAAAGTTATGTCAGCTATCAACTTATAGCACATTAATCAGTTTTGTTCATTATTAACAGTTTGGAAATCCTTCCATCATTCACACACTTTGAACGATCACTTTCCTCTTGGAATCCCGACTGAATCGGTTCGATTTGAAGATTTCACTGTCATAAAATGATGTCAGGTTACTGATGTTGATCTGTCGAGCCTGAAAAGTTGGAAAGAATGTCAAATTTAACAATAAATCAAACACAAAATTTCAGTTTCTCTGGTGCATTTATGTTTCTTTCATCTGTTTCCATACAGAATTGTAGTCTGAATATGTCTAGTATTGAACATCTCAAATTGTTCCAAATTTTGAATTTGATTTCTGAATCAATGACACCAAATTGCCTGAATTTAATTATTAGCACTATTTATGGGCTTGATGACAAAAATGTTGCCAAGAATTTGAATAATAGAATCTCTCACCCCCTTTGGGGTGAGAAAGGGGAATCACAACTCGAGGGCAAGATTCTTAAGTTGCCAAACATGAGGGTTTGAGTTATACACCACACGTGGTATATGACCTTCCGTAGTTTTGATTGGTCGAGAAGATGAACCTTGACCAGACGACTTTTTTCACGCGCTTTTTGCCGCGTGCTGTTTTGTTTATGTCGTTTGCTGTCCTCATCCGGCAAATATTGGTGAGGTTATGCGATGGGAAAAGGAGGTTATTAAGGCAATACCAAAAGAAGATGATGCTTAAAGATTTGATCGCTAGTTTCAGGCAAAATTGCTACAGACGCTCGATATCGCTTCAACGCCATACTGTCGTGTGTCCAGGTCGTGAAACCCAGAGACGTAATATATATGTCTCTGGGAAACCCAAACAAGATCTGTAACAGTGTCGGAAAATATTTCGTTCTCCACACGTCCCGTATATTTGGAGGGCCTGTCTATGGGGGAACTCTCACTATAAACGTCCCCTATGGTTTTGGACATTGACAGCAATTAGTTCGTCTTCATCACTTGGCACGATGCAGACTTCGTATGACATGCTTACGTGCATCTAGTCTGTGGTTGATTTATATTAATTAATGCAATATTGCATACTCTCAATATTTAAAGTTGTGCATCTAATTTTTTTTTTACGAAGTTGTAACTGAAACATTAATTTTGAAAATTATCAAATTTGTAAACAAAAGTCATTTTTGAATATTAATGAGTGACTTTTTACATATGGGTCATATCACTATGCCAGCCTTGTCAACAAAATGTGTGTATGCTATTCAAATCAGGAAATACTCTAGCTGTTTCCGACTGAGATTGTGGTAGAAAAAGATCACACGACTCGTGGTTGTTGAGTATGGTATTTATTTCACTCTCGTTAGTTAATTTTCAAAATTTATAAAAAGACACTCGCTAAAGCTCGTGTCTTTTGTAACTTTTGAAAATTAACTAACTCGCGTGAAATATATACCATATTCAACAACCACTCGTTGTGTAACCTATATATCTTAAGACCCACTTTTTTGCATCAAACATTTTACTTTTCCGTTAATGACTGAGCATTATTCTGGATGGTGTCCAGTATTTGAAAATGTCTCATATTCCATGGTTTTGGCATTTAAACTGTTAAAAACAGTCCTTTCCCTATAAAACCAAACTCACTCATAATAACTGATCACTGTACTGACCTTATCCTGAAGATCCTTTTCAGAAATTTCAATGGACTCTTGCTCCATGCCAAACCTATTCCTGTTGAAGGACATCTGGTCAGCAGCCAGCTGGGTGAGGATGAAGAGAAGAAGCTCATTGTTGTCCTTTCTGAAGGCAAGGTAGCGGCTGAACGTCTGCAAAAAATAAGTGTTACTAAAATAAGTATTTGCTGAACGTCTACAACAAATAAAATGTAACTCAAGGTAGCACATTAATGCCATAAAAAAAAATCTTTTTCATATGATTTCACGTTGAGCTTAATATAGAAAATTCTCTATCCCAAATACTTTTCTCACAAAGTTTAATTAATTGATTTCAGTAACTGCCCATCAGCATTTAACGTAGATGAGGGTGAATTAAAGACAGTAAAAATGGAATCCTACATACCTTTCTCATGGTTCTTGTGATGCTGAATTTCTGTGTACTAATGAAACTCTCGAGCATGATGCGGATTGCCATATTAACGTCGTCTTCATTCACATAATCGCGGAGATGCATTTTGGCGTGTGCCTCAGCCATCCTGATCATGGATTCTATATGACGGACTGTGATGGGAATACTTCCTGTGGACTGTAAGAAAATAAAGAAGATTTTGTGTAGAAAATAATGAGGCTGAGAGGGCCTGGATATTTAAGCAAACATGGCTAAATATTTGCATTATATAGAACATCACAAACATTTTCCAATTTTGACTCCCTCAGCAACACCCTTCCTTTATTACGGACCTTTCCTTGTGATAACCAAGGGTCCCCAGGGGCACAGCCAGACCCAAGTGCTAAACCCGATAGCGTGACTGTGCCTTCTTTTCATGCCCAGCAACTATTAACATGGTAGATTCTGACTCTAAAGAAAATCATTTGAAGTTTCAAGACTTGGAGTCAGAAACTGAAAATCTCATTGACAACTTGTCAAGTTTAAAATGTCTGTTACTTTCATGATTTCCAAAAGTCATACATAGGCCCTGGCTTCATTCCAAAAGCAACTGTTATATGTATTAAATGTGAAAGACACCAAGCAGTCGCTTTTAATGCTATTACTTTCTATAAATAACTACTAAATCCTAGGACTTTTTTCTCCTAAAAAAACCTGCTACCGGTATACTTGATTTTCTGCTTTTATTACAGGCATACAACTCTAAAATCAAGACTTACCATTGATTCCCGTCGGAGTTCTGCATACATCTTGGCAATTTTGTCCTGATCCATCTTGTGTAACTTGGGGTGCACTTTCTCCTTACAGTAGGTGATGTATTTCTTCAGGAGATCCTGAGGAAGTGGCTCCACAGAAGAGTTTGTGTTCAGCACGTTCTGTGTAAAGTATATCATAACATTTCATATTTTCTAACATTGTTACCACAAGAAGCCTTCTTATTTATTCATAAAAGTATTCCTCTGGTGAATCAACTTAGAAATCATTTGACAGAGATGACTGCTGCATAAATCTGAATCTAAATACTTTTGGGAGAAACCTTCAGGATCATAAGCAGTTACGACTAATTGTCTGCATTATAATTACAGCCTATGTTGGACTGTTGGAGCGTTCTGATAAGGGAAGGGGATAAGGGAGTGAATTTTTCAATGTTTTTTTACAACTTACCAGATTCTCATCAGCCTGGGTATCACTTGCATCGGGGTGGTGTTTAATGTGACTACCAGTCACAAATCTGGCAAGTCTCTCATCCTGAATGGGATCCACTGTGTCCCTCACCACACACAGGACGTCAAATCGTGACACAATTGGCTCTGTCAGATCAACATTCTCCGCAAATGTGAGTGAAGGGTCATACCGACCGCCGATAGGGTTGGCTGCTGCCAACACAGCACACCTAGCCTGAAGGGAGGTAACTATGCCGGCTTTGGAGATGGAGATTGTCTGCTGTTCCATTGCCTCGTGTATACTTGTTCTGTCAGAGTCATTCATCTGTTTAGTAAGAAATGTGTAATCAAGTGATCATGACATTTACAAGGTCAGGACATTTTTATTTAATTTTCGTTTCAAGAATAATTAACCCTTAGGCTGCTACATTGATTTCTATGTAATGGGACACCACTGCTGAATTAGTTACTGAAATATAAAAATGTGCACAACTTGAAAAATATTTGTTATATATGTGAAAAAAAGTTATATGAAAATTGTTCGTTGTTGTCTCTAGTTTATATTAATGTTTTCAATTCTAAAGTTGCTTCAGTATTTACCTGTACAGGCGGTAATAAAAGGTAATAAAAGGTTAAACTTTTAATTAATCGGATTTAAGCAAGAGAAAGATCTTTTTTTTTTTTAAATGTCCGCAAATGTGATTGGCAAATGATAACAGAGGTTGTAAACTTCATTTTTGACATAAGACGCTGTACATTTACACGGAGATTCTCCGGTAAAAATGTCAGGTATTCCGTCAAGAATTGCATGTGATTTGCTACAGGTTTCAGGTCGTCATTCAATATATTTACTGTCACAGTCGGCATATAGATATATCTTAGCTACGGTCTAGTTTATGATTAAATCATCAATAAAAAGTTTGAAGAAATAAATCGACTCAAAACGTATAAATGTCAATGTTCAATTTGGCCTCACCTGCAGACGACATGTGCGCCTAAGTCCGCCGATATTTTCCTGTTTGCGTAGGGCACAAAGCCGTTCATTGGAAAGTTACATATTATGTTACACTGAAGTATTTCCACATCAACCATGTCAAACCCTTTAAAACCTTTATTATCATTGTAGGTGACGCTGGAGAATAAATGTTTATTCCTAGGTTCAATCTACATGTCCGCCATTTTTTTACTTTTTTTCGATTTGAAATTCTCTCGCACACCTTTGGTCATTACTAGTGTACACTGCCGGGAATATCAAAAGTAATGACAAAACAACCAATCAGAAGCATTCTACTATACACGTTCGGGTTTAGTATAGCAACAACCCAACTTCACACTTCCTGGCTACCGATCAAAACCTGCAAACCGAGAAACGGCATATGCCGTGCGTAGCACTGACGACCAGACTTTTTAAGACAGCATATGCTGTGCGTAGCAGCCTAAGGGTTAATGTTCTAGACAAAGGGTAATCACAATTTTGTATGAAGAATATTATAAACTGAATAGGCAGATCCCTGCTAAATTCATGCCACTCTAAACTATAATTCAAATGTCGCATGGTTTTAAAGATACATCATTTGCTTCAATCATTTATTAAAGTAGTGCATGTTCAACTTGTGTAACAAATTCTTATTATTTTTCATATCATTTGCTTGATTAAAATTTTACCTTATCAAACTCGTCAATAACACAGATTCCCTTGTCTGCCAGCACGAGAGCTCCTGCCTCCAACGTCCATTCCTTGGAAATGGGATTCCTCTGGACATAAGCGGTCAGACCTACAGCGGAGGCACCTTGACCGGTGGTAAACACTACCCTAGGTGCAGTCTTCTCCACATATTTGAGGAACTGGGATTTGGCTGTGCCAGGATCCCCACAGCATAACACATTAATGTCACCTCGCACTTTATGCTTGCCACCAGGGTTTTTAGGCTCACCACCAAATATGGCAAGGGCAAGTGCACGTTTAATATCTTCGTGACCATAAATGGAAGGTGCAATACTTGCGAAGATCTGGGAAAAAAATGAAATTGTTTTAAATACCTAAGAATGGAATGTTTTCAGTGTAACTTACTATACAAGGTTGTACAATTATACAAAATATCAACCTGTATACCATTTTAATACCCTACCGTCACTATTCTTTTACAAACTCTGACTTTGGACAGGTATTAGAAAGTTAATGCCCTCTACATTTGTTAAAATCCTTTAATGTACAAAACTGTCAAGGTAAATATTTTAATAATAGAGTAGAAAATGTATATTTCATTTATTGGCAAAAAAAGTATCCACCCAACAGTCAAATAACCTGAATAGGAATGTACAAATAACCTTAATAGGAATGTACAAACTTGTCACTGTCTTAATCTGAATGTAAAATATCATTGAAGCTAATATTAAAACTTTTTTTTTAAAGATTATTAAAACTTTCTTTTTAAAGATATGAATGAAACAAGCATACCCTCTCTCCAATTCTTTCATCTTTGGATAAATGAATAATGGCTTTGATGTCTTCATCTGTCAAACAGCTGGCAGCCATTTTATCATCTTTCTTTGTGATGTGGTTGGCTTGAATAACCGTGGCAAACACTGGGAAACCATTCGCAATGTTTAACGAGCCATCATAGTTATTATGGTAGATACCGGTCAGTTCCTGCAACAAACAATACAAATTAACATAAAAATTTCAGACAACGCAAGTACTATCTTACGATAAAGTTAAATGATCTTAAAGTTAACAAACAATTAAAATATCTATGTAGATATTTCTATATTTTCTAGATACATGCATTGAAATTTCAAACAATTCGGGATGGAATATCTTCACAAGTTCAAACATTATAAATATACATACAAATGTTCCAACAATACAAATGATTATATGTAACAATTGAACAATGAAAATATATGCATAAAATGCAGCAATCACATGTTTAAATACAGATCACAGCTCCATAAGGCGTAAGGGGCCCTATATTTATGAAATTTGCACATCAACTGCATGAAAAGGACATAATATTTAACAACAGTTGAAATATTCCTGTTCATATTTCAACATCTATTATTTTAGAGTTAAAAACAATGGAAGTATTTTACCTTACAGTAACTCTACAAACTAGACTTACAATTTCATCTCCAGGTTTACACATATCCACCTGGTCGTCCAGTAAAATGGCATCCTTGGATCGAGGCAACCGTCCCGCCGGAACCTTGCCAGGACTTTCTTGTAATGTGATTCTTTGATAATTTTTATAAATTGTCTGAAAGATAATGTCACTTATACTTTAATTTGGTCAGAAATAAAACTGGTATGAATACACACTCGAGCATCATCCTTGGAGTTGCTACATTTCTAAATGGCAATGTTTTTTAGTCCACATACCTGAATTTGACCATGATTGACGTAAGTACAAGCAAGATAATAATTGGAACTTGTGTATTCAGTGTTCATCTTTAGTGGTAGATCTACAGACATAATTCTTGAAGATATGTTATCAGTCTACACCAACCAAAGTTTATAGACTTACTAGTCTTGGAAATTATCCAGGACACAATTTCATATTGGTTACGTCAGTAAATTTGTTAAAAACTTCCTCACTATTTCCCAGTTTCTGTGTGTCAGTTTTTAGGCCAACAGAACCATGATGTACAAATTTCGCTTTTATTTCTATTTAGTTCAGAATTGAAAAGGATATGATTCCCCCAACACAAACCCTGGTTACACTATTACCAATACTCCACAAAAGCAACAATTGTTTGATAACATTTTTTCTGGTAAATGACACTGACCTGTTCCATGTTGATTTCAAAGGGTCCAGTAGACTGGCACTCGGGACATGAGCCTGGTTTCACCTCGTTGTTCTGTGACTGGTAAAATGGACCAAGGATGAAGTTACATTTGTTACAGTCATATTTGATGACACTGAGCTGGGGTAGTACACCTGTAGAGCTGGTCACAACACCACTAGTTCTGATCAGCTGGTTCAAATGAAGCTGACGTAAAGAACGCAGTTCTTCTATCAGAGGTAGCTCCCCAATCCGCACATGTATTTCTTTGACGATCTTCTCATAGTTGGGGTACATGCTCAACACCACTTCCTTTGCAGCCTGAAAATATATTTTATTACAACTTGAGAACAATTTTCTTCCAAATATCAACCCTAACACGATAACGCTGATGTGCTCAGGACTGTATCGGAATCTTCTGTCATACTGCTATACCAATGTTTATGAAAATCCTGGAGGACATTTCCAGGGTTCCTACAGGAATTTTATTACAAAATTCAAGGCTTTTTAGAACCTTTTAGTTGTCTTTCTTAGTAAAGTTTGCAAATAATTCTCAAAATACGGAGACTTGGATGTGTAACCTTGATGTCTCCAAAGTCACTTCCACCTAACAACCCCAAAAACTAACTGGTTGGCAGTACGAAAATCTAGAAACTAACTCAAAACTAACATTTCATTCTTATATTTTCTGAATTCATTTTTTATCAGAATAACACCACAAAACCACCAAAACTAACATACAATCATAGATATATGATCATTTACTCAATGTCAAGGCTCTTTTGTATCCTTTCAAGACATTTTTGTTAAATTTAAAGGGTTTTAGGGCCTTTTTCATCAATTTTGGGGCTTTTCGAGGCCAATCCTTTGTTATTAGAGCCTTTTCAAGGCCTGTACAAAGTTACAAACCCTGATTTCATAACATTATATAACTAACATTTTCATCCAAACACTTACCTCATCAAAATTCTGTAACATTTCTGTTGGTGCCTCTGGCAAGAAATAGGCCAACACTTGTTCTACTGATGCCAGCAAGTTATAATCAATGATCAGACTTTCTTTATTGGCTAAAAATAAAGCAATAATCCATAAATGAGATCATGAAAAATCATCAAAAGAGTCTTTATCTTGCAGGTCTTAATTAATAAAGTTGAATGTTTTTTCATTTCTACACAATTTATTTTGCTGGACCAGATCTTTTACAAAGGAGAGCAGTTCTAGAACGAATTGTATGGGAGGAGTGGAAGACATCTTTCCACACCAATTGAACGCATTTAATGTATGAAACCGTAGGCAGATGTGGTTTGAACCCTACCACTTATATTAGTACAGGTGTCTCCTGCCTCCCCAATACAATAACATATTGACTAACTTTTGTAGAAAAAAAATCACCCAAAACTGTCTCTGAAGGACATCAAGATTGGAAAAATGTTAAGAATACACAATTAGTTTATTGGTAAAATGTATAAATAAAGGAAAAGCAGGCTGGTACATTTTTATGCTATCTAGTACTAATCTAGCCAGGATTTTTTATTTCAAGAAGTTTATTGAAATAAGTTAAAAGACAAAGTGAATAATATATCCAAAAGAAATTGACAGAGATAATTGTAAACAAAGCTAATTGATATTTAACAGGATCATCAGATGAACAGAAGTGAGCATACCTTCCACCATTTGTCGAATTTTTTCTCTGTACACATTATGGCCTTTGGAGTCGACAAATGTCCGCAGGAAGTTTTTAAATCTGTTTTTTATTTCCGTCTTGGGTCCTAACATGGAAACCCATTCCCGAACAGTGTGTCCTTTCATGTCTTCAAGGTTTTCAATACTCTCAATCATCTGTAGAAATGAAAGAAAACAAATAGAAATATATCGAAAATGGTTATATGATAATCAGCTCACAACATTTCTACTTCTAGGCAGGCCACAATTTAGTGTTTTATTCATAGATTCAATTTGACCCCTACAAATGGTATGTGGCAATTAGAGCTGTCACGATACACCTTTATTTTAAAATATAAACAAAATGAGATATATAAGCCGTCGATACACGGAAACCCCCAGTGTTTCCATACTTTTGATTTGAAGCTTGCCGGAGCATCACAAATTTTCATTTCCTTACGGCGGTCCGCCATTTTGTTATGAATGCTTTGTGAAAATTGCAACCTCGCAGACGATTGGTTGAGGGTTTAGAGATCAGCCAATGAAATTGAACGTCTCACAGATGTTTTGGCTGAAGCGGCATAGACTAATATTCAAATCGTGACGCATTAAAAATCCGGAAAAAAATATATCGTGAATCGAACATAAATAATCGCGGTACAAGTGCATCACAGTAAATTGTGACACTTCTAGTGGCAATAGAAATATTTACTGGAAAAGGACTTTAATTGATGCTTGTTCCAAAACACCATATAGTCCCTAACTGGAAAGCTGAAGCTGAATGTATGTCAGAAAAAGGATTTACTAGGAACTTTGCCATGATTCAAATTAATCATTAATTGTGTAAAAGATTGTTACTTCATCATCATCCATTTCTCCCTCTGCAGCTCGTTCAGCCCGTCGCCTTTTCCTGGGGGCAGATTCATCTTCCTCATCAGATTCCTCTGTAAACAAACCATAACAAGTTTAGTCAATGATTTTGTTAAAAAGAAACAAATTTAATCAACTTTCTTTCAAGTTTGAATGGAATTCCTTAATGATGACTCAAATTTCTTACCATACATTAATCCTCTCCTCATGCGCCCTGTAAGAATTCCTTCCTCTCGCTCCCTCTGCCGTATTTCTCTTTCAGCAGCTTGCCTTGCCGTCTCGGACAGATCTGAGAAATCTCCATCATCGTCCATGCCATCCTGATCATATACATCTAGAGCTGGTATTACTCGATAGTCCCTGTAAACAAACCCCATTAAACTTGTATTGTTTTGACATATTAACTCATTACATTTTACAATTGATGCATGTTTAAAATTGATCTCTTGGCAAAATTTGTCCAGATAGCACATGCTTGTAAATTTATCAATTCAGAATCAGTTAATTAAAAGCCTGATGGACATTTAATACTGACTGTTCTAGTTGGTCACCAAAGAGTTCCTCTCCATCTTGTTCTTCCTCTTCTCCTGCCGGATCTCCCAGGAGTTCCGACTCATCCTCAAATGGGGGTAGATCACGCCCCGGACTTGAGGTGATGGGGTCAATTCTCCTCCCTCCTCTGCCTCTTGATGAGGGTCTAGAAGGGCTTGTTGCTGTGGAGAAGGGATCCGATGATGTTTCTTCCTAAAACAAAAAGTTTTTATTATTATCTTTGGGCGAAGTGGAATAAGTCAAAAAAGTAAATCATTATCTCTGGACCAGTGCACAGGTGGACTTAATAAATAACATTTCATTATATGACCATGGTTTTTTCCAGTGTATTTCTGGAAATGTAACCTTCTAGACTTTTGCAACTAAATTCTAAATCATCCAATCAGCAAGCACTCTGAGGAATTTAAATGTGGAATTGGTGACAGGTTTGCAAGTTTCAACAAGTTCATATTGTTAACTTTTGAAAAGGAACAGTTATAGCACATTTTGATACAGTGGGGCAGATATATATATGAGTCAAAAGGAGTGCTTTTCTGTCCTTGATCACTGGATTCCCTTGAAGATTTCTGGTCATAACGATCTGGAGCCTGTAATGCTGTAAAAAGCCATGAAACCTGTCCAATAAGTTTTTGGTTTTTTTGCAGTTGACATATTGTGCATGTTTTTATGAACCTAGATAGCTACCATTGGTGAATCTCATGCATTAAAGCTAGTAGCATTACATTTTGTTTTTGTTTATATACTTAGTTATTTAGTTGCATGTTTAAATTGTGAAGAAAATATCTAAATCCATTGGGAAGATGATGTGGTGCTGATTGAAATAAGTAGACAAGAGTGCAGCTTAGTTTTTCATGTTATTTACTAGTATGATATGTAAAATTAAAACATGTTGATCTTGCTGAGCAATGAAGTTAGTAATGGCATCTGGTATGTATAAAATGTGAAAATATGAAACAGTCTTCCCTACCCCACAATCCTCATCTGGTACATAAATATGTTAACATATTTACATACCAGATGCGGATGTGTGTGGTGATGGAGGTTAAACAGGTTGGGCACAACAGCACATGGGTAACAAGAGGCCCATGGGCCTAAACGGTCATCTGACTACAATACAAAGACTCAACAGGGAGAAAGGAAACTTTTCAACTTTCAATGAAATATTCTCAATCCCACTGGTGGAAGTTGAGAAGAAGTTTAAAATGTGTTTTTTAAGATGGCGGTCATTGTGGCCATCTTGGATTTTGCACCAACCCGAAAAATAACACTTGGTCAGGACTATCTCAGGATCATTTCTGGCAAGTTTCAGCTCAATCCCACTGGTGGAATTTGAGAAGAAGTTTAAAATTACCCATTCGAGAAATAACTTCATTACTGAAATGGGGAATAAAGTGAAATAAAAACACAAATACACTTGGAGCAAAAAAGGACAATATTCTTTCAACTAAATCTAATAAATAACACAATGAAGTATATCTGTGCACACAAAATTATCAATTCTGACGTCTTAACTTTTTGAGAAAAGGAAAAACCATATCACAACACTGACTTTGTTCTCCATTGACTTCAGTGTGTAGTCAATGTGACCATCCAGTGCAAATGTGACAGATAAGTAGGGTTTTTTCTGTTTGCTATTTATAGCAACTCTACAACACACTTTTCACAAAAATTAGGCAACTGAATTAACATATTATAGCGCACAACAATGGTACCACATTGTATTTTTCATTTGATTACGTTGAAAGAAAGCCACCCTATTGTTGAAAATGTTTTTATTTCACTTTATTCAATTTCAGCACATAATAAGATTATCTAAGTCCGTAATTTCAATAATAAAATTGTTACTCAAATGGAGGATTGTTACTCGTATGTGCCCAACCTGTTTAAAGTGCAACACGACACTGGGTTGAAAAAAGGAAGTGACCACTGTCCACAGGTGCTCGGGTTCTGGAATATATGGGTCAAAGAAGTATATATCACACCACTGTGATAGTAAATAATTGGGTTCTAGAATATATATAACATTATCTGTTTACGTATCGCACCCAACTAGAAATTGCACCACCTTCTACTACTAAATCAATTAGTATATCACAATGGTGTGCGATACCTAAATATCACATGTATTCCAGAGCCCGAGCACCTGTGGGGACTAGGGAGGGGATAGCAAAGGGTTACAAGAAAATATCTGTCTCAGTCTGTGACAGTGTTTGTATACCTGGTCAAGTCGCCCAATTGTTCATTTTAAACAATAAAAGTGATTTGGTAATAATAAAGTGCTTGAAATAAATAACGTTGCGATCTCCAAGAAAAAAAAGTTATAAGCAAAATTTCGAGGCAAAAATGGCGTGGCCACGAGCCTGACAAACATCGGCAAGATATATCGTCAGTGTAACGATTTCGATTAACAAAACAACCTTGTCATACAAAAAAATGCAAATCAAACGTAAAGTTTATATCAAACATGTATTATACACGCTGTATATATTCTGTTCTACTGAAAATATTATACTCACCGCCATCCTGTTTATTGTGTCTTTATAAACAACGTGATCGTAAAGCGCGGGAAAGAAGGGTTCATGACCCGAGGGTCATGGGGTCAAATGATGTTCGGAACTCATTAGATAAATCTCTCTGGACTTTTCCCAGTATAACATTATTCTGTAGTTTATTTTCATCAATTTAATTTAAAACGTGTTATTCAGCAGAATCTGATCAAATGTCTCACTAAGGACACCGATAAACACTTACATATCATATGCATGCAGGAAAAAAGATTTTACCAAAAAAAGTGTATTACGGTTTCTACAACGTGTTAATAAAACACTTGTAAAAACACTTAATTGTTACACAAAAAAAACGAAATCACCCTCCACTTCTCTTTGACAATCAAATAGTAAATGAAATAACTAATCATAAACACTTAGGTCTTTTATTCAACTCCAAAGGTTCATGGAGTAATCACATCGCAGAAATCTATGAAAAAGCATGCAAAAGATTGAATATTTTAAGAACACTCAAATACAAAGTTGACAGAAATGCTTTAATAACACTATATTATTCTTATGTAAGACCTATTCTTGAGTATACAGATGTTATTTGGAACAATTGCACTATTGGCGAAGCGAAACTATTAGAATCTGTACAAATTGAGACCATGAAAATAATAACTGGATTACGAAGTGGAACATCACATCAGAAACTATATTCTGAAACTGGGTTTGAACTGCTCTCTTCTAGGCATCATAAGCACAAACTTATTTTAATGTTTAAAATTCTAAATCATATGACACCGGTATATTTACATGACATTGTTAAACCTTATTTTAATGATGCTGTTCCACCTCATAATCTTAGACAACACAGATTTTTTAATATTCCTCGCTTTAGAAAAAATAAATATTTGGCAATAGTTTTTTTCCAGATGTCATGAAAATATGGAATTCGCTTGATTCTGAAATAACCTCAGCGCCATCATTAAATATATTCAAATCTAAATTGAATAATGAAAGAATCCCTCTTGTAAATATTACTTCTGTTTTTCAAAATTGTAGCCCTAGAAAGTTAAATGTTATCCTCTGCCAACTTAGAAATAATGCCAGTGACTTAAATTATGACAAATTTGCTGACCATCTGTCTCCTGATTCTTCCTGTTCATGTGGTCATCCAATTGCAAATTCTGAACACTTCTTCTTCACTTGTCCAAATTACTCTAATTCCATGAACTTAATCCATGATATCTATACCAGAGCTGGATACTTAAATGTTCAACTTTTGACATCTGGAAGTACTGATTTACCTTCTGAAATAAATATACTGATTTTGTCTAATGTTGAAAAGTACATCAATGCATCCAAACGGTTAGGATGATGTAAATAAATGTTTAAATATAATCAATCTATTATATATGTTTTTGGCATGTACATACAATTAAATGAATTATTTGCTGTAATTACCTAATTCAATCATAATTGTTGATAGTTGCTAGTCAATCTAGATAATATTGTAAATATCATATAGTGAATGAGTATTGACAGGAGTGTGTATAGTGAGTGTAAGTAGTTAAATGTATGAATGTATGATTGAGTGTATGAATTGAATACAATAATATAAATAGCTTATTAATTACATGTATATATATAATATCATATTTACACCATCATGGAGAAGATTGATATAGGCCTAGCCTGTTATCTGATCCATTTATATATGTTTATTTATATATATATAATAAAATTTGTTAAAACAAACAACACATGTAAACGGAAAAACCCCGTAAAAAACGTGATTGTTTGGTTTGGTTTATTTTTGTTTAACGCCCTATTAACAGCTAAGGTCATTTAAGGACGTGCCTCCATGTGTGAAGTGTATGCATGCTTGCGTATGTGTATGCAGGAGACAGGGTCTTCAGTTGTGATAGCTTGGATCTGATGGCGACTTTATAGTGCTATCTCACTGAATTGCCATGCCAGCACAGCATTCCGCCCAGTCACGTTATACTGACATCGGGAGAATCAGTTGATGTCATTCCATGATCATTGGGGGTGTCATTTTTACCGAAATTCGATCTAAACCCCTAAAACATGTAAAATTACTCTGAACACCTCATTAGTTTATGTCCAAATATAGTAACAAATTCTCAGGTCGCTATGGGGCCGACGTCGCGTTCGGTCGGCATGGTCGCAGACGCATTAGCGCAATTTAGTATAAAATTTGCAACGTTTAGCCAACGTAATTGGCGCAACAGTTGACATACAACCAAAGCCATGTAAATATCAACAACATGTCACTTGTAACCTCGGAGATATGATACAGCGGAACACTGCTTCCTTATATATCCAATGTTCAACGAATCAAGATCAAATTTCAGAAACTAACTTACTAAACCTATTATTTCCCAGGATCATTATACTAGAACCCTATTACACGGTTGTCATGATTGTGATGAAGACACAATTTCATATTTATTACAATGTATATCACAATATATTACTGAAACTGGCATTTTTGATTAAAGTACTTATACTTTGTTCGAAGAATCAGGGAGATACACTATACTTTATTGTTTATATGCTTTGTTAAAATAACTGTACCATACCGGCATTGTTTGGAGAAGGCTTACATATAGGCTTTATCTGATGCCAAATCCGTTTGAAATGAACAAAAACAATGAAATTGTCAAAGATGCTACCTCGTTAAAAGATTTCCGTTCATCAAACGTTGACTCTATATATGTTTCTTTATCAGCAACATTATTTTGAAATGTCGGGATTACAACGTTGGTGCAACGTTGGCCCGACAGCAAGCGATGTCTGAACAAAATATAAATATAATGGTCGGTTTAACATACCTTAAACGTTGGTGCAATGCTGGGCCGATATCTTGCTTCCTGCAACGTCGGAACCACGCTAGACCGACATTGAAACGTTTGAATTAAATACAAATCTACAGGGTCAGTTAAATAAGTGTACTAATTTGACAGTGTAATATATTTCGTTTTAAGCTTGGATTTATACAACGTTGGTGCCACGTTAGGCCGACACGTTGTTTTCTACAACGTCAGTACCGCATTGGGTCGACGTATTGTTTTCTACAAAGTCGTTGCACAGTTGGGCCGACACATTGTTTTATGTGAAACTAAATGCATAATCTTTCCTCTCCCCATACAACCATACAGTTTTTAGTTCGAATTATGGTTCTGTTGACACTTCGATATTTTGTTGTTTTTTAATCATTTTTGGCCGGAATGCTAATTTCAGGAAGGCAGGAGTGAAGGTCAGAGGAAGTAAGATGACTACACGTGTAGGAACAGGGAAACACAGAATTTGGAAGGCTCCTATGCAGCAGTCGGGAGAAAACTGGTGAAGTTGCTTACATTTCTTTAAAAAAAAAGGTTGTGTGGCTACTTCAAGCTGCATAGTGGGTCAAGGTCATCCATTTGGACAAAAATGATAGCCTTCCACCAAACTCGGTGAAGGAAATATTTCCTAACTCTACTTTAGAAGAAGTCGTTTTTAAGGAAATGGGTATTACTGCACCATTTTGATCAAAATGAATACCACATATTTAGGGTGTTTTTTTTATAGAAAGATGGAGAACCAGAGATGGTGTCAAAGCCACCCTATGCTCCCCTGCTTAAAAATGTATCATCTATAAAGATTTGTTAGTAAAAATGTCAAGTTCAAAACAGGTCAAAAGTCTCAAAAATCGATTTTTTTTTTTAAATTTTAATCAATATTTTAACCCCACAGGAACTTCTATGCAAAATATCAGCATGCTAGTACACATATTTAACGTTGATATATATATGCTTTAAAAACGTTAAGTACAAAAACAGGTCGAAAATTTCAAAATTGTGAAATTATTTATTAATTTAAACTTCCCTACATAAATAGTATACCCCCACAGGAACCCCATGCCAAATACCAACATCCTAGTATACAAATATAATGAATGACAAGCTTCTAAATAACTTGCAGGTAAAACTTTAACGTTTATGTGCTTCAAAAAAGTTAATTACAAAACAGGTCAAAAAGTGAAATTATTTTTTAATTTTCACTTCACTACATCAATATACATCTAAATAACTTGCAGGTAAAGCTTTTACATTTTCACGCTGATGCCCACGCTCACGCTATAGCTCTGAAGATTCTGACTAAGAATTGCTTCCCTTGCCAAGGTATTCATCTCTCATTTTCTTGCTGTGCAATCATAATTCCTGAGTAGCAACATCAGTAAAGTGTGATTCATCATTGGTTGCAGAAAGGTTTCCAGTTTGACCCATTCAGTTTTTACTTTCAAATATTCCAACTATAATTATGTAAATTGCATCTCAAAATGCGATACATTTGGCATACTTCTGTAGAACATAACAATCATTTCATAACATGCTGTAGTAATAATAGCAAAAATATATTATAACTTGAACTGTACCCTTTACCTGAACATATGGCACATGTGAAATTGAGAAGGTAATAACCTAAAACACATTGTATAGCTCACTACTCTAGCACACTCGTGATCTATACATTGACCTCTGTAGAAGTTGCTTTTAAGTTTTTTATATGGAACTTATGACCTTGAAAGTGGTCCAGGTATTATATTTATAGCCCTTCATTTCAGCAAGCAAAGGTACAGGACAAATATCCCAATTCTTGGACTCGTGGTTCTGGAAAAGTTGTTTGAAGATTATTATTTGACCCAGTAACCTTGTAAGTGAGGTATCATTATTATTATTTGACCCAGTAACCTTGTAAGTGAGGTATCACTATTGTTATTTGACCCAGTAACCTTGTAAGTGAGGTATCATAATTATTATTTGACCCAGTATTCTTGTAAGTGAGGTATCACTATTATTATTTGACCCAGTAACCTTGTAAGTGAGGTATCATAATTAATCTGAAGAAACTTGATAACCTGCTACCCTTTCAAAGAAAGCAAATATAAGGAATGTAGTTGTAAGAGAGATTTTTTACATATTTGACCCAATGACTTTGAAGGGAGCCAAGGTAATTTATTTGAACAAACTATGCATCTATCACTGCCATCTAAATGTAAGCTAAAAATGAAACAAAGTCTGACAAGCTATAGCACCACAATTTATTTTACACTACAACAAATATCCACATACCTAAGTTTAAACATTTTATTAAACAATCCTACAAAATAACAATATCGATTTCAATCAATTTTAGCAATAAGATTTCATCAATGGCAAATGGAATTATCTGCTTGTAGATTCTGTCATCAACTTCATTGGTATGGTTAAATTCTATCACCAAAATTATGTTAATCAAAATAGAATATTCTAGCTCTCCTCACAACAAGAAATCGTCTAGCCCTGAGGAAGTTGTAACAATTCATTGATGTTACTACGGTAACAATTCATTGATGTTACTACGATTTAAATCGTTGACAATACTACACAAATATATATATTTTTTAATCTGTCAATAATCAATAAATTCATTTTAATAATTGATGGTCATATTTGCTAAAATCTTTGACATGTCTCACTGAAGTATATATCATAATCTCTTCAATAAGTTGCTGTATTAAAAGTGTATATTCCGGTCTACATAAATAAGAAGATTACTTCTAGTATACCATAACACGGTTTTTGGTATTAGGACTTGGAAAAGCCTCTGAATATCATTAAAATGAACACATTCTGTCTGGTAAAAAAGTCTTGGGGGCCCCTTTCAGGTATCCGGTTCAACCAGTTGAAACAGTTGAACCTAAAAGAATGACAGGCGCAGATCTGAACCGAGGCTGACCTCAGGAATGTTCAGCACGTGTAGAATGAGGAGTCCAGACGTGCCTGACCAAAACTAAAATGCTGACTATTTTTTACTTGTGTTATTTTTTTATAAATCAAGGTCAATCAACATGCAGATTTTAAGATACATTATATAGTCTAGTTGAAGTGTGAAAGAAGGACATATTATGTATTATTTATTATGTATTATTTATTATATATTATTTATTAGGTATTATTTATTTTCCAGAACTGTACATTTTATAGCTCTGCCTACAGTTTGGACCAAGTGCCTTCGTTTATCGTGGAATAATTCTGCGTCACCTGGACCGGAATAAGCAAATGCGACCTTGGTAAAGGATGAGGTCCCTGAGCCTCACTATACCACAGACACTGTCTGGTTAGACACACCCCTGAGCCTCACTATACCACAGACACTGTCTGGTAAGACACACCCCTGAGTCTCACTATACCACAGACACTGTCTGGTTAGACACACTCCTGAGCCTCACTATACCACAGACACTGTCTGGTTAGACACACTCCTGAGCCTCACTATTCCACAGACACTGTCTGGTTAGACACACTCCTGAGCCTCACTATACCACAGACACTGTCTGGTTAGACACACTCATGAGCCTCACTATACCACAGACACTGTCTGGTTAGACACAATGTCTGGTAAGAAGACTTGAAAACACTCCTGAGCCTCACTATACCACAGACATGGTCTGGTAAAGCAATAAAAGGACTTGGAAAAGCACCTGAGCCTTACTGAAATGGGCCTATTTTGTTTGGACAAGACTTGGTATAGCCTACAAGTCGACCTTTATAAAAGACTCACTGGTAGACTTGATATAGTCTGTTAACCTCACTACATCACAGACTGTCTAGTAAAGACAAAATACCTAATTAAGACACTTTACTATCTACGGCTGTGTCAGTTATCTTAACAGATGAACAGTTATCCTATCTGTGTCTGATGTTCGAAAATTCTATTTTTTTTCTGTCATTTTAGTGGTTAAGAAAGGTAGAGCAGTCATCTATGAAACATTTCATAAATCAAACAACAGTATACATTTATACGAATATACTTATTTAGGAATGTTTCATTAGCCAGATAACCATACCAAATTATGCTGTCAAAATCAGGAATGTTTCATTAGCCAGGTAACCATACCAAATTATGCGGTCAAAATCAGGAATGTTTCATTACACATATAATACACAGCTGATAATACATACTCCGCTACATATGCTGTAACAGTACTTATACTGGTGTTTATTCCAAAATGCACAACATTTTTTGTTTTAGCAAATATATTCCATGAATTAACTTTAACTTCATGCATGGAAAGACAACATTTGGGAAAACACAAATTATTTCGACCAGTTTTGAAAAATATTGAAGACCTTCTGTCCAATCTCAAATCTATCTGCATTATGAGACAACTATTCTCTGTATCATTAATTTACACATAAATCTATTCTAAAACCCTTCAATTTTGCAAAAGCTGAAGAATAAAAACAGAACTTTTCTCTTTTGCTTCAATTTACTTGACACCAAGATTCAAATTTACAGTCAATCCCTAAAACTTTGATCATCTGATATAGAAAAATACAGCTTTAAAATATATCTTCTCCTGATTTTTAAAATGGCTATTTCAAACAATATTTACAACCACTGTCATGGAACAAAAAAAGAAAATGTTATCATAGTATAACTACATACATCTATGAAATTTGTTTGGCCACTTTTTATAAATATCTATCACTCTTAGTGCTGGTTGCAGGATAAAAACTGTACACATGCCTCACCTAACCTCTCTTTTGTGTTGTTACAACTTGAAAACTTAGTATTCTCAGCAAGTGAACAGACCACCCTCTGTAGTGTAAGGGAGTATATACTGGTACATACTTATCGATCAAGTGGATATACAGAAAATGACAGTAAACAATCACAACACCTACTGAAAACAGGGCCCGTATTCAGGAAAGCGTTCTCGTGCTCAAGCATGAATTCTGTGCTCAAGGCAACTTTTTTAAACAAAATTCAATATGTGACATGGTCAATATGTCCTGTGTAACCATTTAAAACATTATTCAGTTAGAAGTCTCTTCAAGATTTGTCCTGATCCTTAACAAAATGTGTCTTATCCGGTATTTATCACCAGAACAAGATATTGGGTTTGAGCACAAAATCCAAGTTTGAGCATGAAAACGGTTTCAAGACCCAGGATAATTTTGCAACTGAGATATTTTTGTCATGATCACATTTATACAATTAATCTGCAAATACATCAGGACAAAAAAACTAGTGAAACAATACTAAATATCACCAATTAACAAATCTATAATTTCTCCAATAAATGAGAAATTAACATAGCACAAAATCAATACATTACATATACATGTACACTGATATTGTCAAATAAGGATGGATGTTTTTTGACATTCATATCAAACAACTTTAAATCACCACATACATGATATATTTTTTATTATAAAACTATTTTTAATTATCAATAAACATAACTAAAAGGATACATCAATACATGTTTGTCAAAACATGAACCAGGATAAAATATGACTAGAAAAAAGTAGCCTCCTCTTGAAAACAAGTTTTGTATAAAAATAAAAATAATAGTTATACATACAACAAAACCAAATTGACTAGCTAACAAACTCTGCATCTATGAGGAGTACCAAATTACCTATTTTTTTAAAGTATGACTGAACTGTTTAAACGAACTGTAAACAAAAAATTGTAACCACATGTTCAGTTTTAAAGTTGGACTAGTTTAATACAACGATGTGCTGGTTGTTAATTCATTAGAGGGGAGGGAAGAGAGGCACTAACCCCTCCCTCAGTAATTGATAGTATATGAGGGTGGGGTCTATATAAACATTAACTGTATAGTGGAGTCACAAATTGTTCCTCCCTGCCCTATACCCCAAATGTATTATTTCTGGAATAAAGCTCTGATGAAATTTAATGTAAGCCAACTTTCAAATGGATAAACATGTATAAATCAACATGTAAAAGGGACCAATGTGTACACATGTGTTATAAACATGTTAAAATCAATGTGGACATAGATATTTCACACACAATATGGTTAGTAAGCAGCTGCCTTGTACTCACATGATATTAGAACTTCAAAAGACTTCATATAAATGGTTTCTCTGAGTAACGTATAGTTTTGATCCAGTTAATCATTTTAATCAATGATTAGTCGTTTTATATCCTACTTTGTCTAATCAATCATGATTTTATACGAGTGATCATGGTTTGACTGTATTTGACTATAACATGAAAAATTTCAAGAGATATTTAGACTTGAGCTGACCCGAGACTGATTAAAAAAAATTAACACCAAATTTTGCCATAAAAACCTTTCAACAAACATTTGTAGCTAGGCAGTTAAAGGTAGGCAGTTAAAGGTATCCAACACATTTTGGTGAATGCTTCTTATTTTTCATTACTTTCTATGATCGATCATGTTCTTTAATCAATCACTGCTCATTTTATAAAAACATGTGTATGATTCAACATTTTAATTACCATGTTGTTAGCTCATACTTTAAATTCAGTTGTTCAGCTTATTATGGAGAAATGAGCAAAGAGTCTTCTAAATTAATGGTTTTTAAAATGAAAATTAGCATACAGATGTCATGAATTTTACCAGCTATCAAAAATGAAACATTAAGTACTTAATTCAAATAGTAAAATATATGTGGTAATTTCAAATATTTAAATAAAATAAATGCAACAAATTGAAATAATACTCAAATAGTACAAACAAATGTAAAATGAAAAACAGTAAAAAAAAAATCTTCAAAAATGATGGAATGTAATTTTTTTATAAAAAGAAAATATACCAGAAAAAAGATGTACTGATAGAATTTTTTAAATCCCTGCAGATAGAATGGTTTTGTTATGAACCATATATATTTTAAACAGTTATTACAGCGTATAACTATGTTACTGTCGGATTTTAACATACTGTAACATCAGGAAATTCTCACCGCAATTCAACTTTCGCCTTTTTCGCCCTACATAATGACGGCGAATTTACCATGACATTGAAAACCAATACACAACATACTGTACATAGCAATAACATGTTAAGGGCGAAATTAGCATGAACATTTGACAGCGAAAGGTTCCTGGTATACAGTAATTCCATTGCTAAGATTAAACTAAAGAATCCTCTTTTAAGAAATATGCAGCGATGTGAATAGTCTAATAAATATTTTCAACAGCAGTATATGTAACAGGAGAAGGTAGGCCTACCTCTTGTAACAGCAAGATATCACCATATATAGGTTGTTTATAATCATAGACAAGGTCGTATTTATGAATGTAACAAAATAGATAACAAAATATACCAGGAAATCAAGAAATACTACGGTACCATCTAGCTTATGTATAAGCTACACACACATATATATACTACCGATGTTTGTTGGTTTTATTGACAAGTAGCCAACAAAAAAGCATTCGTTGATGAACATGCGTAGAAAAATCTATTTTGAATGGCCAAAATTCTTTTTGTAGCAACAGAAATAATTATTTTGAAAATTAACAAAATTGAGATAATCTTTGTATTCACATGAACTTTGGCTTGGAACATTAGACGGGCAGTGAGTCCACATCTTGAGACTGGGCATACTTGTTTGTATACTCTGGCAGACTGATCGTTCTGCCACCATAAAACGCATTATTTTGGTAAGGATGGGATACAGGTGTACCGGCTTGGATTTCTGGGTCAACTTGTACATTTCCCGACCCTGGACTTGGTGAAACTTTTGAAGAAATTGGACGGACTCTCAAACTACCGAGACTTAAGCTTCGTTTAGTGACCCATGCTGCCAAGGTCTCTTCCTTTGGCCTCTGTTCTAGGATCTGCCGAATACAAGCCCTCAATATCCGAGACAACTGGCTTGGTTTAGGTTCATTGAGTAATGCATCTCGAAAGAGATTCAGAACTTTTCCTGTTTCCTCTGGTTTAACCTGGTAACATAAACCCTCCAGTTCAAGCCGTTCTAGTTGTGGAATTTCATAGGTTTTAGGTGGAGCACTGATTAACCAACTGTAATCTACCCCAGTCTCTTTGCGTTTTTGTTCCTGATCGTTTTCTCTCTCTAGCCTCTCCAACTCTTTGATTTGGAAGTCAAGCTCGTTCATGAGGCTGTCGCTGACTTGACCCTGCTGATCTCTCTCCGGAGGACGATTCGGATCAGTCGTTAATTTATTCCATACTGACTTAAGTGGAATCATCTTTATTCATTTCCTGAAACCTGAAAAAACAAGGATAATAGTTTAGAAAAACATGTTTTTTACAATAAACTTGCACTGTAAACATAAGAAGCATACTGTAATGAAAGTATTGCAATTCAAATGTCTCATAGTGGTGCCAAGGTTTACTTCTTCAAACCAGATCATACGTACATTGTATTTCTTCCACTAGATCATATGTACATTGTATTTCTTCCACTAGATCATATGTACATTGTATTTCTTTCACCAGATCATACGTACATTTTATTTCTTCCACCAGATCATATGTACATTGTATTTCTTCCACTAGATCATATGTACATTGTATTTCTTCCACTAGATCATATGTACATTGTATTTCTTCCACTAGATCATAAATACATTCTATTTCTTCCACTAGATCATACGTACATTGTATTTCTTCCACCAGATCATACGTACATTGTATTTCTTGCACTAGATCATACGTACATTGTTTAGGTTAATTTTAGAAAAAGAAATGAAACAGGTATAAAACTATGCAAAATGAGCCATGTTTACTTTTTTATTTTTGCATTTTGTCTATATTTTTAGAAGATCTTTAACATAGGGGTTAACGTTGGGATCATTATACAATGCAGATCTGACCCCAGGATCACGAAACAATATCAGACTGCTTACTGCAATCACATCCAATAAATAAGATTTTACATAGCTACTGTACATCACAATATAAGCACTGGAGGTAGCACTTCTACCAGATGATGACCTTCTTCAACTGGTTGAAGATCTTTTCATATATGGTTCTGGCATGAAAAGGAACAGAACAGAATTAACAATTGAAGGAGGAGATTGCTGAATTGAAGGAGGATAGGGTGTCTGCTGATGAAATTTCAGGTGGAAGTAGGTTCCAATTATTGATTCAGTGAAAGAAGGATTCTTTCGTCACATCCGTTCTAGAGGAGATAGCGCGGAAATAATTTTGATAACAGTTCCTCAATTGTCTTGTAGTGGAAACCAGGTGTTTGGGGTTGATGGCAACCTTGCTATGGCTTGTTTTATAGAACATGGTCAGCCGTGCATCCTTTTTAGGATCAGCAAGACTGTACCATTAACATGTTACCAATGCTTGAGGTGTTACGATGTCAGTTGGTAACATATAACGGGCAGCCCTGCTCTGAACCATCTCTATCTTGTCAGCGTCTTTTTTCAGGTATGTGTCCCAAACTGGACTAGCGTATTCTAGCTGAGGGCGACCTAAGGATTTAATACGCCCTTTCTTTGATGTCAGAAGATGATATCTTTAGATTTTATCTGAGGATGCTCATGGAAGTATTGGCTTTTCTAGTGATATAACTGACATGTGACACCCATGCACTGCATGCCTGATCTGATGGTGACACCAAGGTATTTGGCTTCTGACACATGTTGGAGTTTGTGTCCTTGAAGTGTATACCGCAGGTGGACAATTGGGTTTCTATTTTTAGTGATCGAAATGACCTGACATTTGTCAGGATGAAACGCCATCTTCCATTTCTCTCCCAAGGTCTCTTTGCAGGGATTTTGCATCTCTCTCTGATGTTAAATTATAACTGCGAGATATGTAACGGTATCATCTGCAAAGAGCCTAATGGACGATGAAATGCCCTCAATGTCGTTGTTGTAATAAAGAAAAAGGCAAAAGGCTTGGCCCAAGGACAGAACCTTGGGGGACCCCTGATCTTACTGGGTCAGTGTTGGATTTTCCCCCTACAACTATTACTGATTGAGTCCTGTTACTTAGGTATCAGGTATTACAAAATCAGCGATCTTTCCAGCCCTTATTTCAAGCACTGGCCCAATCTAGTTAAAATTATATCTTCACATCGCTCCCGTTTACTGATATGTCGCGCGGAACAGTAAACAAGAGCCATGTGAAGATATAATTTTAACTAGATTGAGCACTGGCCATGGCCATGGGTAAATATCTAGCAAAGGGATACCCGAAACTAGGGGGGGGGGGGGCATTGCTCTTTCTCCTATTACAGTTACTGTGGACATCTTAATTAATCTATTATGATTTGATTAATTAAGATGTCCACAGCAACTGTAATAGGAGAAAAAGCTATGCCCCCCCCCCCCCCCCCCCCCATCTAGTTTCGGGTATCCCTTTGCTAAATATTTACCCATGGCCATGGCGAGTGCTCAATCTTATTAAAATTATAAGCCCAAAATGATTGCTGGAGTAAACACCTCCGAGTGCCGAAACGTCTAGAATTCATTAGCACCTGATACATTTGTTTGGTGTTTTTTTTTTATCTTATCTCCTTTACGACTCAATGTTATTTCATTGACCGATTACTGCGACAAACACAACAATGTTTTACCTGTTGAAGACACCATAAAATCACGTAAACACCTTGCAGCAGCAGCAGCTTTTGTTTTGTAAACCTTCCGACTGCCTGCAGTTCCCCTAGTTTATTTCAGTAAATTTCCCGTATAACAGAAATAAAAGCATATTTGATTGGCTGGTATATTACATTCGGCCAATCAGAGGTGCTGTTCCAAACTCAGTCACGGAAGAATTGTTATTTGACAAGATGGCGCATACACAAGGAGCACAGAAACCTGTTCAACAAGATTGGGCTAATAGAGAGTACATTGAAGTGATCACAGGCAGTATAAAGAAGATATCTGACTTCCTTAATTCATTTGGTAATATTAACTAATGCTGTAACAAATCAAGAGCCGAAACGTTTACATAGAACATCATTCATATTGACTGTATATACTATAGTGTCACTGTCAGTTCAGCCACAGGCGCTTTGATTACTATTGCCAGTATTGGCTCATCACTGTTGAGCAAAGTCTACCAGGGACAATGAGTGTGCAGTATTCACTTAGTCTCTGTGTGCTGCTAGGTCATCCTAGCTGCTAGGTCATCCTAGAAGATTTCAGTACTTTTGATGGTGTGATCTGGTAGCTGACGAGTGACAGTGTTCTTTGAGTTTTGTATATGTATCTGAATATTACTGGTAATTGGCTCACTGCTGAGCAAAAGTTTACTAGGGACAGCTAGTGGGAGCGCAATATGTATGTATTCTCTATGTGCTTCTAGTGCAGCCTTGACGATTTTGATGTTGTGACTGGCAGTTTACTATAACTGAAGATGGAATAAATTAGTGTTTATATTATATGTCCCTATTAGTATTTAATGTTTTGATTCCTTTGGAGTGTGATGTTCTTGATAGTCTTGTGTTGAACTCAAATAATGTGTCAGTGGGGTTGGCTACCAGCTGGCCATTTAAATATTGTAGAAAAACACTAGTCTCTTTAATTAGTTTCCTGCATATACTGATAAGGGCTGCCACTGGATGGAGACCTACATTGTAGGTCTTGTAACCTTTTGGTCACACTAGCCTGTCTGCTATAATTGTTGAAAACAAATTGGGCTGCACAATGTTGGATTCACTCAAGCTGGTTGATGTCTTTCTTTAAGTGGGGATCCCATACTACAGATGAAGAGTCCAGTTACTCATAGACTACATATACCTGCTAACATAAAAGGCTGCTGGTCGCCTATTTTTAATGTTGATTTATGAGGCGCCTGTTTAAAGTATCTCGCCATGTTAGGTCTTTAATATAAGATTGTTGGATTAGGATTGAATATGATTATGATGCACAGTAAACATGGTCCACACTGGCACAGGAACCTGCATGCATATCAAAAATTATGCTATGGATTTCGAAATTGATATTATATATATTGGAAGTGTATGAAGTAGGTTTAACGATGTTGAAACATACATATTCATAGTTAGATTACAATATAAAGAAACAGGGTACCATAGGGAGAATTTCAAACTGCACAAAGTAAGATATGAGTACCTGGTAGGTTTAAATGTTAAAGAAATAACTCATTTATAGCAATGGTTGAGATGTTGTTTGGAAGATGCTATTGATTCAAAACAAATGCCTGTACTTGTACATGTACTCCAAAGAAGTAAGCTGAATAAAGCGAGAATTCGCTTGTTTTCCTCGACTGAAAAGACATATTTGTTGTTAAGAATTTAACGGACAGCTGCCGCGAAAACGTATGGTTGTACAGTTTCAGGATTTCTTCATTACAGATAAAGTACGCCAAGAAAACATTGTCTCTTTACAATTTCTCGTAATGAATTGTTCATAAGGAGTAGCAAACTATATTATCATGTAGAATTTTGTGACAAGATTATAAAAAAAACCTTTCTTCACCAAATTGCCCCTTTAAATATTTTTTTATCATATTGCAAGCAATATTGTGATTCAAATGTTAAGACAAATCAGGCCTAAAATAAGCTCAGCTATGCTTAAAGTTACAGCGGCATGTTTTTTATCTCCAGCATATGATAAATTTAATTCACTATAATAAGTTGTGGGTGTTCGTATACAGCTCTGCTGTGTGGTTCTCATGTTAACATATCTTTTTCAGATAAACATTTTGTTTTTATGGGTTTTTATTCAGCAGAATTTATTGATGTTAATTTTGTGAATTCTAGGGTAATTTTCAGTCCATGTTGTTGGCGTGTTTAATCTTTGACTGTTTTGATGTTGGAGTTTATATTATTTCAGACACATCATGCAGATCAAGACTTGCCAACTTAAACGAAAAACTGACAGTGTTGGAGAAGAGGGTTGAATACATTGAGGCCAGAGTGAGTATTCAATGTTGAAATAGTATAGTTTGGAATGACCTTGGGCTACTGACAGAAAGGTTAAAAATTTGACCCACAACTGTATGAAGTTGTATGGAATTCACTAGTCCGGCCATGAGAGTAATGGAACTCACTAGTCCGGCTATAAGAGTAATGGAATTCACTAGTCCGGCCATAAGAGTAATGGAATTCATTAGTCCGGCCATAAGAGTAATGGAACTCACTAGTCCGGCCATAAGAGTAATGGAACTCACTAGTCCGGCCATAAGAGTAATGGAATTCACTAGTCCGGCCATAAGAGTAATGGAATTCACTAGTCCGGCCATAAGAGTAATGGAATTCACTAGTCCGGCCATAAGAGTCATGGAATTCACTAGTCCGGCCATAAGAGTCATGGAATTCACTAGTCCGGCCATAATAGTTATGGAATTCACTAGTCCGGCCATAAGAGTAATGGAATTCACTAGTCCGGCCATAAGAGTAATGGAATTCACTAGTCCGGCCATAAGAGTAATGGAATTCACTAGTCCGGCCATAAGAGTAATGGAATTCACTAGTCCGGCCATAAGAGTAATGGAATTCACTAGTCCGGCCATAAGAGTAATGGAATTCACTAGTCCGGCCATAAGAGTAATGGAATTCACTAGTCCGGCCATAAGAGTAATGGAATTCACTAGTCCGGCCATAAGAGTAATGGAATTCACTAGTCCGGCCATAAGAGTAATGGAATTCACTAGTCCGGCCATAAGAGTAATGGAATTCACTAGTCCGGCCATAAGAGTAATGGAATTCACTAGTCCGGCCATAAGAGTAATGGAATTCACTAGTCCGGCCATAAGAGTAATGGAATTCACTAGTCCGGCCATAAGAGTAATGGAATTCACTAGTCCGGCCATAAGAGTAATGGAATTCACTAGTCCGGCCATAAGAGTAATGGAATTCACTAGTCCGGCCATAAGAGTAATGGAATTCACTAGTCCGGCCATAAGAGTAATGGAATTCACTAGTCCGGCCATAAGAGTAATGGAATTCACTAGTCCGGCCATAAGAGTAATGGAATTCACTAGTCCGGCCATAAGAGTAATGGAATTCACTAGTCCGGCCATAAGAGTAATGGAATTCACTAGTCCGGCCATAAGAGTAATGGAATTCACTAGTCCGGCCATAAGAGTAATGGAATTCACTAGTCCGGCCATAAGAGTAATGGAATTCACTAGTCCGGCCATAAGAGTAATGGAATTCACTAGTCCGGCCATAAGAGTAATGGAATTCACTAGTCCGGCCATAAGAGTAATGGAATTCACTAGTCCGGCCATAAGAGTAATGGAATTCACTAGTCCGGCCATAAGAGTAATGGAATTCACTAGTCCGGCCATAAGAGTAATGGAATTCACTAGTCCCGCCATAAGAGTAATGGAATTCACTAGTCCCGCCATAAGAGTAATGGAATTCACTAGTCCGGCCATAAGAGTAATGGAATTCACTAGTCTGGCCATAAGAGTAATGGAATTCACTAGTCCGGCCATAAGAGTAAGGGAAATTGACCCGACAACATCAAATCTCGGCAAATTAATCCAATAGATGGGCCATCATCAGAACCACCTTGTCAGCTGAAATATGTAAACTGGATTACATTTGCTGAGACTCCCCATTAGATGTTGATTTAAACATATTGAGCAAATTTGAGCAGAGGATTAGGCACAATTTATATCAACTTATCAACGCCTTTTCCTCTAATACAGTACATATTGATATTTACAAGTTATAGTAACTGCTGTTTACTAGTAAGTACCAGGATGTATTAAAGACAGACATGTAAGTCACCTTAGGATGTATAGACAGACATATAAGTCACCTTGTAGAAGTTATAGTAACTGCTGTTTACTAGTAAGTACCGGGATGTATTATAGACAGACAGGCCTGGTTGTAATATATCTTTATCATGTTTGTAATTACAGGTAACGAAAGGAGAGACGCGGCCATAGCAAATATAGGGATGTACTCATGACTAGCAGTAAACTTGGAGCATTGGAGCAAGATACCTCTGTTGATCGGAAATGAATGCATGCAGACTCTTTTATGTTGTAAAACTGATGCCAAGCCAGATATAGCATGGATGAGAATGTTGATCGTTGGAAGTTCTATTTGTTGACAAATTTCTTCATATTCAGTTTGATGAAGCATATTTGCTCCTATGATTATTCCTCGGACTTCTGTTTAGATGATCAATAGCCCTGAATTATTTATTCTGGATGTTTACACTAGATTTACACTAGATACGATTATTACCATTAGAGCAATGATGAATGATCTGAACCTGTGCATAATTACAACTAATATAAAACACTTCTGAATTGAAAGAAAGCAGTAACAGTCAGAAGATTGTCTGCTCATTTTTTTACATAGTTAACTAAAAAACAATAAATGTCCTCCGGTTTTTAATAAAAATATGATCTAAAAATATTTCGGGCATTTTACAGAACATTATCTATTTTCTAAGTGTTAATATGTAATTTATGTAAAGCAATGTGTTGAAATTCTTTTAAGTGAGATAATTCTTTTCCCCATTGATTCACAATTCATGTATATTTTATGCAAATGTATAATCCCTGTTCACATTTATGGGAAAAAAATGCCTGCAAAATATTTCCATTATCTAAAAAAAGTAAAATTTTACTATTTCATTTGGGAGACAAAGAAATAGGTGAAATGCAGAATATTGATTAAAAAGTTAAATTCAATAAAAGTTAACACTGAACTTGTGGCTACTTTAAATTTTCTTTCAGAAATTGAGGTCTATACTTTTGACTTAGTTCTATGACAGACATCAAAAAGCAATTCATTTTTCTTAACATTATTATATGTAATAGTTTTTGTTCATCAGTTTTTTGTTTTTTTATTTAAATCATAGTATATTTTGTATTTATAGACAATTATGGACATATTTTGTTGTGTATTTTGTTTTGTATTAGAGGTCATCACTGACCAAATACATGTGCAATTGGATGTATGGAAGGGTATGGATGTGAGATGAGCCTACAGGACTAGCTATATATTGTATATGTACCAGTAGGTTTGAAGTGTATGCATAGTAATTTTTCAATATTGACAAAAAATTTCGCACTGCTGTAGAAACGAGAAAAAGCTTGTCAAATCTTTTGTTATAAGTTACCTTCAGATTTGTTGAGGTGAATGACTCACTGCTGCTGTAGCTATCGCCAGACCATGGCAACAATAACTCCAGACCAGACCATGGCAACAATAACTCCAGACCAGACCATGGCAACAATAACTATATACCATGGCAACAATAACTATATACCATGGCAACAATAACTATAGACCATAGCAACAATAAATCCAGACCATGGCAACAATAACTCCAGACCAGACCATGACAACAATAACTCCAGACCAGACCATGGCAACAATAATTATAGACCATGGCAACAATAACTATAGACCATGGCAACAATAACCTCAGACCATGGCAACAATAACTATTGACCATAGCAACAATAAATCCAGGCCATGGCAACAATAACTCTAGACCATGACATCAATTACTCCTTGCCATGGAAGTATTTCCATGCAGAAATGTTATTATAATTGCTATGAGCATATCTAGAAGCATACCTTGGGTACCAGAAACAAAATGATTTAATTCTATTATGCTACAAGTTGAGTGAAAGTTTTATACTGTAATACATAAAGTTACAATAAAGACATAAGGAAGACAAATATTTTATTGTTTTGTGTGTCAGGTTCACAATCTTGGTTGGTCTTTCATAGTTATTAAGCTTCCTCTTTGAAAGGAGAAATATTGTATAAGTACTGGTTCCTATGGTTCTTTAATTAGTAACTTGTCTTGGCCATGACTTATAAACCTTTAAAGTTATCTTGATGAAACTTTAACCATACCTTGTTACAGTGACTTTCACATTAAAGTCAAGGGTCAAATAAGTGCAAAATAATTTGTAAATTCTTGTCTGGGTTGTAAATTTTAAAACGGTAAGGATATCTTAATGAAACTAAAAGCATATCTGTATCACCTACACAAGGTGTGCATTGTTCAGTGATTAGGTCACCATGACTTCCACCTCTAGGTCAAAGGGCAAATAAATATAAAATGTTCAGAGCAAGTCTTCGTGGCCATACATTGTCACCTGTTAAAGATATCTTTATAAAATGTAAAGATATCTTTATAAAATGTTAAGATATCTGTATCACCAACATAAGGTGTGCATTGTACTGTAATTAATGTGCACATTGGCTGATAATTTCTTTCACAAATTAAATTTCTAGTTGATATTATTTATACCAGTACAATAGCCGAGTCTTTCATTCAGTGTTCATAACTGATCAAGAAACTAAATGATTTATTCTACGAAAGGATGCAAACCACATTTAAGTGTGTAACTTTTTCTGTGCAAATGTATTTTTAACTTTAATTCAGTACAATAGTTATCAAAGCTTCAAGCTTGTCACTAAATTAACTGTGTTAGCTGATCCACTCTGAATGTCAATGACATAGTCTAGCTGATCCACTCTGAATGTCAATGACATAGTCTAGCTGATCCACTCTGAATGTCAATGACAAAGTCTAGCTGATCCATTCTGAATGTCAATGACATAGTCTAGCTGATCCACTCTGAATGTCAATGACATAGTCTTTAGGTGATTGACTGATAACCACACGTTGTTCAAAAACAAAAGACAAGACTAGCTACAGGTTTCTTATCTAGACATTTTATTCCCAAAAACAAAGCATAAAAAAAGTCAAATACCTTACTTTCTACTCTATTTGACTATTAAGCTCTTTGTAATAAAACAACCCAGAGACAAATGAAATGTTTCATACATATACCCTTCATCTGTATAGACTTTCCATACACTCGTACATAAAGCTGTTGAAACATTATAAATAAAGTGAAGATTTAGTAGATCAATATCACAGAGATGACTCTCTATAGTATTCAACAACAAGTTAGGTTTGTATCATCATGTACATCATAACTTGAAAATATTTGGTTCAGATTGGTAAAAATCCTTAATAGCAAATACACAAGTATTAGTCATATCACATATCTTATGGACGGAAATGAAAGTAAATATGCTCATCAATTGATAAATAAGAGGCAGAGATGCTGCATTAAGAATAAAAAAAGTTACCTAAGTAACGAAATGTTTAAAGGAATGTTTGAACAAAAGAAAGATGTTTTAACAAAACAAATGTTGGGTGTTAAAGCCAGAAGCTGCTCAAAGTAAACAGTAAAGCTGAGCTGTGCAAATATTAACGAGTACACAATTTTGTTCCCAGTGATAACAATGGAACCTATCAGGACATCAACAACTCCATGTACAATTCCACATTGTCGTCAAATCTGTCGGTCAATTATTTTTCAATTCTTTTCTGTTGATCAAATTAACGTATTAATACTAAAGACAGTGTGCTGGATAAGCAAGTTTTATAAAAATGTAAATAAATACGGTGTATAAAACGTACTAAAAGTAATATAGTCCTGTCAGCAAAAATGTCTTTGTATGTTCAAAACATTCAATATACCGGTATCTTGATAATTTCTGTGCAGTCTTTTTGTGAACTAGAGAAACCAATAAGGTGACGGAATTCATAAGCAAATCCAATACACTGTACATGTATGGTATAATTCCCTGTTCTAGAAACCAGCAACTCTGTACAATTGTAAGCATCAGGGTTTTTTTTCAATATTACACAATGCAATATGAATCAACAATACAAATTGTATTATTGAACCCTGCCTAATATGACACCCTGTGGGACACATAAGCCCTGTCTAATCTGACAACACATGGGACATATAAGCCCTGACACAATGTGGGACACAAACCCTGTCTAATCTGACACCCTGTGGAAGATATTTATCCTGTCTAATCTGACACCCTGTCCTACACAGCATAATGGTCAGTTTTGACAGGATGTCGGAATATAAATGTCTTTACTTTTTAGCTTTCATTAGAAATTTGAATACAGCATTATGTTTGATAAAACTGGAAAACGGAATACTCTGGTCATATTTAAACACGCTACACTGTACATATTTTGTATCTAATAAAAATAATTTAAAATTAATTTCACCAAAATTTGTAATCATAAAATATGCCAACTGCTAACAATTACAGAATTGAGTCTTTGATTGAGAACCAAGAGTACGTACCCTGCGTCTGGATAATATTTTGGTAGAACTGAGACATCACATCCAAACAATGACAAGATCAACACCTAATTTGTACAAATATCACAGGTATACATACCTTAAAACTATTTCGTTTAAAACCTTCCATTAATGGAATGATGTTTTTATAACACAATGATAATATCACAGCCACATATAAGTACAGATATACAATCCAATGTACAATGTAAAAACACTAAAAATACAACAAATGGAATTTCAGCCTACACATCGTGTGATATGACCAAGGTCAACATTAACAGTAAGCTGTTTAATATATATATCTATCGTTGCTGTAGTTGAAGCATTCATATAACTACAGATTGAATAAAATATCTTCACTTTTGAAAAATTCTATTTTATTACTTTCAAATTTCCATTATATAATAAAATTTCAATCATGGAGTCAATTATATACAAAAGACTAATTAAAAGTTTCCAATTTGTTACATACTCTTAACCGAATACCTGTACTCAATCAGTCTATACTCGAATACCTTTGTTCCATAGTATAAACTCCAGTACATGTACTCGCAGTAAGGTATATACACAAACACTCCTACAACCTTTCAAACCAAATATCATACACACCATCTACCTGAATCTACCATATATTTCGTGTTACCACTTCACGCTGGACATTCATAAAAGGACTATGGCACAAAAATATTTATGACCAGTTGGGGTGCTACTACCAAGATAGCATGCTCATTAAATAATTGAAATGAAATATAATTTTTCAGAATATATTGGTCTAAACCACATGTGAATATGACTTTTTCGTCTTAATTAATGATATATATATCAGCTGTATATTGAGAACTCCGCGGGTGCAGAGTAAACATACTGAAGCTACTGTCAAAGTAATACGCAAATGTGCGAGACAGTTTTATATATAATGAAAAAAACCTATGAAAACTGAACACGTTTTTTGAACTTTTTACCATGTAAAGGATAAAATGGTTTCTTTGTAAATAAAAAGATCAAAAACAATGTACATTTGTATAACAACTCCTATCTTGCTGGATACACACAAAAACCCATCACCTTTTCACAAACACTGTATTAGCATGATATTAATTTTATGATATTTTTCTTTGTCTGGGTTAAAAAAAAGCTGATGTGACAATGTCTTAAAAAACCATCTCCTGTTCATAACAATAATGCATTCCCTCACAGTGGTCAAATGTTTATTTCATGCTGAAAATTAGGATCATTCATTGAAACCCAACTATTAGTTTGAAAGACCTTGGGACATCCAAGGTCTTTTGGAGACAGAAATAGTACCTAGTACATGTACTGTGTTTCAAAAATAAGTCACTAAAAAACTTGTACAGTTTTTGTACAATTGGCACAGTGTATTACAGGATTCTGTTAAATAAGCACTGCTGAGAGGTCAAAACAGTTGAGGACCTGTCTCTGGAGACGGCTCTTCCCACCAATAATTTTTTTTCTCCCATACAAATATTCTCAAAACAACAACATTTTGCTTTTGATAGGTCCAGGACAGCTATAGATGCATTCTTCTGAAAGTGGTTGTCATTCATTACAGTGGTCTGTTAAACTCTGTCACCCCTGAAATTTCATAATAAACCTTTCCAATCTTTGAATTGGAAGAATTCAAATGGGGTAATTGTGGTTTTACACAGTGTTATATGGAGAACTACTGACGTGCCCCGCTAGCACTGTTGGGCCTCAGCATCCTATTGAGGACCTTGGGAGAAGGCACAACCTGTTGCATGTAGGGACTTTTGAGTAGCTGTACATATGTGGATGCAGAGTATGGCCTGCTGTTGACTGTTATCTGGGAGGACCGTTTCTTCTTGCTACGTCCCTTTGGACTTGGCTTGCGTTTGAAGAAGATCTGTTCTGGGCTGTTCTCTATGAGGTTTGAAGAGTCATCGTTCTGGAAGAAATCTGCTGGCATGCGTGAAAGGGGCACATTCTTCATAGGTATATCATGGACCAGTTGTAATACTTGTTCTGTAAACAAAGGAATGGACAATCATGTTTTTTTTTTAATAAAAAGAATTACAGTAATATATGAATAATAATAAACAAAATTCTCTGTAACCTTGACCTTCATTTCGAAACCTTATGTAAATGACTTTATAGCAAAAAGAGACATATTAAGATGGAAAAATATTTTTGTAAGTTATGATCCATTTAACTATTTTTATTTTTCAAATTTTTGCATGGAACTTTTAAACAAATGAAGCGTAAAATACAATTTTACCATAGTATTGTAACAACAGATTTTGTAGCCACAACAGCTGCAGGAGTAACATTCTGACACATTAAGAGTTGTTGGTATCTCTTACCTATTGTCTGGTTGTCTATGGTGAGGTCATTCTGACAGCTGTCACATTTGAACACAGAACAAGCAGTTCCCGTCACTTCACAGAAAGTGTGGCGCATGAAGGCGGAGAAGGCAGCATAGTCAAATGAACTGTAGCGTCCATGCCATGCGATGTAACCTGTTGGCATACGATCACACAATGATTGACACAAGTTTATCAACTTGGTAACAAAATTTCTGAATCGAATCCAAAATAATTTAAACTATTGTGTTAAATTTTCATATGAAATTAAATATAATATGTTTATACTACTTCAGTTTTCATTCACTCCTTCACTAAAAGTTTTTCTCTGTCCGATGCCACAAACGGCTTTGTGGTATATATGTTATAACTTTAAAATCCTTAAACTCTTGTGTTGTATTGGTAGCCATTGTGGGAGTAATACTGACCTTCAGGGTGGACAAAGAGAAGTGTCGGCACACCAGCAATACCAAGTATCTCGGTCAGGTCGACTAATTTATGATGACCCTCGTCATATTTCCTGGAGTGACCTGTAGAGGCAATTTGAGGTTATTAGGAGTCGCAAGGCATAATGGCATTAGGTACTAGGCTAATCACTGTTCTGTATCAAATCCTTTTAAATGTCAAGTTAGTGATAGATGATGGTGTTTTAATTACAAAAGAGTTCTAAAGGGATGCTGACCTGCCATGGAGTTGTTAGTGGCCTCGTGGATGGAGGACGCACACTGACTGGTACAGTGCCACAGGACATTGTCGGCACGGTAACCGTTGGTGGTGATCTGGTGGATAAGAGCCTTTCTCTCTGTGGCACCCATAGCGTCCACACCACAGGTCACAGCTATGAAGTTGTACTGAAAGGTCAAGGTCATAAAAATCAGCGGCAAATTCACATTTTTTGGCTCCTGACTTAAGCAGATATTCAGAGGAAACTAGCTATACCTGTTTAATTGAGCTCACAAAATATTATTTTTATTCTTTTATTATATATTTCAGATAATTTATGAATGACACACACAGCATATAGAAACTGAAAATATCTCATTAAATAAAAAAAATTAAGAACAAGCATTGATTGGATTATGGGAAAGTCATTTCTGTGTTAAAATATGTCTCATTTTATTAAATAAAAAAAAGTACAAACATGCATTGATTTAGTTTTGGGAAAGTCATTTCTGTGTTAAAATGTAAAAAGACTTACATCTGAGGAGTATTCCCGAGCAAAGCGAACGAAATTGGTCATGACTGCTTGAGATGACAAACACCTGTCAGATAAAGATAAGAATATGTTTCTTCTCTAGCAAAAAAAATATCAACAAAAGAGAATACAATTTTATCGTATATCTAATATATATATATCATCAGCGTTTACTTGATACAGAATTTGTACAGTAATTTATGAAATTCACAGTTTTTTTAGGACCTTTTACGGGTCTTTCTTAGTAAATTTAAGGCCTGAAATTTCCAGCCACTTGCAAACTCTCAAAATACAGAGATCAGGATGTGTCTAAGCTCGCTATATAAACAACTCTTAAATCTAACATTGTTCGATAGTCCGAAAATCTAGAAATTAACTGGTAAAAAATATTTCATTTTCTTATATTTTCTGAATTTATTTTTATGAGAACAAAACCAAAAAAAAAAAATACAATACATGATCATAGCTTAATGTTTAATTAGTCAAATTCAAAGCTCTTTTGACCAATTAAGGAGATTTTTGTTACATGTAAATAAAAGGGATTTTAGGGCCCTTTCATCAATTTGAAGGCTTTTCAAGGCCAACCCTCTCTTTGAGGGCCTTTTTAACGCCTGTACGAACCCTGTGATATCAATGTACACGGACATGTAAAAGGCACCCTTACCAAGGTGTCCAGAAGAGGACAACCGTAGGGAACTCTTTGTTGTGCGTTCCCATGAAAGGTTTGTACTCTCCATCAAACACATCCAGAAGGCTACAGGACGGTGGCGGAACCTTCTTTTTCAGCAGTCCCTGGTTGGCTAGCTTCTTGGCAAGTTGTCTTTCGTAGTTTATAGAATCTAGGTATTTACAGCATCCAGTACTGGGCCATCTGTGAACATGACCAGGAAGCGTTAACAGTGTCTTAAATTATTTTATAGGAAATGACACATTTCATAAGTCTTCTGGTGATGGCTTATGGACAGTCAAGGAACACACTTCATTATGATAATGCAAAATTACTGTCTTATATGCTCATATTACCGAGGTTTCACGTTTCATTTGATATTGGTAAAGTCAGAATTAATTATAGTTACTATCTTAGAGATAAAGCCTGGTTACTCAAACCATTTTAAGATTTCAAAGAACACAAGATCTGTTGACGAGAGTCTGCTTTATGTCATTCTTGTGCAACTGGTAATTTTTTTGGAATGTGAGACAAGCAGGCCTTGAATCTGAGGCGAAAACTCCCCTCATGTTTTTCTGGAAAGACATCCATAGAAGGTTCCCCTGATTGACACTGAAGAAGACACTTACCTGATGTTTTTCTGGTGGATACTGTGGTAGCAGTAGAAAGCGAAGGGGCGGAAGTTTTCTGCAAGGAGTTCTACTGAGTTGGATTCTTCACTGGTTGCTTGTGGCTTTTCTGTCACCGACACCATGCTCAGTTTGTACTTGGGCTGGTCTACTGGCAACTGTCAGGGGCAGACAACTACATGCTATACCAGTTAATGGATATCTCAAGAGCAGACAACCACACACTATACCAATTAATGGATACCTCAAGGGCAGACAACCACATACTATACCAATTAATAGACATCTCGAGGGCAGACAACCACATGCTTTACCTTCTGATGGATATCTCAAGGGCAGACAACCACATGCTATACCTACTGATGGATATATCAAGGGCAGACAACCACATCTATACCTTCTGATGGATATATCAAGGGCAGACAACCACATGCTATACCTACTGATGGATATCACAAGGGCAGACAACCACATGCTATACCTTCTGATGGATATCACAAGGGCAGACAACCTCATACTTTACCTACTGATAGATATCTCAGGAAAATTTGCTTTTTTCACTGATTCCAATTAACTATTTCTATTAATTTAATTTCAAAGGAGGTTGTAAGTCATTTTAATGTGTACAGCAACTTACAATTTGTTTTGTCCAACTCATTTATGATATTACAAAGATACAGCTCTGCAATTTTTATCACCATCAAGTCTGACCCAACTCAGACCCCACTTGACCTTCCTCAGCTCCTGACTCATGCTTTTCCCACCCCACACTTTCTCCTGAGATCTGTACTTACACTGATCCTGATGGAGCGGACGCCGTCGTGCATGGGACTGCCGTATTGTTTGCTATCGATGAGGACCTTGTATCCAGCGATCTGGAAGTCAGGTCTGGACTGTGGACATTGCCAGCTAATATGAGCCATCAACTGACCTGAAACACAATTAACCACATGATATTGGATTAGCTGGTTGGTTGGTTTTGGATTTGTACTTAACTACAGCTAAATCATAAGACATTGGTGCCTTAATATGATGATGGCACCTTTCAAGAGCCATTTCATTTAAGTGCTGCCACACTGCCACTGTCACTCAAACATTGGAGCATGACAACTCAATACGTCACATTATTCTGACAACACTTATCAGAGGTACCTAGGGAGACATCTTTATAAATACGAAGAGCAGATACATTTTTAAACTGGTTATGAAGTAATTTACCTGTGAAGTGTTCCATTGCAATGAAACACTGTTCCAGATACTCCTCTACCCTGGTCAATGTGTGGGCACCCTCTATCACCTCACGGTTCTTCTCTGCCCTCAAGGGGTGAGCAAGGGCACCAATCTCCTTTAGCTTGTGGCCAACCTTTCGTATTAGCCTACAGAGATATCCAAAATTTAACGAATAGTTAAACTTTTATTGTTCCTACCCCTGACAATTATTGTAGTACACACTAGATGATTGATATATTCATTGTATAAAATTTCTTCAATGACAAAACATAAAGAGGTATTCTGAATTTTACAGGAAAATCTGTATTAAAAAGATCCCCTAGAATTAAGCTCTAGTTATGAATTCCCTGAATAGTCATAAACTGTGTAGAATAATCCTGTAAAACATGATGTTTGACAGCTTTGTATAAGGTATTGCCTACCTGTCTCTCTTGTTGACAAGGTCACAGGTGATTTTCTCCAGCTGTCTTCTTTCATCCAGTCCTACCACGGTCACCGTGACCCTGGGAGGGTCGGGGGCCGTGGCTGGCTGGACCCTCAGGACATCCGATCTGATCACATCATTGGTCCCATACAACTGTGTGAACAGACATGCATAATAGTTTATATGATTGCATGTAAGGGACAGCAAATCAAGGAATTTTTTGGAGAAAGATATAAAAAGTTTGATTCCAAGAAGTTTGAAAGAAAACAAATTGTAGTACATCACTGTACACCTGAACAGAATTAAATGACATGCTGATTTCTGACTTACATGTACTTCCAGCAGAATGGTGTAGATCCTGTTCTTAAGGTTGCTGAACTCGACTTCACGACTTTCTGGGTGGATCGGGAAGTCATACACCACTTTATTAGTAGCCTCCTCTGTACACATCCCCTGTAATACATATTTACTGCTATAAGGTTTGTTTCAACTGCACAAAATACATCTGAAGCTTTCGTCTTTAAAATTATTTTGATAAATGTAGAATACAAAAGTATCTCAGTAAGTAATGGGCTGAAAAATCTCACCCTAAAGTGTTTGACCTTGGCACCGTCGGACATGTTGAGGTCATCCCAGCCGATGCGTATGACAGAACTGCTGTGTGTGGGTAGGCGGTGGAGGTGTGGACTCATGGCGCCGGGCCAGACCACTGTCAGTGGCTCGGACACTTTACTGCTCATGCGCTCTAGTGCTGTTAAAGCCTGAAACAGTAATTAGCACATTTGACTCATTCACCCCTGAAATTTCATAATGAACTATTCCAACCTTTGAATTGGAAAAGTTCAAATGTGTCATCAGGGGTAAATGAGTTGATGATCAGGTACAAGATGCCTTTGTATGACATCCATACAGGTGTCATTACGTTTATAACTAATGACTATATGGTTTCCTTAGTTTCAATTGGTGAAATAAACAAGATAACATGGTTATACCTATATGTAGGTGTTTCTCATTTACAGGTAGAATAGATACAGGTGACTTAAATGGTCTTCAAACGTTTCAGTGGAATACTAAAATAATTATCTCATTAACGGGTGTATAGATATAGGTAATGTAGCTGTTTAAGATTATAAACGTATGATATTTAATTAACAGGTAGATAGCCTGGAAGATGACACACCTAGTTTTAGTTGATGACATAAAATGCCAAATTCTTCAAATGAATTGACAACGAAAGTTATAAAACATCCTGATCCCATTTCATTTTAACTTTCATTTCCGAAAACAAGACAACAAACCAGCAAGACGATGAATTGAAAACAGGTTGAACATTTTACTGTTTTCAGAATTTGTGACACCTGTATCTCATTAACAGGTAGACTTACCTGAACCTGGAAGGTGTACTCATGGCACCACTTTCCCTCAGTGTAGGTGTAGCTAGTCTGGTCTGCATTGAGTGTATGCATAATTATACCATTGACGAACACCTTGTACCCCGTTACTAGGGCATCACCATAGGTCGTGGGTTTCTCCCATTGGACAGAAATGTAGCGGAAGTTGCAGGCCCTACAAACAGACATCAACAGTGTATAGTCTGTGCTTTATTCAAACAAAGCTCACTACTGGCTATAGTTAATGACTTGATGTTATACAGTAAAGAGCTTTAGCATCAAGGGAGCCAGGTTCCACAGTTTTGGTCCATGTAGGATTTACCTGGTATATTCTGCACCAGACCACCAATATTTAACAGACATAATTAAGTCTTGGATGAAACAATTCGCAGGGTGTATATTTTGCAATCATTTTTTTTCAGAAAGCAAATATTGTGAAATATTTTTCTTCAAGTCTGTACAAACTATCAAGTGATGGCAAAGTACCATATGCAATATTTCACAATAACTACATGAATCCTGTATCAAACTCATCCTTTATTTAACATATCTAAAGAAAATAAATCCTAATTGATAGCAGTAATTCAAAGCAGGGACCAGAAACTAATTTTGAATACCACTAGTCAATTGGGGTAGTAGTTTTCAAACTTACTAGTCCACGTGCAAATTCCACTAACCCAATAATATTCAACAAGGTAAGCAATATAAAATTTTGAAAAATCAATCAGGCTAGAGGTTTTTAGAACCACTAGTCGGGCTGGAGATTTCACTAGTCTCAGACTATCAGGCTACCCTTATTGTCTAGCCCTTCACTAGTCCAGCTGGAGACTTCACTAGTCTCAGACTAACAGGCTACCCTTATTGTCTAGACCTGCAATAGTCCAGCTGGAGATTGCACTATTCTCAGACTATCGGGCTTTCCTTATTGTCTAGCCACTGCCCTAGTCCAGCTGAAGACTTCCCTAGTCTCAGACTATCGGGCTTTCCTTATTGTCTAGCCACTGCCCTAGTCCAGCTGAAGACTTCACTAGTCTCAGACTAACAGGCCACCCTTATTGTCTAGCCGTGCACTAGTCCAGCTGAAGACTTCCCTAGTCTCAGACTATCGGGCTACCCTTATTGTCTAGGCCTGCACTAGTCCAGCTGGCGATTTCATTAGTCTGAGACTATCGGGCTTCCCTTATTGTCTAGCCCTCCACTAGTCCAGCTGGAGGATTCACTAGTCTCAGCCTATCAGGCCACCCTTATTATCTAGCCACTGCCCTAGTCCAGCTGAAGACTTCCCTAGTCTCAGACTATCGGACTACCCTTATTGTCTAGCCATGCACTAGTCCAGCTGGCGATTTCATTAGTCTGAGACTATCCGGCTATCCTTATTGTCTAACCCTGCACTAGTCCAGCTGTAGATTTCACTAGTCTCAGACGATCAGGCTACCCTTATTGTCTAGCCGTGCACTAGTCCAGCTGAAGACTTCCCTAGTCTCAGACTATCAGACCACCCTTATTATCTAGCCACTGCACTAGTCCAGCAGGAGGTTTCACTAGTCTCAGACTAACAGGCCACCCTTATTGTCTAGCCATGCACTAGTCCAGCTGGCGATTTCACTAGTCTCAGACGATCAGGCTACCCTTATTGTCTAGGCCTGCACTAGTCCAGCTGTAGATTTCACTAGTCTCAGACGATCAGGCTACCCTTATTGTCTAGCCGTGCACTAGTCCAGCTGAAGCCTTCACTAGTCTCAGACTATTGGGCTACCCTTATTGTCTAGCCGTGCACTAGTCCAGCTGAAGCCTTCACTAGTCTCAGACTACCGGGCTATCCTTATTGTCGCAATATAAAATTTTGAAAAATCAATCAGGCTAGAGGTGTTTAGAACCACTAGTCGGGCTAGCGATTTCACTAGTCTCAGACTATTGGGCTACCCTTATTGTCTAGACCTGCAATAGTCCAGCTGGAGATTGCACTAGTCTCAGACTATCCGGCTATCCTTATTGTCTAGCCCTTCACTAGTCCAGCTGGAGATTTCATTAGTCTGAGACTATCGGGCTATCCTTATTGTCTAGCCCTGCACTAGTCCAGCTGAAGACTTCACTAGTCTCAGACTATCGGGCTATCCTTATTGTCTAGCCACTGCACTAGTCCAGCTGGAGATTTCACTAGTCTCAGACTATCAGGCTACCCTTATTGTCTAGCTCTGATTCAAAGACAGGTCCAGCAGCCATCTTACCTGATTTGTAAGGACTTGGATTAACTACAGAATATGTAGTGAAATAGTTGAAGACACTTTATGAATACAATTTTAAAATTCACACATCCTCCGTACCTGACTGTCATGATAGGTGCCTCAGGAGGTGCTGATGTCTGTATGGTCAGCTGCCTTGACCGCTCCAGCTCCTTACCCTGGTCATCCAGGACAATTAGACGGACAAAGTGGGTGGTACCGGGCAGACAGTTGTTGATTATACAGCTGTTGTTGTCCCTCTCCAGGTTCAGTGACCTTTGCTGTAAAGACAGAGGAGATACATACAGATTTCACGACCCTTGTTAAAAATACTGGGGAGACACATACAAGTTCTACTACCTTTGTTGTTATAACTGCTGGGGAAATTTACATACAGCTTGTGTGACCTTTGCTGTAGATACTGAGGAGTTACATACAGCCTTGTGACCTTTGCTGTAGATACTGAGGAGTTACATCCAGCTTTGTGACCTTTGCTGTAGATACTGAGGAGTTACATACAGCCTTGTGACCTTTGCTGTAGATACTGAGGAGTTACGTACAGCTTTGTGACCTTTGCTGTAGATACTGAGGAGGTACATACAGCTTGTATGACCTTTGCTGTAGATACTGAGGAGTTACATCCAGCTTTGTGACCTTTGCTGTAGATACTGAGGAGTTACATACAGCTTGTATGACCTTTGCTGTAGATACTGAGGAGTTACATACAGCTTGTGTGACCTTTGCTGTTGATACTGAGGAGTTACATACAGCTTTTGTGAGCTTTGCTTTAGATACTGAGGAGTTACATACAGCTTTGTGACCTATGCTGTAGATACTGAGGAGTTACATACAGCTGTGGATACTGAGAAGTTACATACAGCTTGTGTAACCTTTGCTGTAGATACTGAGGAGTTACATACAGCCTTGTGACCTTTGCTGTAGATACTGAGGAGTTAAATACAGCTTTGGTGACCTTTGCTGTAGATACTGAGGAGTTACATCCAGCTTTGTGACCTTTGCTGTGGATACTGAGGAGTTACATACAGCTTTGTGACCTATGCTGTAGATACTGAGGAGTTACATACAGCTGTGGATACTGAGGAGTTACATACAGCTTTGTGACCTTCGCTGTAGATACTGAGGAGTTACATACAGCTTTGTGACCTATGCTGTAGATACTGAGGAGTTACATACAGCTTGTGTGACCTTTGCTGTAGATACTGAGGAGTTACATACAGCTGTGGATACTGAGGAGTTACATACAGCTTTGTGACCTTTGCTGTGGATACTGAGGAGTTACATACAGCTGTGGATACTGAGAAGTTACATACAGCTTGTGTGACCTTTGCTGTAGATACTGAGGAGTTACATACAGCTTTTGTGACCTTTGCTGTAGATACTGAGGAGTTACATACAGCTTTTGTGACCTTTGCTGTAGATACTGAGGAGTTACATACAGCTTTTGTGACCTTTGCTGTAGATACTGAGGAGTTACATACAGCTTTTGTGACCTTTGCTGTAGATACTGAGGAGTTACATACAGCTTTTGTGACCTTTGCTGTAGATACTGAGGAGTTACATACAGCTTTTGTGACCTTTGCTGTAGATACTGAGGAGTTACATACAGCTTTGTGACCTTTGCTGTAGATACTGAGGAGTTACATACAGCTTTTGTGACCTTTGCTGTAGATACTGAGGAGTTACATACAGCTTTTGTGACCTTTGCTGTAGATACTGAGGAGTTACATACAGCTTTTGTGACCTTTGCTGTAGATACTGAGGAGTTACATACAGCTTTTGTGACCTTTGCTGTAGATACTGAGGAGTTACATACAGCTTTTGTGACCTTTGCTGTAGATACTGAGGAGTTACATACAGCTTTTGTGACCTTTGCTGTAGATACTGAGGAGTTACATACAGCTTTGTGACCTTTGCTGTAGATACTGAGGAGTTACATACAGCTTTTGTGACCTTTGCTGTAGATACTGAGGAGTTACATACAGCTTGTGTGACCTTTGCTGTAGATACTGAGGAGTTACATACAGCTTTTGTGACCTTCACTTTTAATACAGGGGAGACACATACCTTGGTTAAATAATATTGATTGAATTATTGGGGAGACTCATACAGATTCAGTGACCTTTGATGTAAATACTGGGTAAACACTAACAGAAATGTTGAATGCTGGCCTGGAAAAATGCCAAGTATTTATACATAAACTAAATAAACATGCAGTATCATTTTTGATATATTGCTAATTGACTAGCTGACAATCTTTGTGATATGGTCCTGAAGGTGATGCATCAAAAACAGGTCCACAGATCTGTGATATTGTATTGAACTATTTCATACATGCAGAATGATGTCCATATTAAAATCTCCACAATGAATAAAATAATTGAAAGAAATATATCCTATGATATAACATTGGGGTAGAGATTGCAGTATAAGTATCTATGTTATAACATTGGGGTAGAGATTGCAGTATAAGAATCTATGATATAACATTGGGGTAGAAATTGCAGTATAAGTATCTATGATATAATATTGGGGTAGAGATTGCAGTATAAGAATCTATGATATAACATTGGGGTAGAGATTGCAGTATAAGTATCTATGATATAACATTGGGGTAGAGATCACAGTATAAGTATATATGATATAACATTGGGGTAGAGATTGCAGTAGAGATATTTACAATGTAACATTGGGTTAGAGATCACAGTAGAGATATTTACAATGTATGATTGGACCATTGGGATAGAGATTGCAGTAGAGATATTTACAATGTAACATTGGACCATTGGGGTAGAGATTGCAGTAGATAATTACAATGTAACATTGGGGTAGAGATCACAGTAGAGATATTTACAATGTAACATTGGGTTAGAGATCACAGTAGAGATATTTACAATGTACGATTGGACCATTGGGGTAGAGATTGCAGTAGAGATATTTACAATGTAGCATTGGGATAGAGATCACAGTAGAGATATTTACAATGTAGCATTGGGGTAGAGATCACAGTAGAGATATCTACAATGTAACATTGGAGTAGAGATCACAGTAGAGATATCTACACTGTAGCATTGGGGTAGAGATCACAGTAGAGATATTTATATGACATGTTACAACATTGCAGTGCTAACTGAAGAAGATATTTATGCTCTAAAATGGTTACACCATTAAGAATGTTCTGTTTCAGAGTGTGTTACAGATAGAATTACGGGTATCTATTTTTTAGGTATGGAGTACAGACATCTGTTGTTAGACTGGAGTAGAGATATAATCTCTATCATAAGAAGGCTACTTAATGGAGTTAAGGTACGATGTATAAGAATGGGATAGAAGGTAAAGGTATCTACGCTGTACATTTGGGATACAGACTCGGGTACAGACTAGGGTATAGGGAAGAGTTTGGGGTATACAGACTGCTCTATAATTTGGTACACCATTATAATATATCTATATTGTAACATAGTTATACAAACTGGAATAAAAAAATACCAATGATGTATGAAAGCAACAATAAATGGATGATTTTACATATAATTTATTGATAACCTCTATTTAATGTAGTTTTATCTATAAGCATGCAGATATCAGCTATTTTTAAACATGCTGTTAGGAACTAAAACCTATCTATAAATTTATATCACCATTCTTGTTTCTGTGCAAGTGATTGTAAATACCACTAAAATGTATTCTAAGAAATTTTCTTTGTAACTTAACATTTTTAATTAATATTGAGATATCCTCGCAAAGCCAAGATTCACTATGTCAAAAGTGTTTCTCCATAGTACTGCCATCCTTTCTTCACATACATTATTTATGGAAACAAATTTCTGTTCACTTGAGATCCCTGTCCCACTGCACTTTGCATTTTCTTATACACAGTAAACTCCCTTTAACTTCCATTTGGATATAACGTCGGCAAAGTTGGACCATGACACTTCCATTGACCAGGTAACTCAGTCGGTAGGAGCAATATCCTAACAATCTGGAGTCCAGGGTTCTAACAGATAGAATTACGGGTATCTATTTACGGGTTCTAACCCCGGTCTAGCCCCTTTGAATTTTCCCCGCTAAGAACACTGTTGTTGATTATATTTTGTTTATCTCATCTGTATTATTTCTTACAAAAGTCCTGCATGGTAGGTTTTTTTCTTCAGAAATTATTTATCAAAGTTATAGTCATGCTGGAAAAACAATTTCCAACACTTGGTTACAGTTTTTGGCAGTGGTACAGTAGTGTGAATAAAATCCATGAGACTATTATTAATTTTCTGTACCGATTGTACACTTTGTATTGTGATGTTTATTGGTGTCTGTATAAGCCCACAGATCTGTACTAAGTGAAGGGATGACATCCTGGTACTATAACATGTTAGATACTACAGTTCTGCTCCAAACTATAGGCTACCAAGTAAATACTTTACTTTTCCTTTCTTGGATCTCTTCTGTAAAATGTAAAAACAATTAAATGAAAGAATTGTTTACTGATCAGTGGTGAAACTACTTAATTTTCATTCCTGCACATAAAACGATAGTGAATATTCTCCACAGGGTAACTACTAGTCAGGTTGGTAAGTATGATAGAGGTGACAGAGTATGATATACTAGTCATCGGTACATCACAAATAAACACTTCACTGGCTGTGCTATATGAACCTGTTAACATTCTATCCACATCCTAACCTCAAAGCTGTTGGTCTAAGTATACTGAACCCTTGTTAAGAACAACACCAAGTTTTCACTTCTATTTGCTAACCTTTATGCTGTTACCCACATTCACTAAACTCTTATCAAACAGGGGCTGTCAGTATTGTGTTAAGAATTAATTTTATAACAAACTTCACACGAACCTCTATAAGTGATAGTAAAACTGATTTGTTTAAAGGAATTAATTGTGACATTTTGATTTAAACATATTTTTATTTGCATCAAATATACAAGGGGATTAGGCACAAATCAAATATAAAGTTATTTTGATGTTAAGAATTATTGTATTAAAGGAAACAGGTATGAGGTGAGATCACTGAGGAGCTGATCAGCTGTGGTACCTACTGTGGGCTGGGCAACACTGCTCCATTCTATTCTGTACCCTGCCACCTCTTCTACCTCCAGGTAGCGACTCCAGTCTAAGTGTATGCTAGTGTCTGTGATCTGGGCCACCTTCACTGGCACGTCTGTGTCATCAGTCTGCCACTCGTCGAGGGCGCGGGCCTGGCGGGGCGAGTGTAGAGATGTATTGACCAGGAGGGTGTTGGACTTGAGGGAGTCCTCATACTCTGGCTTAGAACTCAGGGCCACCAGGTTTATCTTATAGGTCCTGTAAGAGAAATAATGATAATTTACAGAAGATCTTTTTTATACATGAACCATTTCCTTACTGACAACTAAAATAATACATCATAGATACTCTGTATAAATAAAAGTGTACTAAATTATTTACACAATTAAATCACCATTTACTGACACCTAACTGTAAGGACATAGTGTAATTGACAGTGAAGCCTTTTTTTCACTGTCTTCAACCCTGAATTTACAAACATTAAGTTATGTTCAATCAAAACAGAGACAGATTTCACTATACTTCCTAGTATTCTACAGAGGTAAACTTTATCTGAAATCACTCAGATGTTTCACTGAAAACACCATGAACTTTAACATTACCATAGAACACCAGCTAGAAGAGAAACAACTTACTTGTTGGGTCTACACGGTATCACTGCTTTCCTATGAGACGTACTCAACTCATTGCCAGCCCGCTTGTCATTCATGTACACCTGGAACAGATGGATGCATTTTAATCAAGCTGACTTAAGGGTATAAAATTCCTTTCTGTACTCTTTAACCCCATTTGAGTTCCACACCAGGAAACATATGAAATGTTTTTATCAATGTTTATTTGGACTTCATTAACTAATTGATGACACATTTTGCAGGTGCACAATAATTGATGACACATCTGACAGCTGGTGCACCAGGATTTATTTATTACAAACATTCCAGTTATTCTGATTTTGTTTTTAAAATGTTTAAAAGGATGAAACACAAATTACAGGTATAACGTGTATGGTAAGTACGTTCACACAAAGCAGAGGGACATACATCCTTAATTGATTTCCTCACTGTAACTTAGCAACGTAAATGTTCCTTATAGCAACAGGATTATATCTACCTGGTATCCACGGACTTTGACTCCTCCCCATAACTTGGGCTCGCCCCACTCAATGACAAACTCCTCTGGGGTGACAGACTTGAGGAAGACCTGTGGGGCATCAGGTGGGCCGGGTATCACGATCTGTACACTCTGGGCCTTGTGGGGTAGCGTCTCTGTGTAGTAGTTAGGCTCTACGGTGATCTGGTACACAGACCTACGGACAAATAATCACGTCATGTTCTCATCAACTCAAAATCAGCATTTCAAAAAATGTAATTCAAAAGAAATGTTTTGGGAATAAACAAATCTGAAGGACATCTAAAACATATCATAATTATTTTATAATGATTTAAAGAAGGTTTCTTAAAGATGAAAGCCCAGTGAATTACATCTAATGGAAGAATCATTATATCCTATGAATGAAATCTTTAACCATGTAAACCTACTTGAGTCTCTCCACTGGTATCGACAGCAGTCGGGCACTGGCGCTGGCTCCTCGCACCTGTCGTACAGTGTCTTCATCCTCAATCATGTAATGGACATTAAAGTCTTTTATCAAAGTTGCTTCCCCTTGGATCGTCCATTCCACGCGGATCTCCCCAAACATGTTTATTTCTGTGTCCTCCACATGTCTGAAGGTCGCTTTGACAGAAGCTATGTAACCTGACAATGACAAAATTGCACAACATATTAAGGCCAAGTTACAACATGGTATCAAAGAATTTCGAAAATTGTTTATGAAAAAGAAATCAATTAGCAATTATTCTTGAAGAAATCTGCTGAAGATATTTCTTTCTGATATTTTCAATTTCGTTTTTTCATTTACATCAATAGTCTTACTCATGATGTTACACCGATCACAAAACAGACAATTTTTAGACAATAACAGAAGAATTTTTATTGTACATATTACATATTAGTAAGATTTACCTGGCTGTATTCTTGGAAGGATCATTTCCACATCGTCTGAGGGTGAAGGGTCAAGGTTATCTTCGTCATTCAGCAGTGTGGCGTAATCTAGATCCTCCTTGTTTTGCTGGGCATAGAATCCCTTATACTGCAACACAACATGTGCTGATGAGATCATGAATGTCAATAAACAACAGATTTACCACATACCGGGTATCTGTAATCAAAACTGTGACGGTAATTAGTTATTGACCAATTGAACACCTCAATATTTTCCAAGACAGCTAAAGCTGCTGGATCCCTTTAAGTGTATGTCCATAAATCCTATATGGCTCAGGTACCCTGGTCAATATATTGGCACCTAGGTCCCTTCAGTTTACATCTCCATAAAGTGTGTGCTCCTTTATACTGTTGTTTATGGATTAGACATATGTAAATAGGGTGAACTCTCATCATTCCAGCTATTACATTTCCAAGGAATAGTAGCTGGATTATGAAAAGGCAGGGTTACTGGGACAATTTGGCAGGGTTACTGGGACAATTTGGCAGGGTTACTGGGACAATTTCAAACAGAGTCAGACCAATATTTCCCCTGAAACACTGGCTGAATAGTGGCACACCTGCATGAGTATTGATAGCTGGATAAAGGAGGCTTGACTGTATGAACATGCTCTATACAAATCTAGTTCTACAATTGACATGATGCACAATACCTTTTTCTTCCTCTCCTTCTTGCCCTCGTCTGTACAGGTCAAGGCCAACAGTCGGACAGTGTACTCCTTTCCTGGTCGACACTTCTTGAGGGAGCAGCTCTGTCTGGTGGGGCCGAGACAACAGTGGGTTGCCCCATTGATCTCCAGCTTGTACCCCTCCAGGTAGCGCCGGATGTACTTAGGCTTGCCATCCTCCTCACGACCAATGGTGGACACGAGGCGAGGCTTCTCCCAGTACAGCTGGGCTGTGTCCTGAGAAAACTCAGTGATGTACAGATTCGGGGCCTCAGTAGGTGCACGTGACCTACAGTACAGGGCCTTAGACATGACATGAGCTATTCGGCGGTACTTCTCCATCTCGTTGTCGTTGGTATCTACTAATGACGTCCTTACACTAACTACAGCCTCAACCACGACCTTGTACTGGGTGCCGGGAACAAGGTCAGTGATGGTGGTTTGGGTATCTTTAGGATCTAGAGTCTTATAACTGGACATTTTGACTTCATCTACACCCTTTCTGTCATTCTTCACATCTGTCCACCGCACGATAATGTTCTTGAGTCGGTTAGAGCCGTAAACAATGGGGGATATCCACGACAACGTCATAGAGGTCGTTGTGGCTTTGGTGACCTTGAGATTTGCTGGTGGTTCTGTGCCAGCTGTCCTCTCAATAATATAGTTGCTAGGCAACCATGGAGATTCCATGGGCGGCACCATCACATCCCTGGGCAACACTTTCGCCTTTTTAAATTTGTGTTTTTCAGGGAGACGGTCAAAGTATTCATCTGTTACAGCAGTTACACGAATGAGGTATTCTGTTTTTTCTTTGAGACCCTCTATATCAATAGATACAGCATCTGGCAAGGCATCGTAGCTGATATGGTGGGGCTCATTCTTAGCCATAGAGACTGCATCAATACGTATACCTACAAACATACATCACATATCTAAATATACGGGATCTTAAACTACTGGTGTTAACAAATTTATACGTATACCTACAAACATATATCACATATCTAAATATACGGGATCTTAAACTACTGTTGTTTACAAATTTATACGTATACCTACAAACATATATCACATATCTAAATATACGGGATCTAACTACTGGTGTTAACAAATTTATATGTATACCAACAAACATATATCACATATCTAAATATACGGGATCTTAAACTGTTGGTGTTAACAAATTTATACGAAAGACACTTTTTCAGAAAGCTGAAGTTTATTAAAAAGTTACGCAGTAATTTAATCAAGCATGTAAACAAATCTTGGTATTTACATTCATTCAAACACATTTTATTGACATTGAACAATCACAGGGATAGGGCATTAGTTCTTACAGCTTACTAGGCCCTCTCCCATCAAGGCATTGGACTGGCTATTAACCCTTTCACCCCTAGGTAACTTTAGTAGACTTTACCAGTTTTATCTGGATGAGTCAATTATGGTCTATAGTGGTGAAAGGGTTAAGCAGCTAACTGAGAACTTACGTTAATGCATATTGTTTTTTAAGTCCAATTGTGGACGTTTACAATTAATATACCAATCTAAGGCCACATATAGGTTCAATAATTTTGTAATACATGGTAGAGAATAATATATATTTATCTATCTTACCGATGATACTGGTGCCATGTTCCCTTGGAGTGTTCCAGGCAATCCTCATGCTACTACAGGTATTAGCACTGACACCTATGTGAGACGGCTTACTGGGCGGTTTAGCCGTCTTCAAGGTCAGGTAATTTGACGTAGCGGTCAAGGTGAAGGTATTTCTAGTCTCCTCTTCAGGGACTTCTATTAAAGCAAATCCAACAATGGCTGAGGAATTCATAGATTTGTGTTTAACTCCACCAATAGTTCAAATAAATAATATTCAGATACATTTATTTTGTGGAAGGGAAAACTCCAAGGACAGATTCAGAAACAATGTACGAAAGCATGTCTGTAACAGGAACTTAGGAATGAGTAGATGACATGTCTGTAACAGGAACTTAGGAATGAGTAGATGACAAGACAGTTAACTTTCTAACAGAGTGCCATATTGTTTCAATTATCTCTTACATTAGAAAGGCTTTGGTATTGCCATAATGGTTTTATGATGTTCCAGAATGCTTAGTGTTTTTTGTTTTTAAAATAGTTCAAACGTCGACCTACCCTTGTTATCTTCACTGGGCTCATTCTTCATGATTTCTGACTTGACTGCGTCAACCACAACTGTGTAGGCAGTGTCTGACCGCAGCCCAGATATCAATAGCCTGTTGTCTGTGGGTACAAATAAACAGGAAATTATCCTTTGTGTTATACAGCAAATATTGTCACATAATATCATTACGTATTCATTTGTGTACTCAGTATAGCACTGATATTTTGCTGATGTTCTTTTTTCTGTGTACTTATGATCTGAAAATAATTTGTGACACATAAATCCTGCGGTTCTGACGCCTTTTGTTAGGGAGTTAGTTTGGACTATTGACTACTAATGGTGTCTCTGATGGCTTCTGATAGGGAGTTAGTTTGGACTATTAACTATTAATGGTGTTGCGTGAAATTAAGACCCCACAGAATAGTTCCAGGATCAAGGTGCAAAATTTGGACCCAACAAATTAAAGTAAAGACCCCAAGACATAGGCATGTATACCTAGTAATGCTTATTCATAGGAATTGACTCCAGAATATCTGATAGACCTGTTGTTTTTAATATTGGTGTTAAATACTAATAGTTTCTTGAAATTCTAGCACTAAAAGGTTTTTACAAATGCTATGATCACACAATGTAAATCATGAGATAACCTCGTTTTATCCTCCATGAATAATTACTTACCTGTAGTTTCATCAGAGACGATGTTGTCGACGGGTTCCTCGCCAGGCCACCATCGGACTCGGAAACTTTCCGGGCGTACGAAATGGAACTTTGTATCGTCTGTCAACAAAAAGAGATGAAGGTTAGTATGCTGGCTATAATCACGTCCTGACAATAATAAAGCAGTCAGTATGCAGGCTGGGATAGTGATTTTAAGGTAACTAATGACCTACAGTGACAGCATTCACTGCCTTCCCTGAAATGTCCACATATTCCTCATCAGAAAGTTTATATTTAATACCAAACATTAAATTATGGTAACCATTTTAATATTCCCTATGAGCAAAAAGCAATAAAAGTAAAAATAAAAGTAAACAGATATTGTAATATCCATAAAATTAATTTTAAACGTACATCTGGTATTATATGTAAGATGTGTTCTGTGGGAAACAGTAAAACAGCTGTAATGTGTTATATATAACACATTTTATTCACAGGTGTACCTTGACACATACAGGATCAGTTACAAGGCTAAAACGGATACATCCTGTCCTTCTAACTGTGTGTGAACATAACTAAGAAATCACTTTCCAAAAACATTGACAACACTGTACAATGTAGTTCTTAAGCATTATGAAAATTAAAAAGTTTCAAAAACATATATCAGACTAAGTACGTACCTATTTGTGTACAGGTAGACAGTGTTACATTTGACAGGAAATTGGAAAAACTCAGGTACAACGAAGTGAAGACTTATTCCATTTCGTTAGTCTTATCTGTATAAATCTTTTAATGAATGTGCCCCCTGTACTCAATAAGGGCCATCAAGGTTACATAGACATCAATAATAAATGTCACGCTTCATTGCCGAACATCAGCTCTTATTGAAAATAAACACACTGTGAAGTTCAATCCTCACAGATCATCAATATCTAAACTAGACATTCCATACCCTACATGTCGTCCTAACATCCCCTGTCGTGTCTGATAGATTTCACAGGCCAAAAGGTCACTCATAATAACATGTATGCACATTCTAATTTGAATGAATATAGGCAAAAAATACATGGCTGATCTAAAGAAACCCTATCATATAGGCTTGCTAACATTTTAAACCTACTGAAAGGAGATACTGTAGTAACATTGTTGGCAATTTCTATGGAAGGGAACCCACTGATGTTCAGTATTATAAAAAGTCACTGACATGCATTTCTCGTTGAAATGAATAATAATCGGACATATAACATTTAAACTGTACAATATGAATCACTTTCATTTGCTTAAAAATCCTATTCAAACAGTCTGCAAGCTAACCATAAAGCATATGGATTCTATGTGTGGTATAAGACGTGTTTACTTTCAATTGCAAGGGTTCTAAGGTTTTACCTTGACACAAATTGTACAGTTTGTATTAGATTCATTTATCCAGGAACGATTTTGTAAAATCAACAAAACAAGTTAAGAATGTACAATACTGTGGAATTGTCATCAAGAAATCCCGAAAATGAGTCCACAAGACGGTGTGAATTGACAGTAGGCACCTGTTTTCCTTGTACATTCAGTGCTAATGGAAAAAGATTACCCTATAACACATCTAGCAGATCCTTAACGTTCTGAAAAAAAAAAAATCTGGCTTCAAAATCTGACTTCATAAAACTATTTTGGAACTAAATAAATGAATTTCAAGTATATAGAAATCTTGTGAGCCAATATTCCATATCTAAAACCAGATAAACTTACTAAGGTTCCCTAGAAATGTTTAAAACCAACACCTTGGGAATCTTTTCAACTCCTTATGCCAAATTGTATAATGCTGTTTAGCAAGTAATGCATCAAATAGAAAGCTTTGAAAATCATACATTTTGTATTTTATAAAGCGAAGTAGCAAAAACTTACATGAGAGATACTAATTCCTGACAGCATCATACCTAACTGTGAGTGATACTTTATAGTGGTGTCAGGAGCATCCATATCTTACTGTGTAACTGGTGACACTAGCTGTTGTAAACATCTCGGTAGTATTGGTGAGCGTGACAGTGTACTATATACCCAGTAGATAACAGTGTACTATATACCCAGTAGATAACAGTGTACTATATACCCAGTAGATAACAGTGTACTATATACCCAGTAGATAACAGTGTACTATATACCCAGTAGATAACAGTGTACTATATACCCAGTAGATAACAGTGTACTATATACCCAGTAGATAACAGTGTACTATATACCCAGTAGATAACAGTGTACTATATACCCAGTAGATAACAGTGTACTATATACCCAGTAGATAACAGTGTACTATATACCCAGTAGATAACAGTGTACTATATACCCAGTAGATAACAGTGTACTATATACCCAGTAGATAACAGTGTACTATATACCCAGTAGATAACAGTGTACTATATACCCAGTAGATAACAGTGTACTATATACCCAGTAGATAACAGTGTACTATATACCCAGTAGATAACAGTGTACTATATACCCAGTAGATAACAGTGTACTATATACCCAGTAGATAACAGTGTACTATATACCCAGTAGATAACAGTGTACTATATACCCAGTAGATAACAGTGTACTATATACCCAGTAGATAACAGTGTACTATATACCCAGTAGATAACAGTGTACTATATACCCAGTAGATAACAGTGTACTATATACCCAGTAGATAACAGTGTACTATATACCCAGTAGATAACAGTGTACTATATACCCAGTAGATAACAGTGTACTATATACCCAGTAGATAACAGTGTACTATATACCCAGTAGATAACAGTGTACTATATACCCAGTAGATAACAGTGTACTATATACCCAGTAGATAACAGTGTACTATATACCCAGTAGATAACAGTGTACTATATACCCAGTAGATAACAGTGTACTATATACCCAGTAGATAACAGTGTACTATATACCCAGTAGATAACAGTGTACTATATACCCAGTAGATAACAGTGTACTATATACCCAGTAGATAACAGTGTACTATATACCCAGTAGATAACAGTGTACTATATACCCAGTAGATAACAGTGTACTATATACCCAGTAGATAACAGTGTACTATATACCCAGTAGATAACAGTGTACTATATACCCAGTAGATAACAGTGTACTATATACCCAGTAGATAACAGTGTACTATATACCCAGTAGATAACAGTGTACTATATACCCAGTAGATAACAGTGTACTATATACCCAGTAGATAACAGTGTACTATATACCCAGTAGATAACAGTGTACTATATACCCAGTAGATAACAGTGTACTATATACCCAGTAGATAACAGTGTACTATATACCCAGTAGATAACAGTGTACTATATACCCAGTAGATAACAGTGTACTATATACCCAGTAGATAACAGTGTACTATATACCCAGTAGATAACAGTGTACTATATACCCAGTAGATAACAGTGTACTATATACCCAGTAGATAACAGTGTACTATATACCCAGTAGATAACAGTGTACTATATACCCAGTAGATAACAGTGTACTATATACCCAGTAGATAACAGTGTACTATATACCCAGTAGATAACAGTGTACTATATACCCAGTAGATAACAGTGTACTATATACCCAGTAGATAACAGTGTACTATATACCCAGTAGATAACAGTGTACTATATACCCAGTAGATAACAGTGTACTATATACCCAGTAGATAACAGTGTACTATATACCCAGTAGATAACAGTGTACTATATACCCAGTAGATAACAGTGTACTATATACCCAGTAGATAACAGTGTACTATATACCCAGTAGATAACAGTGTACTATATACCCAGTAGATAACAGTGTACTATATACCCAGTAGATAACAGTGTACTATATACCCAGTAGATAACAGTGTACTATATACCCAGTAGATAACAGTGTACTATATACCCAGTAGATAACAGTGTACTATATACCCAGTAGATAACAGTGTACTATATACCCAGTAGATAACAGTGTACTATATACCCAGTAGATAACAGTGTACTATATACCCAGTAGATAACAGTGTACTATATACCCAGTAGATAACAGTGTACTATATACCCAGTAGATAACAGTGTACTATATACCCAGTAGATAACAGTGTACTATATACCCAGTAGATAACAGTGTACTATATACCCAGTAGATAACAGTGTACTATATACCCAGTAGATAACAGTGTACTATATACCCAGTAGATAACAGTGTACTATATACCCAGTAGATAACAGTGTACTATATACCCAGTAGATAACAGTGTACTATATACCCAGTAGATAACAGTGTACTATATACCCAGTAGATAACAGTGTACTATATACCCAGTAGATAACAGAGTACTATATACCCAGTAGATAACAGTGTACTATATACCCAGTAGATATTGGTTATAAGGAGTTCATATGTATATGACGGGTTTATTATATATGTACTTGGTCAGTGTTTACTCAGGTGATATTGGTGATTACGAGTTATGTACTTGACAGGTGTAATACGGCCGGTGGTCAGTATTTACTCAGGTAAGTGTTCTGTATAGCTGACCAGTGTGGGGTATCACTTTCACTGTTTACAGTAGCAACACTCAGCCACACTACAACCGGCTACAGTGTTTACCCACCCTGACTTCACAAACATTTCATACTGAAGTTGACTATAAACTAACCATAATCGTAGGCTTCAAAGTTCGAATTAGTTACACCAGACATAAACAGGTGACAGATCAGAACTTTGCTTGCGATTATTGTCAGTTTTACTGGACTACCAACATGCTCTCAACTCAGTACTTAGGATGTGTCAGCACTACCACAAACACTTTTTAAATTAAAAGAATTGAACTTAACTTTATTTTGTTTCACAACAATTATAAAACATTTTTTATAATCTTGTATCATAATCAGAATGGAAGCTCATATGGGGTCTTAATACAGGAGAAAACCAGAGTACTCGGAGAAAAACCTACATTTTTAAGCAGTTGACCGCATACCTACAGCATCTAATCCGGGAATCAAATCCTGGTTGTCTTAGTTAAAATCAAGCGTTCACATTTCCCCTATAACCATTATCAGTAACATTTGTTTCCTCAATACTCCTGGGCCGTGTGGAAC